ACTGCTCATAAAAATGCAGGGATACTGATTGGTAGATAATGTATTTTATTGCAGGACTTTGTCTCATAAGAACAATTGCAGACCTTGCCAAATAAAATCGAAAACTGAACTAAATGACTCAGCTTCAACGTTAAAATCGATTAGAAGATCAGCAGAAGATTTTGAAATCATCATTAAGGATAATAAGATGGAATTGGGCAAAGGTAGTTATGGGTGTGTAAAATTGGTAAAGGATCGTCAAAATGGATAATTGTATGCAATGAAAGTGGTAATATTGATTAATATGATAAAGATGAACAAGAAGTAAATATTTGAGTATTGTTCTGTTGAAAATCTTAAAAGGGAGATTAAAATCTAAAGAAGATTGCAGCATCCCCATATAACAAAGTTATTTCATTATTTTGAAGATAAAGAGAATGTATTTCTTATATTAGAATTAGCAGGTAACTCAAATTTATGATATTTTAAGAAAATGGCAGTTTATTCAGCTACATCAGGAAAAGAAGAAGGCTTCCTGAGAACGAAGCTTTCGTGTATTACTTTTAGACTTGTTTAGGAATAGACTATTTGCATAAAAAGAACATCATTCATAGAGATTTAAAACCAGAAAATTTATTATTGGATAAGTCAGGCAACATAAAAGTCTGTGATTTTGGTTGGTCAGCAGAAACAACTTAAAACGGAGTCAGGAGAACCTTCTGTGGAACCCTGGATTACATGGCTCCTGAAATGCTAACCAATTAACCATATAGTTTTAGTTTAGACATTTGGTGTTTAGGAATTTTATTATATGAATTAATACATGGTTATGCACCATTTAAAGGAAGGACTGAAAATGAGAAATGCAATAATATCGTTAAAATGGCTCCTATAGAGTATGATCCAACCTTGTCATTTGAGGCTAAATAGTTGATTCAGGGAATATTAAAATTCAATCCAGCCGAAAGACTCTCAATGAATCAGATATTTGATCATGCATGGATGAAGAAATTCTACAAAAGTTATGGAATCGACTTAAGATCATACATGTATAAGGAGGAGAAACAAAATGATCTATCAAGTAGATCAATCTCGCCTTAGAATGAAGATTTAATGAGTAGATCATTTAATAAAAATACAAAATAGATTAGCAGTAGTGGTGATATAAAAAATTTATCAAAATCATCAAACTATGTAATTCCATAAAATGTTAATAACAATTGCAAGTCCACTGCTTGTTCTAATTATAATTAGGAGGATGATTTTAAAACTAGAGTAAGTAGAGTATCCCAAAGGTAGTAAATGGCTCAAGGATTAAGAGAAATACAAGCTCCATAATAAAGATAAGAGGAATTGGGATTTATGGATAAGGTATTTTCTGCTTTTGGGTGTTTGAGCAGAGATAAACAATAATCATAATCTCATAATTATTGAATTTTATGTAAAGTTATTTTATTTAACTATCATAAGAGTGTTCTTGTGTTATATATCTTTTGATTATATTGAATATTTTAACATTTATCAATTATTTTTTTTCCAATAGCTTTCTAATTCTCTATCTAAATTATTTTCTTTTGTATTCGATCCTTTTCTAGAGAAATATGCATCTAAAGCATTGTCTAATTTAGAAGATGCTTTTTAATAGATCAGAATTGTTACCACTATTTCCTACTACTTGTTGTCCACTCTTATATTATTCTAATTATTTATCCAATTTATTTTCTAAATTTTCACCTTTGTTTTCAGACAACTTTCTAAATCTTCTTTTGCCAGTCCTGAATGAATCAAATTTACCTGACTTCTTGAATCTAAAACTTCTTTTGAATGGTCTTCTATCTGCTATATAATGGATAGTCTATAAAAAGCCATTTACATTGATTATCGTTATTGCGATCATTATCATCTCTGCTGAATTTCCTTTAGAAATTTGATCTAGGCCTTCTATTATTTCTAAATGGTCTATTTGACTGATTATTGTTTCGTCTAAAATTTTTCATAATTTTTTATTATAATATCTATATATTATGATCAATGGAATAATTGGATATTAATATTTTTAGAATCTCCCTCTGAATTTCAAAATTACCAACACATAAACTAAAAAGAATAGCAAACCCACCAAGATTTTGCAATTGTTGTTCCTTCCCATAGGAATCCCATAATTGAGTCTGGATTACACTAAAATCCCTAAAATTAATTAATATTATTTATAATACCAAATGGATCAGCTTTTTGCATACGTATTTAGCACCAATCAATCATTATTTGTTTCATTTCAACAAATTCAAAATCATGCTATAATTCATGATAACCATTCTCAAACAATTTAATAGATTTATCTCGACTACCACATTTTTCATAAAATCTTACACTCTCATGATAACTAGAAACGGCATCTTATTTGCCATGTAAAATTATAATGGGATATTTAAATGTCTGCACTTTTGATTCCATATAGTTTAAGGTTTCAAGAATACTTTTGGCCATTCCAATACCTAATAGAGGCATCATTAACTTATCCTCAAAACACCTTTAAATGTGTAGATCATCCTTGCTCATTCCTGTAATGTTGAGTTTTGTATTAATTACTAAATCCTACAAGTTATGACTATTAATACTTCCATGTAATGTCCAAAGTACTTGACAGCTATATATTTGATTCCCTTCAGTTTTCTATCCATGGGAAAACCAAGCATCGGAGCTGTGGTGATAATCCCACTGATTTTCAGTTGAGGGTTCCTCATTAAAAAGCTGATTATGAGTAAGCCCCCCATTGCATGTCCATAGAGAAATAACGGAAGATCTTTTGACACTTGTCTTAGCAAGACTTCAATGTCCATATGTAATTCCTTTAAGGTTTAGGATCCTCTAGGTCCTCCAGAATATCCAAATCCTCTTAAATCTATTAAATGGACGGCAAAATTCAACTTAGCAAATATGTCAGCAATCTCAATAATAAGTACTTCACATACATGTAGAAATCTTCCTTAGTGTTCTCCAAAGCCATGCACGATGCACAAAGATGCTTTTTTATGAGGCGGATCGAATTTAGTGTAATAGAGTCTCAATTCGTCTCCGTACCCACCGATATATCCACGCATTACCTTGTAATCAGGCAATTGGAATTCCCCTATAAATTTTGAATCATCTTTAAAATAATCATTAATTGATTCTTATTCTTTTAAGTTCATTATATTAATTTAACAGATTAGTTGATGAAATTAGCTGATCGTAAGAAATTTTCTGTTCATTTGGATATGTCTGCTTTAAAACAAATAATCCAAACTGCTCATCCACTTTCCACTAAACGCAAAATCGACACTACACCCACCAGTCCAAATACTCCAGGGATAGCATCGGAAAAGAAATTCAAGCCAGTTTAACCCTTACATACTAACATCAATCTAAACAACAACAACAACACAATACAGAATATTATACTCAACTTTAAAAATAAAACCATCAAAGAAAAAGAAAATGCTCCAATTTCAACAATGTCAAAATTTCCACTTTTAGTTGATTAGTTTATTAGACTGTTTAATTTGAGTAAAAGTGAAGTTCTTGAAGTGTAATAGTTGAAACAAGTATATTATTACAAATAATCCAAAATTTAATAAGATGGTTAAAATGGAGAGTATTTGTGTTATGCTAAAGATCACATAAAATATCAATATGAAATTATTAACCTTATTGGATAAGGCAGTTTTGGTCAAGTATTCTAAGTGTTGGATCACAAAACACAAAAGACATTCGCTCTCAAAATTATCAGAAATCAAGAAAAGTTAAAAAAGTAAGCATTGGTCGAAGCAAACCTCCTAATGATGATTAGAGAAAGAGATCCATTAAACAAATCCAACATAGTGAGAATAGAAGAATAATTTAATTTTAGAGGGCATTAATGCATAGTTTTCGAAAAACTAGAATACAATTTGTTTGAACTTTTAAAACAATAAAAATTTAGAGGTTTAGACTATGAAACTTTAAGAAAATTTTCATATTAAATTTTAATCGCCTTGAATTATTTATAAAAACTCAATATTGTGCATTGTGATCTAAAACCAGAAAATGTCATGGTGTAAGATATGAAATCAAAAATAGTAAAATTAGTTGATTTTGGTTCTGGATGCATAGATGGGAACTAGGTCTACACATACATTTAGAGCAGGTATTCTATCTCTGATTAACACTTAGATATTATAGAGCGCCAGAAGTTATTTTTGGATTGAAATACGGGATGGAAATTGACATGTGGAGTTTTGCATGTTTAGTATCTGAAATCCATACTGGTTAGCCAATCTTTCCTGGAGACAATGAAATTGAGCAATTTAATTTAATTATGGAAGTTATCGGAGCGCCATCTACTGAATTCGCCTTAAAATGTCCAAGAAAGAAGCATTTCTTCGATGAAAATGGATTACCAAAAAAGACCATCAAAACCTATCGAAAACCATAATCAGTTTAGTTATAAGAACTTCTTAAAACTACTGATGATGACTTTGTTGATTTTCTATAGAGATGCTTTACCTGGGATGCTGAATCAAGACTAAAACCTCAAGATGCTTTGAATCACCCTTGGATTTTGTCTGTTGTTCCTAGAGAAAATAGTTAAAAATTGAACAATAAATTCTTCAAAGATAACGACTCTAGCAGTGGCTTCAAAAAATCCAAAACGTAATCAAATACGATACTATAGGAATTTGAAAAAAAACTAAGTAAGGATAACATTTTTCTAAAATTATAACAAACTCGAACTTTAATTGCTAATAACACCTTTGAAAACAAGCCAGGTATTGTTATCTCAATAAGTATTATTTAGTGCTGAGCAGCAGATATGTTAACGATAAGCCAACTTCCTCTGATAGAATAAGATCGAATATTGCCCACTCTATACACCAAATACTATCATGCAGACAACATAATGCAAGTAACGCTTAGTTTATAAGGAAACCATCTTTAGGATGATTGGTTAATTTCATGATATTCTCGGCAATTTTATATATATATATAAAACTAGTTATGAATCAGTATTATTTTTATTCAAGTGAATTTTGTCTTGACCATGTAGTGTTTTTGGTTTCAAATGTCTACTAAATCTTTTTCAACAGTTAAGTATTATGTTTAATATAGGGTCTTTCAGTTTTGAGAGTGGATTTACTTTTTTGTTTTTAAAGAACCAAATTTATTTCAGTATTTTATTTTACAGCAGGTTTTAGCTTAGGAGATGAAATAAAAGAACATATTTAGAGATTTTAAAGGGATACACAAGATTTGGTTTGAAAGTGGGATTTGACTATATTTTTTTCTTGCGGTAAGACATTTTGTTAGAGTTTACTTGATAAGAAATGGCACATCTTAAGATCTAATCCTTTAAAATAGCGTTCTTTCTCTAACTATAGCTTAGATTTGACTTTTGGTTTTGATATCAAGATTAATTTTGGGGGTGTTTTACAAGAAGGAGGTCTTTCCATATTATCATATTCTTTGAATAATAGTAATTATATAATACCAATAAGAGATTCTTGTTTTGATAGCTTTTTAGATAGCTTTCTAGTTGTTTTCTTTCTTTACTTTCTTTCTAACATTATTGCGAAGCTTGCTAATGCCAGTTCTTATTTATTGACTTGCTTATGTTATTCGATTACTGTTGGGAGATTTAACATTTCTTTTGATGTCAATTGTCCAAACATTAATCCATAAGTTGATTTCCTTCTAGACTGTTGTTGTTGTCTAATCTCAGTGATTTTAGCAACAGCATTTTTTAGAGGTTAGAAATACCGTTTCTTTAACCTTTCAGTCAATGTCAAGGTGGTAGAATAATGATCGTCTTCCATTTATGGGATTCGACAAGAAGGTGGAAGTGACTTACTTTTTTGTTTCTTCTTTTTTGGAAAGATGACCTTCCTTTATTTACTATGAGTTGTTGTAGATGTTTTAAGAATGAGATTTTAATTATCTCTTATATTTCTAGGTGAAAAGAATGAGAAACCACTAAGTTCTATATAATTGAAATTTATACATAATTGAGTCATTGTATGCATGATTATTATTTAATATTTTAATATAATTTTGAAACCTTATACATAAGCATAAATAGATCAATTTGAACTTAGAATTATTCTAGACCTGATGACCATACACTAGAAAAATCCCTAAATTATATATGTTTATTTCAATAATTAGCTCAAAAAATCATTATTTAATAAATGCTTTTGGTTTATTTAATAAATTCATTTAGGGTTTTATTAATTCTTCATTATGGAAATATTGGGTCTATTTGAATTTAATATATTTTTATCCTTGATATCAAAATTATATCTATATTTAATGATTTAACTTTGAAAGATTACAATAGATTCAAAATTAGTAAATGTACTTCTTTATTAATTCCACATTGGCACAGAAATTTACCAAAAAAAAGTTGAATCTTTTATTTAATCTAACTAATGCATAGAATAATTCTTTATGTAAATTATATTACTTCTTCCTCAACTAAGGAGATATAAATTAAAGATGAAAAAAATCTCTTATGATTTATCTTAATATAAATTGGACATTTAAAAACTTAAAATTTTGACTCTTAACTTGTAGCTAATCAATATAATTTAAAATTGAAGAAAGAATGTTTTGTTAAGTAGATGATTCCTTGAAAAACAATGATTATTTTGAAATAGTCTTGGATCTCTAAATTATTTAAAAAAATTCATACCAACAAATTCTCAAATATTTGATAATATCTCAATTATTAGATGATTTAAGATTATAATTAGTTTGAAAGTTACTATTAGTGCAACATCCATAACACTAATTGCAGTTGAAAATAAAGAAAATTAATTTGTAACAATATACTTGGAAATTCATCCATAAAGCAAATACTCCAATTATGTTTCAGAGTCCAAAAATTATAAAATATTGTGAATACATTCATAAATTTCAAATTGAGTAAATTTTGTCTTTCAAATTTAGTTTTTAAATGATACATATTCGAACTGATTACTTACTATCTTAAAAAGGTAATCCTAATGTTTTGAAAAAGGTGAAAATGCTTAATTATCATATCAAAAAGCAATGCTCTTTGAAATCGAAGGAATAATTATTAACTGAACTAACTAAAGTTTTGATTGTATTATTAAAAGAATAATTCACTTTACTCATTATTTCAACATTTATTTCTTAAATAATTTTTCATTACCTATAATTAATATTATATTTTAATGATTATCATATATGACTCTAGATTTATATTTAGTTCTTAGTTAGTGTTACTTCTTACTCTTTCAATAAAATAAATAGTTTATTAAGTAAATATTTAATTTTACTTTTACTATAAGAGGATATATTTAAAATAAGTCCGTATTTATATTAACCCTTGATTAATTCTATGAGTAGTATGTGAAAAAGTTTGAATGAATAATATATTTAAGATAAACGAATTAAAGTTAAATAAATAATTATAACAATTTCTAATAGGTATGATTGATGATTTAGATTAAACTTTGTATAATGACTTAAAATAAGCAGGTGTAATTTTTGTGATAAACTAGGTTCTTCTAGAATCTCGGATTCGTTTAGACCGTAACTGATTCATTTAGATATGTAAGACATACCTTTTAAGGAAAACTCTGAATCGGATTCCATACCATAAGTAAATTCAATACAGAACCTTCGTTTTAAAGATATTAGTATTTCGAAGAGCAAAAATAAAGATATGTATTCATTGAAGAGTTTCCAATAATAAAATAATTTCTTAGATAAAAACGATAAGCAAGTGCATCAAAGAAATAGTGGGATAACTAAAATGTTGGCTATCAATAATCTCTCAAAATAATTTATAGAAAAATTAAAAAAGAAAGCATACATATTTCCAAGTATTCTTGGGGAACAAATAAGAGAAAATCTAATGGAGGTTATGCTCAAAAAAAAAAATTGGAAAAATATAAAATAACTGCAGATTTCTGAGGAGAGTGTTAAAAATTAGATTTTTAGAAAACTGCCTGTCTTTAATCCTGCAAGTAAAGTGATGTTAATATGGGAATTTTTTAGAGCTCTTTAATTAACAATATTATTGTGGTGGTTGCCATTTAAAATAGCCTTTACTCCGTCTTCGAGTAGAAATATTGATGCCTTTGAGAGTGCTTTAACATACATATTTGCAGCAGATTTAGTAATTAAGTTTAATAGAGGTATTTTTGATTAAGGTAAATTGATAAAAAATAGAATTAGCATTTTGAAACATTATGTTTCAAATGAAATGCATGAAGACATAATATATTTTATTACCTTAATATTTGTCATAAGTGATATAGGAATAAGAGCTAGTGGATTTTAGGAAGTTATAGTATTAGTGCAATTTGGTTTGAATTTTATTAAATTGAAAAAATACTTAACTAAATATGAAGAAACCTTTGTGGAATCTTCAATTCTTACTGAAATAGTAAAGTTAATATAGTTGATAATTATTACATTTTATTTTGCCCATTTTATGGCATGTATTTGGTATTATGTTGGAGTCAAAAGTACAGAGTTGAATGAGATATCCTGGACTCAAGATCCAAAGTTTGATGGTGCTGGTATTTTATCGATGTATGTGTATTCATTTTATTGGGCAACAACCACAATGGTAACGGTTGGATATGGAGATATATCAGGTAAAAATATTTATGAAGTATAATGTGCCATTGTGCTCATGATATTTTCAAGTGGAATTTTTGCCTTCTCAATGAATCAAATTGGGTCAATATTTACAAATATGGATGTCTAAAAATAACAATATAAGAGAACTTTGTTGTTGATTAATGAATACATGAATAACAATCAGGTTGCAGAATAACTCCAAGGTCGAATTAGAAATTATTTAAAGTATCATTATCATAAATAAGAAAAACTTTACAAAAATGAGATTAGTGGTATTATTGAGAAATTACCAACTACATTAAGATCAGAATTAATTCAAGATGTATAATTTAGAGTTATGCAATGCATTCCTTTTTTTAACAAAAATTTTTCAGAAGAAATTCTCCCTTAAATTGCTTGTGAATTAAATCTATAGTCATATACGCCAAGAGAAATCATCTACCAATAAAAGTAAATAGATGAGTGCAATATCTTCATTGTATGGAAAGGAGAAGTTAATTTGATTGATGACAACTCAGGGAAAGTACTCAAAAAATTTACAACTGGATAGTGTTTTGGAGAATTAGAATTTTTGACCAATCAAAAGAGATTAGGTACTGCAATTAGTTGTGATTTCAGTCAAATCTATTATATATCTAGGAATCAATTTTTGAAAATACTGAATTCTTATAATAATGATTTTTAAAAATTTCATTTGTTGAAGGATTAAATTCTATTTCATTATCATTCTTCTACTATTGAGTGTTATTGTTGCCAAGAATCCCATTCTATTTGGAAATGTCCTTATATACACTATAAACCTGATTTGGAAAGAGTAATCAAGAAGAGTTTCTTTTAAGATTCTTTTTAAGAACGCTCCTAATTCAAAAGGAAGGCAATTCGTTAAGGTGTTTATTATTAGGAGAGTCTAATGTAAAGTTCAAAGCATATCAAAACATCAAACGATTTAGATAATGCGACTGGAGGAGATATCCAACAAATAGGATCTATAAATGAATCAAATGAATCCCCTGAAGAAAGTATTAAACATGAAAAAAAAAGTGATTAGATTTTGACTTTGTCCTATGGTTTACCTAGTGAAAAGAGGAGAATAAGTCAAAGATCAAAATTTATACCTGCATCTCCTCTTAAAACAGAATCTCCATTACTAAAACCAACTGACATTCTACGGTATGGTTAAAGACCAAGGAAAAGCCTTTTCTTTGCTGAATAAAGTGTTTTTACTGCTAATTAAACCAAGCGTCATGAACCTATCTAAAAAACTGCATCTTTAGGTTAATAACAGAATTTCATTAAATAATCATCTAATTACGAAAATGATAGTAATCCTGAACCATTAAATATAATCGAAGGATTAGATAAAATGATAATTTACTCTCACTATTTTCCAGATAATAATTTTGACAAGATCATTGAATCTTTCTTGAAATACATAAAAAAATTTAGATTAAGCAGACAATATATGATTCCAAGCAAATATTCCTTTGTAAGATTATAAAAATATGATAAAATGAAATCCTAAGGGAAAAAAACGATTGGTTTTAAATAACATGATTTTATAAGGTGAAATCTTGGATTTAGACAGTTTCTTATAATGATTACCAATTAATTTTAAAATTAATATAACAGTTTTCGAATTTTCATAATTTCTATAATTTCTAATTATACTGAACCTATTAATGTGATTTCTTTAAAATTTAATTTGAAAATCACATAGAATAAAAGATTAAAGTAACATAATTTAATAATTGTGCATTATTTGTCAGATTATTTTTTTGACAATATAATGTGCACCTATGCTTCTAAGTTTCTAATTGAAATTTGTATATCTTATTTCACATCGCAAAAAGCATACTTAATCTCTTTACAATTATAGATTAGCTCATCATTAAATTTATATCTTTTCTTTTTTTCTAAGGGTTTTTCATATTTTCCAGGCCACATTGTTTGTATCAAACCTTCTAAAGTATTCTAACTCTGAACATTAATATAGAATTGCAATGTTTCTATGGCATCAGATTACTACATATATTTTTCTTATGGGTTATGAAATAAATCTTTGCTTTTCTTGTTTATTCAATATCCTTTGTTGATTTTGTCAATTAAGTATAACATTTGCTGACTCTAAAACCAGATACCATATAGCTTGAACATTGATTTACTAGGTTGTGCTTGTTTTTTGAACATAATTTGTTCCATAACGATATCTGATAATTATAGATAATAATAATAATGAATAATGTATTTTAAACTAAATAAATTAAAGATTTTATTTTTATTTGAAATATGACCAAAAAAACAAAGAAGGTGGGAATTACAGGTAAATATGGTACCAGATATGGTGCTTCTTTGAGAAAAATAATCAAGAAATTTGAAATTTCTTAGCATCAGAGATATTTTAACACCTTCACCGGAGCTGTATGAATTGAATTAGATATTTAGCATTCATTGAAAAGATAGGCTATTGGTATTTGGAGATGCACACAAACAGGATTACAAATTGCAGGTGGAGCTTGGGAAGTAAAGTAAGTGATTAATCTATCATGAGTACTCCAGCAGGTTTGTCTGCCAAATAGGGTATGCTCAGAATTAAGAAATTGAAGGAGGATGCAGAAGTTGAAGTCAAAGATGAAAAGAAGGATCAAAAATAAAAGCAATAATAATAGCCTAAAGAATAAAAGGAATAACAACAAACTTAAAAATAAGGATAAAAAGGAAAGCAATAGTAATAAGGAGGAGACAAAAAGAAGGTCCAAGCAAAAAAACAATGATATCAAATATATTATTTTACAGTACACAATAAATGCATTTTACATTCAAATAACTTCCCTAAATATTACCAACTTACAGAATTATTATAGATTATATAATTATACAAGAATATTATAAAATGATATTTAAATATCTGTGAATTTATTGATTTCTGATAATGGAGGCTTGATTTAAACAATAATATAAAATTTAAATATATAATAATATTCATGAAAGCAACTAATGTTGGTATTGAAGCGATTGAAATCTACTTCCCTAAGACCTATGTTAATCAAGCAGAATTAGGTACTAAAAAATATATAGTTTTCAGAATTATTTGATAATGTTTCGCAGGGTAAGTATACCGTAGGATTGGGATAAGTGAATATGGCCTTTGTAAGACCTTTTGAAGATGTAAACACCATGGCATTGACAGGTATGTAGAGATCTCTATGTTAGTTGTCACTAATCTATTAGAGAAATATTAAATTAATCCTGCATTAATAGGTAGATTGGAAGTGGGCACAGAGTCATTATTAGATAAATCTAAATCAACTAAGACAACCCTTATGAGATTGTTTGGTGAAAATACAAATATTGAAGGAGTGACTTCAATAAATGCATGTTATGGAGGAACCAATGCTTTATTTAATACTATTAATTGGATGTAGAGTGAGGCTTGGGATGGTAGATTAGGCCTTGTTGTTTGTACTGATATAGCAGTTTATGCTAAAGGATCAGCACGTACTACTGGAGGAGCAGGAGCAGTGGCAATGTTAATCGCTCCGAATGCAACTTTTACACTAGAACCAATTAGAACTACTTATATGAAAGATAATTACGATTTTTATAAGCCAAACTTTCACAGCGAGTATCCCACTGTCGATGGCCAGTTGTCAATATAAAGTTATTTATCATCTATAGACAATTGTATTCAATCCTATTTTAGGAAAAACAACAATGTGAATGCTGATTTTTATTGTTTTCACAGTCCTTTTCATAAGATGGTTTAGAAGTCCTTCTTAAGAGTCAAGTTGAATGAATCATTTGTCTAAAAAGTTGAGACTGGATTCACATTCTAAAATTTCAATGAAAAATAATCACAAATGCTTAAATTCTATTAGAATGATTGGTTGAATAAGGCTCTACCATCTTGTCTTTTGTCAAGAGAATTAGGTAATATCTATACAGGAGCTCTATATGCAGGATTAGTAAGTTTGATTTAAACCTAAGATGACTTAATAAATAAAAGAATAATGATGTTCTCATATGGATCAGGCTGTGCAGCTTCACTCTTTTTTTTGAGATGCAACAAATCAACAGGAGTATTGAAACAAAAGTTGAAATTGCAAGAAAGACTCCAATAAAGAATCAGAATACCCTGTATTGAATATGATCACATCATGTAACAACGAGAAATAAATTACAATAAGAATAACCAATAATATTAACCAAAATAGGTTGACTTATATCCAGGGACCTTTTATTTGAAATCTATAGATGACAAGTATAGAAGAGAATATCTTGTTCATAAACAATTTGAGTTAAACTAAACTTCAGATATGATAGTGGTTGATAATTCTAAACCCATCAATAAGATTCAGTAAATTCGAGATTAAATGACTAATAATAATAGCATTACGGATTAAAGTACTTAACAATCTTAAAAGTAATATAATTAATTATGGACTGGATTTTATAAGAAAACAATTTAATAACGATTGGATTAATTAGAAAAAACTATGAATGTAAATGTTGAACCTTTTAAGGATGGAGGATTGTCATTATAGAATGCAAACTTAATGGTTGAAAATTGTATTGGAAAGATTTCCTATCCTCTTGGTTTGGGATTAAATTTCATGATTAATGGTCAATGCTATTCTGTACCTATGGCAATAGAAGAGCCTTCTGTAATTGCAGCAGCAAGTGCAGCAGCTAAAACTATTAGCGAAGCAGGTACTGGTTTCTAAACATACTCAAGTCGTCCTGTAATGATGGGCTAAATCTAATTGTTAGATATTTAGAACTTTTCAAAAGTTGAATGTTTAATAGATTCAAATAGACAGACCATAATAAATAGAGGGAATTAAGCATGTCAAAGTATGGTGAAAAGAGGAGGAGGACTTGAAGATGTGAAATGTCGAAATTTAGGTAGAGGACAAGGTAGTGTGGATATATTTGTTAATGTATGTGATAGTATGGGGGCCAATTTGGTTAACACAATTCTGGAGTTTGTTGCTCCTTTGATAGCTGAGATTACTGGAACCAGAGTTGGAATCAAAATCTTGACTAATCTATGCACGAATAGAAAGGTAACATGTCAGTTCTGTTTGGATATAGATAAGATGAATTATAAATAGTTGACTGGCAAAGAAGTTGCTAAATTAATGATGGAGGCATATCAATTTGCAGAACTCGATATTTATAGGGCAGTAACACATAATAAAGGGATTATTAATGGGATTGAGGCTGTGTGCAATGCTGCTGGACAAGATGCAAGGGCAGTTAATGCATCTTTACATGGTTATGCATCAATTAATGGATAATACAAGCCACTTTCATCCTATAAAATAGTTGACAATAAATTTATAGGTGAATTAACAGTTCCTATAAGTGTTGGAACCTAAGGAGGAGTGCTACCTCAAAATCCATTATATTCATAGATTTTGTCTATATTGGATTATCCTGACTCTCAGAAGTTGGCTGAAATCATCGTTTCCGTGGGTTTAGCTTCCAATTTTGCAGCATTAAGAGCATTGGCTGTTGAAGGTATTTAAAAGGGACATATGACGTTGCATGCTAGAAATATTGCAATAGCAAGTGGGATACCAGAACATCTGGTTGATGAAGCAGTTCTGTTTATGAAAAATAGAAATAGTTTTAATAAGTAAACAGCTTTAGAATTTCTAAAGGCTTACAATATATTTTATGAGATTGGAAAGGCTAAAGGAAAGCAAATGAAAGCCTTCTGCACTTTTTCAGGGTCTTTTGATTTAATTGACACATAAGAAAAAGTAGATTTACATGTAGTCTTTGAATGCGATTAAAATAAGATCAATTTAAATTATGCTGATGACTCTCCAATTAATAGACAAATATTCGGATTGAAAGGTCAAGAATGGCTGAAGAATTTGTTTTCAGTGTTGAACACAGTCAAGATTAATAGAGAGGCTGAATTATATAAGTCCAATAATTTGACATCAAAATTAAAGCTTTTAGCCATATTGATCAATTTACTGTCCTTCAATATGTTAAGTCTTGATTTTGATAGATCTAAGAATTTCATTTTGAATTAGAAACCATGTTTGGGTGGAGCAGTGTCTCTGAAATATGGATTGTCGTTAATGAATGAATTAATACACATCTTCGAATACAATATCGATCAGTTTATTGGATTCCCTGAATTAAGATAAGCATTGATGGCTGAATTGAATAACATCATTTTGGCGCATATCAAATCATTTGAGTTATTGTAATAAGCAAAACAAGGTTAATTCAGTTGTGATGAATTCTTATGCACTAGATAAAAACGATTGTCTTGTACAATGATGCTACTATGTGATTGTATTTCTTTGAAGAATTTCAGTCCGTCGATAATTGAAGAGATCAAATTACTTGGAAGAGTCATTGAGATTTAGATGACTTTGACAAGAGACACCTAAAAGTGGAACAAGTAAGGTATTATTGCTATAATAGATCAACTCTATCCGAACCTAATGTGTATACTTACTGGCTGATTGCTAACTAGAAACTGATACTCGGGGAGAATAGGGAGATCTTGGCTTCATTTTATAATGAGCACAACAAACTGCTATTGTCTCTGATCTAAGAATTGGAACAGAAGATAACTCCGTAATTAAGTCATCTCAAGGATTAAGCCATGAATGCTATTCAACTATTTTATAAACCGAGATTGTGATAATTATATTAATGAGTATTTTGAAACAAATATCTGACTCAAATGAATAGAATAGAGATCTCCATCCCAATGGTCCGAGATTGAAATTTGATTAAGATCAATTACAAAAATTCCAATTCTAATAAATAGACTCCAACTCATCTTTGCCTCCAAATAAAATGAAAAATACTACTCATTGCGAGTCCACAATTCTCAAATAAGAAATAAGCAAATAGGTATTCATTCCTTCTCTTCTTTATACAGTTGACAAGAAAAAGAAGATCTGAATTTAAGATTGGTTTATATCGAACAAGTTTCCTGAGGACAATTAATAGAAATTCCCTTGTTTAAAAGTTCAAAAACATTCTCCTCATGCGTTCTTATGTGTTGAGTAAAGAAAATAAGTATCTTTTACATCAAGATTGGTGGCAAAGACAAACTAAAAGTAAAAATGCATCATAATTTAAGGAAATCAATATACTCACAGTCGCATCCCATTCATTATCTCAGGTAGTCATGTTTCAATCATCTTAACCATATGGTCCCTCTTCATTCAGATAGTCACTTTATGGATTACACCTTTTATGATCTCATTTTAATAGGAAACTTCAATTTTCTAAGTCCTCTTTATTATTATTATATTTTAAGTCTTTTTTGATGTTTTTATCAAAATCAATAGTCCATTAATCGTAAATGGAGAAACCATATATGATAAGACTGAAAGAATTAAAGACTTCCTAAAAAAGAACCTATTCGAAGATCTAATATATATCTTCACCCTAATCATTTCATTTTTCCCAATTTTCGATAACATTCAGTGGCAAGGCGCCTTTTGTATCATTATCATTTTCATCTCTTACAAAAAACTCAATCAAAATTATGAAAGCCTGTATGAAATTCTTTACTTGAAGGGACAATACCATTACGCTATTGATGTCATATAACTCACAATTTTGATCTTTTCATATGCCCATGTCATGGCATGTATTTGGCATTACGTAGGTGAGATAACCATAGAACAAGGTCAATCTTGGTTGATTTAACGGAACCTGTAAAATGGGGCAATCTGGGAGAAGTATAACACTTCATTTTATTGGGCAACCATGACTATGTCTACTGTAGGCTATGGAGACATAACACCTACTAATCAATTCGAAACCTTGGCTGCTAATTTGATGATGATTCTCTCCAGTTGTATGTTCGGTTATTCAATTAGTCAAATTGGAATGATACTCAAGAGTCAATATGAAGTCTAGTAAAAATATAAGTAATTATTCTATTTCTATCTTTTAGGCGATCTATTATAATTATGAATGCCTTTATGAAAAATAGTTAAGTGGATTTGTAAATTCAGAGCAGAATCAGAAACTATCTCAAATATCAATGTGAAAATGAAGCCAATGAGAATAAGGATGACATCAATAAAATTAAAGCTGATCTGCCTATTGGCTTAAAACAGGAACTCGTCTAAGATGTTTAGATGAATATTATGAAGAAAATTAAGATTCTAAATAACCAGTTCTCTTAATCAACCCTCAAACAACTTTCTCAGTATTTGATAGAATTTAAATTTACTCCAGGAGATGTCATATATCACAGAAATGATCTAAATGATCAAAGCCTCTATTATATACAAGAAGGGATTGTTAATATTTATGAGGAAAATAGTCAAAAACTATTATAATCATTAAAAGCTGGGGAAACATTTGGCGAATATTAATTCTTTTCTGGATTTTAATCAAAAACATCAGTTAAAAGCCAAGGTTTTACCAAAATATTTAAGATTAATCGTTCATCGTTATTGTAGTTATTAAACTAAAATTCTAAAGATTTTCAAAGGTTTCATCATATTAAAGACAATATAATTTTTAATTAGAATTTCTAAATTGTTTAAAAATGCTGTAATTATTGTAAAATGGCTGATCATCTAAATATTGATTGTCCACTTCTGTCATACAAGCCAGATATCCTGTAGAGAATCAAGAAAGCTGATTTAAGACCATCTACATAATAAAGGCATTTTATACAGAGAAACAATGAGAAAGTGCGATGTTTAATGATGCATTCAGCAATTAAAGACACAGTTGAAGAATACAAAGCAAACCTTTCTAATACTTAACTTGATGACGTTGACATGAAGTTATTTTCGACTTATGCTACAAAAGATTTCAGTAGTCATGGTTAAAAAGAATCCCTATTAGATAAGCAATTAACTAGACCTCCTCCAGTTCCACCTTTAAAAAAAAACAGTTCCTTCTTGATAAGATAGAGAAATTAAACTTAACAGAAGAAGGTTGGAATTTTTTTAAATCTAAAATCAGTCTATAGAGATTCCGATAGGCAATTGAAATCTGAGTCTGAAGATGATCAACTAAATAATTCACCCAAAAATTAAACTTCACAATAATTTCAACTTGATTTTAATGACTTATAAATGAATTAGTTTGACGATTAATTTCAAACAACTAATTTCAATATCGATAGATTAATGAATTACTTTGGTTATATGCCTACGTCCAACGTGATTTATGCTTTGAGGAAGTATGAAAGACTCTTCAAGTATCCAAAAGTTAAGACAATTAATTATCATGAGTCAGAACCAAGGAAATTTAGCATTCCCTTGTATTATAGTAGAAGGGATTCAATGAATGAATTGTTGAAAGAAAAATTTTGAGTAAATAATGAATTAAATATATTAAAATGTTTAATAAAAAATTTAAAAAACAAGGTTCTTTTTCATTTCATGATCAAGAAACCAAAGAATAAAATAGTAATACTAATGCATCTAATATAAATTAAAAAAAATAGACTCAAAATTGCTTAACTTTTGAAAAGGATGAAAATTTTGATTTAACTAAAAAATATGTGAAAGTAGACAAAAAACCAGTAGTAGACACTCACAATCATGTAATCTAATAGGAGAAGAGCGAGTATCTAAAGGAGTTGGAGGAAGAGAATAGGATGAATAATTATATAGCAAAAAACAGTTTGGAAAATGTGGAGGAAATCAATATTGTAGATTTAGAAAATGATGGAATTTATGAAGATAATCAATAAGTAAGGAGAAATAAAAAATAGCAAAATATAATTATAATAGATGAAACAGATAATAATTTAATCACAGATATGGATAATAGGAGAATGAATATGATAGGAATAGCCAAATAAGAAAAGGTTTTTTATGAGCATCAATCAGATGATGAAGAATTCAATAGATTTGAGAAAAACATCATTGAATCTAATATTGTCTCATATGATTATGCAAATAATGGTTTTAAGACATTCAATTTTAATGACTCATAATAAATCAACTATTGTGGTTTTCTTGATAACTTCTCATAAATAAATTTGAAATCAATACTTGGAAATTTGTAAACACTTATCTCTTAAGAAATTTTCAAAAAGGACAGATTATAAAATGAAGCTGATAGATCCATCTAAGTTCTTTAGTCAAGTAAAATGTTGATAAAAAATTGGCTAGAATAAAATTAAGATTTATATAAGCAATTAAGAGAATTTGAGTTAGTAAATGAATACTTCCAATGTTTTAATGATATGATAAAATAAAAGGTAAAAGTTTATTATGTAACCCTAGATACCAACTCTTTTCAAATTATATGACGAATTTGAGGAAATGCATGATGAATATTATAATTTGATTGAAACAAGAATTGAAGAATAAGAATTGATATTTTCTTATTTGTTTTAAGGAATACCAAACGAAATAATTCTCAACTACGCCAAGGATATTTGCTTACATATGAATGATGTAGATGAAGAATACTTAGATTTAGAGAAGATTTGTGAAAATTACTTTAATGTAATGTTTGTGGTACCAAATGCTAAAGTCCTATAACCAATCTTTGATTATCACATTTTATTGAGATTTATTGAGTTGTATTGCGAAAACCTGAATGATTGTGAATCCGATTTGTTTGATGGTTTAGTCTCTGACAAATCCTTACTATGTTAATTGATAATGTAATGCAGATTCATAAAAGGATTATTAACATTAAATCCTGTTCAAACCAAATTTATTCAACAATTTTTTAGATCAATCTTAAAACACACCTATCAGTTTTTAAAATAATCAAATACAGAGGAGGCACAATAATGTTTGAATTACATCAAATCGTTGCTTGATTCAGTTGTAAAATCAATTTACAAGAAGTCTTGTATTTATGGGCCATAAATAGTTGAATATTTAAATATGATGAAAGATATTCTACCTAAAGATACATTTGAAAAACTAATAACAATTGTTTAATGAATTATAGTGTTTTATATTGATTCTTAAAACTTAAAAATTTAAATTTTTTGATTTACTTTTTAAATATGATAGGATATTAAAAACAGATATTAAATATCAGAGAATATGTATTAGAATCACTTATTAATTATTTTACATTGAATGAGTTGAGCTCTTATAATTTTATATCGATCTATTGTATTATTTGAAAAGTATCTTTTATAGAAACAGCGGACTTCCAAAATTATTTGTAGCAATTAATCAAAAAAACTTATTTCAAATAGGACTATGAATAGGAGCAAAGTAAAAGTAAAGGAACACGATCTAGGGGTAAAAATATAAAGAATACAAGAATATTAATTCTAGTTAGGCACTATCATCAATTTATTAACTGTAACTTAACCCAAGAATTTTCCAAGCCTCTTAATATCCAAATCTCTAAAATTTGTTAACCTAATTCATTAAAGTTGTGTATACTTAATCAAATTCGAAGATCTTTTCAACTGTAGTGTTTTCGTATAGTCCCTCTTCAGGGTTTAATAATTGCTAGGCCATTTAGGAAAGTAAAAAGTTATAGGATTTTAATCCATATTTTAATGCTCCATTCAAATATATCTCACAATTTGAGAGATTAATAACTAGGATTTATTTAATAAAATACTTGAATTTATAGAGGTACATAAATCTCCATTAAATATTTCATCTACTTCATCAATATTTGTTTCGTATAATTAGGATTGCGTCTCATCATTACTATTAATGTATCTTAATTAAATTTCTTTATAGTTATAGATATCTATGTAAGTTTGATTGAAGAAATCATATAGAAAGAGTTCTTTGGATAATGTCAATGATAGCAATTATGTAGTTTCCTTAGTGAAATTGTTTGAATTCAACAGATCTGACATCTAATAATTGAATCTCATAATGTGAATAAAGTAGAAGTAGCTTAGAAATGAAATCAATGACATAAAAAATAGATACCTCACAATCATTACAATCTTGATTGATTAATTAAACAAATACTTTTATTCTTTTCCATCTTTTTGACCATTCATACTGCTTTTACTTCTATCTCTTCAAATTACTACTCTTTTCATCTTCCTCCATTTGTCGAATGATTGTTTAATTGGTAGATTAAAAATAATCTAATTTAATTGACTTATTATTTACTGTTTTATACGAAGCCATTTTGATTGCTGATGCAAGAAAACTGAAATTTTAGATTCAAATAGAATTTTATTGCTTCTTCCACTTATGTTTTTTCGATATAAGATAATTGCTTAGCAACTTTCTAAAGGTAAGAAATATCATACTTAGCATTGTGTGATGAGTCCAAGAATGTTGAAAATGTTATAGATTAAATAAAATCCAAAGATTGCTGTTGATGTCATTATGATTGTGAAGCATATTTAATCTTGGGTTTCATATGTTTGAGTCAGCTTGTCAATTATTTAAAATATGTTTCGACTTTGATAATTAAAAAGGAAAGGTATGAATGTAGTTCTAAAGAAATCTAATGATTAATCAAAATCATAGTATTGATCTATCGACTAAAGATTTCCAATATTAGAAGTGTATTAATTTATTAAATCAATCATGCTTTAGTTGTTATCAAAATTTTTAGATTTGTAGACTTTTTATATAAAACTTGGCTATTCATATAAATTTTTAATATCAGATAACTGATTATTAAAGCTATTTTGTAAGTCTTGATAGAATTCAGATTAGTTTTTAATCTCACTTAAGATATTGCTTTAACAATAAAATGCATTAAGCAACTTATCATATGATTCAATCATGATATTAAGAAAATCATACTACTTCTTAGCACTTTAAAACTTTGATAATATAATCGATTACCCCTAATTCATCAATTTCTAATTAATTAATATTAGGACCCTAATACAAAACTATAAGGTTAAATATAATTAAGAAGACAATGAAAATTCTATTTAGAATTTTAAAAAAGTTGAGTTACACATCTCTTTTAGCAGGTTTATTGTTTTCTTCCTTAATGAAAATATTGTTTTGTGTCTTGAGACTCAATGTGGTTATTTTTTAAGTATTGAAATCAGATAGCACTTGATCTTCAGACATGAATGCCCTATTTGTAGTGTTTCGATATGATTCCACATCTGAATTTTATACTAGCATATAATAAAATATAACCATTTGAAAGAAACAACTTTTAGTAATTCTAATCAATTTGCTGTTGAAAGTTTTATTCAAGGAATAACTAAAGATGCTATGATTAATGACTCTAAAAGACACTTTATCTTTATCGGACAACTTAGTTTTATCTATTGAGCAATTTAACAGCCTAAGTTATAGGATAAATAGAATTACTTTTGCTTTTCTATCCAAGACTTAGCTTTCTATAATATTTAGATTAGTAATTTTGATTATTTAATATTTGTCCATGATTGTATTTTTAGTGAATCGTATTGAGGCTTCAATCTTAATAACCGTCTTTAACATTCTGCTAGTCATACAATACTTTTAAAAGCTGGTTTCTAAATATCGATATATACTTTACTAAAGTGATTATATAAGGTTTCATAGTAGTGTTCTTAATATTAGAAAAGCTTAGAAAAGAGGATCTTCTTATCAAATACAAGTTTACCAGCAGAATTTCTCTATACAATTCTCTGATTTTTAAGTTTATTTGATTTGATTGTTATTTGATCCAAGCCATTCAAAAATATGTCTTGTTTTATTTAAGCATAATCCTCAATCAAAGGTTAGATCTTTTTGGGCAAACGAAAGGTTAGTTTAACATGATCTTCATCAATTACTTTATGAAATCTTCTGAATAATTGATCTTTTTCTTCCTATTGATCTTCATGCAAGGCATCATTTATCCAAAGAGGACTTTCCTCTACATTTTTTGAATCGTCTTCTAAAACCATGCTTACAAGATCTTATGTCTCCTATGGCTAAACGTACTAATTTTTGTAGTTAGTTGGAACTATGGTAATTTTCTTGTTTGTGAATTTTGCATCTACGATTGAATCTTGATTTGTATTATCATTTTTAGCTCTTTTTAATTTAAACAATTGAAGATCTTCTTCAGTCAAAAATTATGAATAATATGAATATTTCAATAATTTTGGACATAACAAAAATAAGCATAAGCCTGGTTAAAGGAGTTCTGCAATTTACTCTGAGACACAATCTATCTCCCAGTCGCTGTTAACCAAGATATAACTGACACTTTAATGTCTATAAATAGGTCTAATCATGCAAATATATTCGATTTGAGAAAGTGGACTTACATGCCATTTCAAATACTTCTTGCATGGCATAAGGTACTTTTCATTATTTAAGGCTAAAACCTTTCTCTTCTTGTATAAGGATTTGCTCTTACCAGTTTAAACAAATTGATCAATGCCAATTTAATGATTTCTAATGATAGTTATTGGCAGTAATTGGCTTATGTTATTAAATTGTTAAAATCCAAAAATGTCATAAGTGGATTCACTCACATTTACTATTTGTCCAGATTGAGTAGTGTGGAAGATTGCTGATGTGTAATTGAAAGGTTTGAACTAGGATAATTGGTCAATCTAATTTTAATTGTCTGAACCTGAATCTTCATCAACTGGTGGTTATATCATATTTTAAGAATCACAATATTCTAACATGGATTATTTAATTTTTTTGTTTAGAACATACAAATGATACCAATTATTAACAAATTACCACTTAGGTCTTCTTGTCAGATAGTTCTTGACAATTGGTTTATCTCTGTTTATTATCTTGTACTTGCTTATTTGACTCCACAATTCATCAGACTTTTAAATGGTCATAATAATTTACTCATTCAAATTCCATAGATCCTATTCATAAATTACTTTTTATTTGACTTGTCTCCAAAATTTGATACTAAAATCAAGAAAATTATGGATATTCTATTCTATGGACTTCATAATAGATTCCATCTTGACGACATATTCAAAATCTGATTCGTTTTGATAGCTTAAACTATTATTATCAATAATTTCATTTTAGAATTAAAGTTCTATTTTACTTAAGTCAAAGTCTTATAATAGATTCAATTTGTAAGTGCGAGTTAATTTCAATTGCAGTTGAGACTTTATTTGATTATTCATTTGATAATATAGGAATATTGCATAATTCATTCTGATTTTGACATCTTGAGGATGATGAAATAGATATATTTCATACCAAGTTTTAATTAGATATTTCATATACAGAGTTTTCTGTCTCAACATTGAAAACTAAATATTTTTGATGTCCTTATGTTTCTTTGGATCATAGAGACTTCTCATCATACAAAAGCATCTTTCCTTTTTTTCTTAAGGACATGGATTTGAAAAGTGTTGAAATATAATACCCAAATAAAATGAATCGGCTTGACCAAATTCATGATTAAAGTGGATCTAATTAGCAATTGACTTCAAATTAAAGATTTTTTGAATCAAATGATCTCCATCCAAAGCAGGTTAACAAATATGTTGTATTTACTGGTTGAAATAAAATTAGTTGAAAATCCATATGATTAAAGCTACACTTACAATACTAATGGTAATCGAATTGTCACTTTGTGTAAGATTGAAGTGAATGGAAATTGAATTTATTGCTAGTCCTATGGATATGCCAAATAGGGCGAATGTAAATATTTTAAACACTAGTCTCACACTTCGATTTGCGATAAACAACTTGAAATCGCTTATCTTGTACAGAAAACAAGCTATGCAGGTTGATAGAAAAAGATAAATTAAAATTGTAACCTATTTTACTTTCAATATTTACATGCAATTCTTAACTCATGCCTGCGAATGCCAACTGGATGTTCAACAAGATTCTGAAAAGTTCCAAATACAACAATATAAACCTAGATCCACCAGATAATGTATCTTTCTTGACGCAATGATGATTGATAAAAAATAGGATCATTACATTTTGAAATATGAATCTCATGAAGACAAAGCAACTTGAAAGGATTTATTGAATTTGAGTGCCTATCGCAATATTTAGACAATTATTATTAGTTGAACAGTAGACTATGTTTAAATAAACGAGCTAAGTGGGTTAACATGTTATCCATTAATCTATCAATAAAAGTTAGGTTAATATCTAAATTATGAATAATTAAAACTTTAGCACTTGACTAGTCCATTAAGTTCTTCTTGTTCTGATATTTCACCTAGTAGTAGCATATTCCATAAAGTGCGTATGTCACAATGCTCTAAGTTGATAACCACCAAAACAATATTTATATTATTATTTCATTTTCTTATATCACGCTATTGATATCCAAGTATTTGATTAGACTGATGATCTGAGAAGATTAGGAAAATTATAAATTAGGGTAATGATAAGTAATGATTACATAATATCTAGCATTCTACAGATTCATCTTACTTTGAAAAAATCCCGCTTATTAACTGACAGAAAGTAATTGTAATCAGCACCACTGAATAAAAATAAGAAGGACGCTTTAGTTTCCCGATATTAAAATTTACCAACAAGTGCTCCATCATTATAATTTAAATAAATGAATGGATTATCAAATGAATCAATTAATTTAAAGTATTATATACATAATTACCCAGCCCTTAATAAGTAAATAAAAAAATTAAGCCCCTTTTCTAGAGAGTCTGCCATTTCCCTTTGAATGTATACAAGCCATTGGAGGCAACTCAAGGCTAGATCAGTTATATTAACTTTTATGACAAATTCCCATTGTTATTTTACTTAATATTGTTTTTTTATAATTTTAAGAATTGTATAAATATTCTTTTTTCTTTTAAATTATCATTTATGAATTTTATAATTTGAGGTTCGTTATAAAAATAAACATTACATAAGAAAACCTAAATTTAGAATTAATATACATTCTATACACAATTATGAAGTTTAATTAATATAAAAATCCAATATAAAATAACTAATCAAGTTGGAAATAATTGGGTGAGTAATTATTTCAGTGAATGATGCTTGATATAATACAAAGAAAATAAATTGAAAATGAAATCATCATTGGATTTGATCTTTATTTGTTACAGAAGATTTAAAAAACCTGTAAATTCTGATAAAGAATAAGAGAATTGATTGCACACAACTTTTATTAATTTAAATAATTATAAAAAGTATCCTTCACTTATGGGATCTCTAGAAAAAATTCATTTTTGATATAATATTAAAAAGTCATCTAATGATTATCTTACTAAATATCAATATCCTACATATAGGTTATAGATTAAGTATTTTTAGATAGTAAAAATATAGTTTCTCATTTAAAAATAAGAATTGATAGGACCAATTATAAATTAAATGATCATCAAATAATAATCTTGCTTTTTGAATAAAAACAACTTTGTAATAGATTCTAGAGATTATTTTTTGTGTTCTAATTGAGAGAACACAATGGTTTTGTATTGTGTTTTTAAAGATACATTTTATTTTCTAATTTTGGAGAGGGTTGAATGTTCCCTATTTATTTATGATATTCTACGGTCAGTAGTCATGTGGAAGAGTTGATGTGGTTAATATTGAGTTTAGGATATAATTGTCAGTTTTTATTTGATTAATAAATGAGCGAAACAAAGTCAAAGGAGAGTTAATAACAATAGAATTTGATAATTATAGGAGGACAGTATGCTTTGAAAAGTTGCATCTATCGAGGAGGGACTCATAATTTGTATTTGGGTAAGAATATGTGATATATGTTGGCAGCGGTGAACAAATAGAATCCAGGGATTTACTTCGTCGTGCGATTAGTAATGTAAATAAGAGTTTAAATTTATTGTTAGTTCATTAAGCTGATAGGCTAACACAAACATAGATAGCATCTAGGAGGAGGAGAAACTGCTGAAGAAATTGAATGTTGGTATAAAAAGTAAGTTATTAATTTAAGTGACATTCATGCCGACAGTATTGGCTTCGGGAGATGTGCGACTACACAATATAAACTACTATTATTAAGTATTTGACAAATATGGACCAAGTTTGAAATTGTGCTTCTAATTTGCAAATAAGAACTTCACTTTAGGGACAATCTGTATGATAGGAATATAGATGGTAACCTTGGATTGAATATTGGTAGTTAAATATATTGGAGAAGATGCACGGTTAGTTCATAGTACATCGTAATTTGAGGCCTAAGAAAATATTGACAGTACCTGGCAAAAATGAATTTGTCTTGATCGACTTTTAACAATGTATTAAATTCAAACACAAAAACGGAAAATACATAGGTCTGGGATCAAAGTTCTCTAGTTAAACCAAGTTAACCAAATTCTCAAGTTTAAATTAGCATTTGGGATTGAGTATTTCAAGTGTTGATTATGATTTAAGCTGCCTCTCCAAAGGATGACCTGGAATCCTTGGGATTTATACTAATGTACTTTTTGAGGAATGGAGACATGTTCAGAGTCAAAGAGAACGGATCTAAAAGTAAACAAATGGAAGAATAAAAGTTGCGAATGATTCCAGAAAAATTTTGTAAAGACATGCCTATTGAATTCCTTCAATACTTCCAATTTGTGAGATTGACAAATGTGTAACAATATCCATTAAGTGATTACGAGTTCTTGAAGAAGCTATTCAGAAACATACTCCAACAACTCAATATAAATGAGAAGGAGTTCTAATATGATTGGGTACAAACACTTGTAATTGTTAGTTGAAGAAGATGAATTTGCAATCCCAAAATCAACAATAACCAAAGGAGGATGGATAAACCAAGATAGTGATCCATGATCCATCAAACTTAGAAAGAATCCAAGAGGTTTAAACAGAATTGGAAAAGTCTTCATTCAAAAGAGATTATTATCGTAATTCATCATCCCTATGCATAAATGATGAGGACGATAAACAATTTGAGAGTGTAAGTAACAAAATGTTACAACTGCCAAATCTGTACGATGTGATTAAACTAAAGCATTGATAAAACTTTTTGTTTCCATATAATATACTTCAACTCAGAATTCAGCACTACCATGATATCTTGGGAAGGGAATCACATCTCTGATGTTCTCAACACCTGTGACCATCATTACGAGTCTTTCGAATCCTAATCCAAAACCACAATGAGGAACTGTACCGTATCTAAATGATAGAATAACTCCATTACTTTCTTAAATCCATGTAGGGTCCATAATCTTCCAATTTCAATCCACATTCCTTTATTCTCTGAGCCAACACATCATATCTTTCCTCTCTCTAAGATCCACCAATCAATTCACCTACTTAAGGAATGAGCATATCCATGGCTCTAACGCATTTTCCATCTAATTATGGTGGTCTAATATACCGTCAGTCACCTTCATGTAAAATGCCTTAATTTCTTTTGGATAATCATAAAGGAAGACTGGTCTCTAGAATACTTTTTCTGCTATGAATCTCTCATGTTCACTATTCAAATCCATGCCCCACTTGATTTCACTGTTCTCAAATTTGGCTCCAGCTTATTATGCCTTCAATAAAATATCAATTCCTTGAGTGTAGGAACAACGAACGAAATCCTTACTCACAATGTCTTTAAGATAGTCTATCAATCCAGGCTTGACTCTTTTGTCCAAGAATTGAAGATCATCAATATTGTTTTACAATATGTAATTGATACAGAACTTAACATATCCTTCTGCAGCTTCCATGTTGTCAAATAGATCAGCAAATGCAAATTCTGGCTCAATCATCCAAAACTCGGCTAAGTGTCTATGAGTATGAGCCTTCTCTGCTCTGAAGGTGGGACCAAATGTATATACATTGGACATACTGATGCAGAAATGCTAACATAATTAAGTCATCATTTTACTTCCACTTATAATTAACCAGAAACTGTAAGGTTCACTTCCTTCTTGAAGAAATCCTAAGCGGTATCTACTTTGCCTTTTATTTAAGGGATCTTCGAGATATCGTTATCGAAGATAGTAGAAATCCTGAACATTTCTCCAGCACCTTCGCAATCACTTCCTGTAATTATTGGTGTGTGGATGTACAAGCATCCATTGTTTTAGAAAAACACATGGGTGGCATAGGCCAAATTATTTCTGATTCTGGTGACAGCACTAAAGAAATTGCCTCTTGGTCTCAAGTGAGCTTTTTGTCTTAGAGTCTCTGGTTTCTAAACTCCCTTTGCCATAGGATATTCCTCAGGATCAGCTTATCCAATAATGACAACTTCATGTTTTGTAGGGTCAGCAACAAGCATTTCTATCAATTATCCCTTGGCAGGACTCTTTACAATGTTTCCTGTCACTTTGAGTGAAAAACCTGTATTGGTTTTAGCAACTTGTTCAAAATTGCCGATCTTATCTTCAACGACTATCTAGAGACCACCAAAACTTGTTCCGTCATTCAACTCAATGAAACAAAGATTCTTCTAATCTCTCACTGTTCTTGCCCAACCTGCTACTGTCACAGTCTAACCTATATATCTGAATAATAATTAACTATGATACTTACCCTTCACCAGCATTTAACAATTCTTAGATTCTATATATTGTTCCTACATTATATTTTGGTAGATGCTTCTTGTACAATTCTTATGGCAAATCCCAAGAACGTGGAAGCTTATTCAATCTCTTGGTCACATCGAATTATGGCACATCTACCTAATTTAATAGATGAGTTTGGGAGTACTTTGAATCCAGCAGGCAAGGATGGTACATTGATTGGTTTCTCAATTTCTCCAATGAGTTTTTCTGTTTTCTTGGCTTATTTTTGAGCTGCTGCTGCTGCCTATTTGGCTACGTTGGTAAGAGTTTTGACTCTTGTGAACAATTCATCTGATTCTAAGAATTAGTATTACATGTAATGATATTTCTAATTTAAATCATTTTTTCATCAGATTCATTTATTCTTACACCACATTCAATATTAAATATTTATATAGAAGGTAATTATAGTTAAATATTATTCTATTATTTATTTTAAGGATTAGCTCCTGTCTTCTCAACTCCATCTACTAATCATTCCATTTAAAATTATTATTATTTATTAAAATGTATTTTGAGAATGATGATGAATATCTTATTCCAAATGAGTCACAAATTTACTCGTCCTTCCAGTCTGAGAACGAGATGTCCAAACTTCATTTTCTTGCTGTTAATTAATCCAAATATGAAACTCAGCATATACTTTATGTATTAATGTAATTTAAACATCTAGCTCTCATAGTACTTCCTAGAATTTGACTTAAAAAAACTAAACATTCAAACTGGACCTTTTATATCTGTTTGCCTAACTAAATTGACACATGAACTCAAATCCTAAAATCCTCATTTGATTACCAAAATCCTTGTTCGTACGAGAACGGTAATTATCATCTCGATTTGCGTAGCTAATAACAAATTTATCATCCATAAATGACCTTCATATTGGCTTTTTGGAATCCTGCATTTTGTCCTCCAACTATAAGATTGGATATCAATTCATCAAGTCCAAAATATTTTCACACGGATGTTTGGAAAAGAAAAGTTTGATCATGATTGAGTACTTTTATTTATCGGGTGTGATTGCCAATGCTTAGATGGTATGGAAGATAATTAATTGAACATAGGATTTCGATGAGGCTCTGAGATGCTATAGGATTGCTCATAAGTTTAGTCCCACTGACAACTTTACAGCAGAGGCTCAGAAGATGGAGACTTTGCTTTCCTTCAGATTGGGTTTGGAGTTGAAGAATTGGTCTCATCCAGCAAGTCAAGAATTAGTTATTAAATTGTAGAGTCATATTAATCACAATGAATATAGAGAATTAAAGGAGAAGGATCTTGATTTCCAAGACAAGGACGCTTATGTATTTGTCAATCCCTGATATCTTTAGATTTGCTTAAAAGAATGGTCCTTACAAGCATAACTCTATTAATTTTTGAGAAATGAGTAAGAACTTCATTCTAAAGTATCGTTTGAATTGATAGCCCAACATTTTAGACTCCAGAATTTAGACACTCTCATTGATCTCCTGTTGCAAATCAATAAGATCCATAGCATGTTCTTGATTAATGAGGAGAAACACTATATTGAATTCAAATACAATAGTCTAAATTATAAGGATATCAATAGCAAATTGGAAAACAGGTATAATTTGCTCAAATTGTTAGCGGATACAAAGTGAATATTATCAATGTTATCAGAATGTTTATAAATAATATATATATATAGATATATAGTCATGCATTTTAAGAGAGAGTTGTGTGAATATTGGGACTTTGAGCCTTTAATTATTATTAATTTAATCTTGATTCCAGGTTGTAGGTTTCTGGTTGCAATCTAACTCTTTTGATCTTCTCGCTTTAGAATATATGCTAAAAAGGACGAATTGGAGATGTCTAAATGATGTTTTGCTTTAAGAATTGTTGATACTTCGGATTCAAGTATGGCTACTTATTCTGATCTTAAATTAATTATCTAAAATACTTAAGTACGAGACGGCATTATAAATTGTAAGCGATGCTAAATCATTATGATAATCATGATCTTTGTCTAGTTTCTTGCCTTTGTCTATTTTTGGGAAACTACTCTTCGGAGACTGTTCAGCTTTATAATAGACAAATAAATCGCAATATTGTTCATATTCAAAATCTTTGGATTTCATTTGATAGTACAAATAAGTGAGCAGAGTTTCCAATTTTACATGCAAGGGCAATTATTGTCTCTGCAATACAGTATACTATTCTGCAGGTTCTTGGATAGGAGCAGGACTGATTCTTTCTGCAATTCTTCCAAGAGCCTCGACAAATTCAATGAAAGTCATTCTGATATTCCTATCCAAAGCAAGTTCGTCAATTTGGGTCATCATCGAAAAGTTGTAAATAATAACTTAGAGTTTCTCTGACAAATATTCGTGAAGACTAAATTGTTTACAGAACTCCTTGAATTCTCTAATGGATATCCATTTCAATTTAAAATACCATTTTCTGTTAGTGATGTCAGTAACCTAATCGTACAGTCGTTTGATAAAGGGCATCTTGATTTGCAATAAATGATCGCATTCCTTCGTCCACAATCTGCAAGACCTCCATTCTTGGATCAAATCGAAGCGTTCATATTGTTCTTTGAATTCTTTAAGCAATCTGAAGAGCGCATCTGCATAACTCTTATAAATGTCAGTTCTGACGTATTTGTCATTGGCAATTCGAAAGAACATCTCCAGGAATTGGTATCTAATAATAGCCTTCTCTGGATTGTAAATGTATTTGGGATCAACATTATTTTTTAATGAAACGATGTCAATTTCAACATCTTAAGCTTTCAATAGATCTCCATCAATGATGGCGAGTCTGTTGAGCAATTTCATATATTGGGGGAATTGAATACAAAATACATCGAAATTGGGTGGTTAATATCCAACACTCGAATAGTACTTATAGACGTCTTTGATTAACTAGTAGTGTTGTCTGAAATATTCCTTTAATTTCAATCTCTCGTATTCACTTTTTACAAAACGACTAATTTTGCTGCTATTCCAATCGAATTCAAAGCATTCAGTTAGTAATTCCTCAGTATCACCAACAAATGGTCTAAAGATAGAGTCTTCCTTATGCCATGTGATGAGATGAGCTTGTTTTCTAACTAAAAAGTTGGCAAACCTCCTCAACACATACTTCTTTTAGGAAGATCTTGGGAACACCTTAATTAGGGGTTTATAATTGTCCTTGTCATCAATGATATATTCCTGTCTTGAAAAAATGTAATTGACTTATTGGATTTTAGTGAAGGCTAGTTTGGTGCCATCTGAGAAGATGTGAATTGAATGTTTGGGATCTTTGCCTTACAGGATGGCATTATCCAGTGGGGCAGGCATATTCATTACTCTGGGATCAATGAAGTATTCTTCTTTGATTGGATTGGAGAAGAAATATAAGATCTTTCGTTTTGGAGGACACATTTAGTAAGTAGTATAGTAAAATTTACTTAATTCTTGGATCATTTGTTTAGTTATTTCTTCGCTTTTTTTGTTTGTCTCCTCTGCATATGCTTCGGTTATGGCTGCCAAGGTTATTCTCTTTTCAGTATTTACTAATTGTTTTAACTAATGAATTATCTCTCCAGTTGTCAAATCGAAATAATTACTCTTTCTCTGTTAAGCTTCAATCAACTATTATCTTAACTCATAACTACTTGTCATAGGGATTGGTTAATAACTAATAGTTGTGACAGAAATTACTCTAAGAAATCCAGATGGATGAAGATTGGATCTTAGTTGTTATCATTCTCAGGGTTGTATTAAAATCGATATTCCATCCATCCTTGACAAATCCAACAACAATCATTTCCGAATAGATTGTCTCCTTGCAATGGGATATAATTGACACCGTCAATGGCAGTTTTCTTTTATTAAACAACTTTAAATTCCTCACTATCATGAGTGAATTGTATGAATCCGTATGGGTTCACTCTGGCTGAACATTTGTTCCCTTCAATGTGCAAACCATATAGAGTATTATTCTTTTGTAAGGCCACACTAAACATCTAGAGTTGTTTCTCACTTAACTAATTGTAGGAGATATCTAGATGAGCTAAAGTTATTTAGGGATGAGAGATTGTTTCGCACAAAGATTGAATGAAATTGCTTCTTTCATTCTGTCCTAAGTGATTGTAACTTAAATCAAGGACTTTGATTGATCTGTTTTATTGTAACCCTTTTGCTATCATGGTTCCTGCTGTGGGTCCCAATTGATTCCAATTCAATATCAACACCTCTAGGTAATTGTTTTGCAATAGGAATTAATAGAATACTGTGGAACATGAATCAGTTATTTGATTTTCTGACAAATTCAACTTTAACAGAGTTATATTTTTTTAGAAGCAATTCAAAAGCACAGAAACTCCTTTGTCTGCCAATAAATTGTTCTGCAGACTTAGAGATTTTAAATTTGGAAACTTCTAGATTTGATTGGATAATATTATTGCCCCTCTTCGTCCCAATACGTTGTTGCCTAAATTAATTTCTTTTAATGAAAGAGGGAATCCCTCAACCAAGTAGAGTAATGATTTGTCATCCAATTGATTATTACATAAAAATAATTGTTTAACGCTTTTACTTTTGACTGATTGCAACAGGTTCTTAATCAAAGGGAAATACTTTTCAGTCAAACCAAGATCAGAAAAGTGCATCTCCTTATCATTGACCAGGGAATTGGACAAATCTATCCTCTTTGGGAAGATGTTATCATTCAAACAATAAAAATGGATTGGATCCACATTCTTTTTATTGAAATTGATGGCGAGATCTTTCAATCTATCTTGTCGTTTGATAAAGTAGAAATAGGATTAATCTATTTCATGATCTAAATAGTATATATGAATCGATATTACTCAACTTTTATTAGATCTTTTTAATCTCCTACTGCATTTCAACTCCATTAAATCTTTTAGGTTCCTCTTCACTACTTGCATTACTTATTATATCTTCGTCATCTTCATACTCAAAACTATTCCCTCTCGGTATCGACTATTATTCAGTCTCCACTATTTCCCTTGAGATGTCTTCATGCATTTCTTAGGTTTCTTTCTTGCCATTCTCGATCGGCGAAAACCTATGCTTCAATAATCCCAAAGGGAAATTCTTCTTCTTGTTTGCTCCTTGATCCGATTGAACCGAAGTGTTGGTCAGAATCTATCTCATCTCCGTCAATTTGTCACCACTCTTTATATAATAAGCCATAAGACTGTGATCGTTCGAATATTAATTATCAATCAATAGTTTGGAAGCTTTGAATTTGCTTTCAGCTATTTTGTTGTCTGAAATGCTCCGATTCGATCTGAAGAAGGATTTCAATTTCTGAGCCTTTTCTTTTGAGTAATCTTTCAAACGAGGTAGTTGGCACTTAGATCTCTCATTACTACTTTTCATTTCTAATTAATTTATAAATAAACCAAGTTTTAATAGATTTTAAATTTTACCTGGACATAAAAATTCACTAAATTATATTGCCATCCCTCACATTAGCAGTTCTTAATAAATGATATTAATTGATTTAGACTTTAAATAAACATAAAGGAGAAAATTATATTCAAGGTTTCATTAATCATCATACTCTTCCATTACTGCTATCATATTGTTTGTTTACAAGGCTTATTGCTATTGTTCAAAAATAGTTGTCCTCCCTGTAGTCTGTCTACTGAGTCCATTATTATTCAATGTGTAAATAGTGTTTGGATTAATCAGAGTTCTCTTTTTAACAATCTATTACAAGAAATTTCTATAATTTGGATGCAAATATGGTTAATGATGAGAATCTAATACCATAAAATAAATGTCATTACTGATAAATGATATCGTATTGTATACAGTTAATTGATTGGTTGTAATGATGAACTCGTCTGAATTCTCTAATTTCGATTGCTTTTCATAGACCTTTGGCATAAAAATAATACGGGTTTCCTAAGCATCGACATTCTCTCTGCAGAATAATTCAGTAAATTAACTAAATTCAGGTTGTCTAAGACTGCTAATATCAATTAATACCTCCTCAATTTAAGAAATATAAACGTTAATAATGATTCTAATTTTATATGCAATGGCAGAGTTTGTCTGGCTAGGACTGGCCAAACCTAAGCATCTTCTCCTATGGGAGCTGGACTTATTTTCTCAGCCACTCTTCCTAATCCCTCCAAAAACTCATTATAAGTCATCCTTAAAAAACGATCTTGAGTCACCTCGTCAGCTTAGGTTTGCATAGAAAAATTAAAAATTACTGTCACTTATTTTTCAGACAGTATATCATTCGTATATAATTTACAAAACTCTCTGAATTCTTTGATGGACACCCACTTCAATTTAAAGTACCATTTCTTACTGGTTAAATCTGAAGCTAAATCGTATAGCTTTTTTAAAAAGGGAGATTTAAATTACAGTATCATATCCACTTCCTTTGTCCAAAATCTCTTCTCTCTCCACTTTTGACTGTTGTCTAGAATTTCATAATGCTATTCCAATTCCTTCAGTAATCTATAGACTGCATCAGCAAAATTCTTACATTATCCTGATCGAATAAATTTATCGTTCGCTAATCTAAAGAGAACTTCCATAAATTGATATCTAATTATAGCTCTATCAGGGTTGTAAATAAATTTAGAATCCACATTATTTTTTATTGACACCAAGTCACTCTCAACATCTGATTGCTTCAAGTTTTCACCATCAACAATTGAAGCCAGAATCTTATTGAATTAGCCATACTATATACAGAAAACATCAAACAAAGGTGGCTAGTATCCAAAACTAGAAAAATATTTATAGATGTCTTTTATCAATTGATATTTCTATCTAAAATATTCTTTCAATTTAATCTTCTCATAATCACTCTTTACAAATCTTTAAATCTTAGAACAACTCCAATCCTGTTCGAATGCCGAATCCAAAATTTCCTCCGAATCCCCAATCATGCTCCTGAAAATGAGAGAATCATCCTTTGACCAAATGCCAACATTCCCTTTTCTATTTTTGAATTTCCCCAAATATTTCGTCAATATGTATTTCCTTTACAGAGTCCTTGGTTTCACCTTAATTAATGCTTTATAGTTATTTTTATCATCAATGATATATTCTTACTTAGTGTTCAAAACATTTACAAAGTTGATTTTTTAAAAAGGAATCTAAGTATTATCTGTGAAAACATGCATTTAGTGCTTAGGATCCTTCCCTTATAAAATTAAGTCATCGAGAGGGCTTTAAATATACTCTAAACTTGGATCATAAAAGTATCTCTCTCTTAGAGGATCAGAGAAAAAGTATAAAATCTTGCTTTTTGGTGGACACATCTGATAAGTAGTGTAATACAACTTATTAAATTCTTCAATGATTTGGCTTTAGGCTTCATTTTTAGTATTGGTTTCAACATGATATGCCTCTTCAATGGCAGCCATTGTAATCTTTTTTTCAGCATCTGTTATTGATTTTAATTAATGAATAATCTCTCCAGTAGTAAGTTCTAATTATTTATTGCTTTTGTTTTATTCGATCAATTATTATTTCATCTCGAAGCTTGAAGTCAACGGAATGGGCTTATAACTATAGTTAATTATTAAAATACTCAAGGAAGTCCAAATGTAGAAATATTGGCACTTATTCACTATTTTACTCAGGAGTATAAGTAAATTGGTGTTCTTTCCACCCTTAACAAATCCAGCAGCAATTGAATTACATCTCTTGAGAATTACATAGTGGGATGTAATTGACTCCATCAATTTGTATTTTTTTTTGTTGCACCTACTTCATCAAATTTTCCTGTTTTGAGAATTGCAGAAACCCAAAAGCATCAATAAAAGCAGGGCATTTGTTCCCTTCTATATGTATGCCATACAGGGTATTGTTTTTTGCGAGTGCTTTTTGCAATAAGGCCATCTATTTCTCATTTATTTGATTGTATGAAATATCTAAGTGACACAAGGCTAAATTAGGATTTTCAATTAATTGACACCATTACATTATGCAATTGCTCTTTTCATTGAACCCTAAATGATTGTAGCTTAAATCGAGCACCTTTAGATTCTTATTCTAAATCAAAGCCTTAGCTATACCAATCCCTGATTGAGGTCCTAATTGATTCCAGTTTAAAATTAAGACCTCAATAGATTGATTTGAGAATAAGAAATTCTATAGTTCTAGAGTAGCATTGTCAGTGATCTGATTCTGAGACAGATTCAATTTTTTGACTGTTCGAGCTTCTCGTATTGCATTAAGAATAGTAATTGCTCCTTAATCGCCCAACAAGTTGTTTGCTACATTCAAGGCCTTCAAGCTGAATAGAGAACAATAGAGTACCTCTTGTGTTTGTTGAATAATTTGGCAATCAGTAGGGCTCCTTGTCTTCCGAGTTCATTTTAGGAGATGTTCAAGTCTTTTATTGAGTCTGGAAAGGAATCAATAAATATTGATAATGAATGTTCTCTCAAGTGATTGGATGACAGGATGACGGATCTCACCTTTTTGCACTTTTTGGATTTTAACAATTGGGATAGCAAGGGGAAATATTTTGAATTGACTTTCAAATCTTTAAAATTCATTTCTTTTTATTCAATTAAACAATTGGATAGATCAATTCTTTTGGGAAATAGATTTTGATTCATGCAAAAGAAGTATAAGGGATTGAGAGAGTCTCTCTTTCTAAAGGTTGAGATTAAATCTTTCAACTTATCTTAATTCTTAATGTAACCGAAGTAAGATCTGTTTAGATCATTAGCTAAGGATGAAATAAGAATTGCTTACATATTTTCTTCTATATCTTGTCTATGTCTTTCTCGAAGTCCTTGAATCTCATCTCGGAGCTTTGATCAGAGTCTTCGTCATCTGAAGATTAATTGGAGGAGTACTCGCAATCAGATCCAGATTCATCAAATAATTGAGTTTTATTTGAGGAGAAAGAGTTGTTACTGCTTTGATCATATAATTACGCATTGATTTATCGATGAACAGTAGTTGGATTGATTTTCCATTTTTACAACAATAAATGTCTTTGAGTTGGTTGATCAATCTTTTAAAAATCCAAGATTTTTTCTTTGCTAAATATCAACAATATCAATTACTAATTCTCTCGAGGCAATCTTTCGGTTTACGGTTGATCATTAAATTTAGGTGATTATTTTTTGGACGAATGGTAAAAATAATGCTATTTTGTATCGGATATACTTCTGTCAGTACGAAAAAACTGTTTTAATTTATCCTTCTTCATTTAAGAATAATTTTAATGGATTTTCGGTAGGTGAATAGACTTTTTTGTATGATTTGAACACTGGATTTCCATTTTAGTAATTTAAAACAGGTAGGAAATTATAATTTTTTTTTTATATTAAAGAATTCTTAATTATCTTAAAGTGGATGTTATTCTGTGACAAACTCTAAGTATAGATGCTTCAATATCAAATGGTGTAGTTTATTTCAAATTAAATATTAATATAATTCTAATAAAAAACCCTTTTAATAATGAACCTACTCTGAAGAATATTGAATGAATAAGGAAAATGAGTGAAACTATAAGAATAACAGTTTAATAATGTCAAATGATGATAGGAACAATTGCAAAGCTAATTCATTCAGGAGGATGACATAGTAAAATATTGGCAAACTTTTATTAATTGAGAATACATGAGAAATGCTATTAGACTAAATGAAATTATCGTATGAATATAATTTCACGATGTTCAACATATAATAAAATGTGATATCCTATTTTCTGAGACCAAATTAATCATTCAATAAATTGAGACCTGTCTAATCGATGACACTTAAAAAAGATTGTGGATAAAAATCAATACTTATATTATAATAAAGAGATAATTTTGAATTGAAAAAAAGGTTTAAAGAGATATTTGATAAACAAATAACACTTAAATGAATAATTGCAAATATATGCTAATTTTGAATAGAATATTGAAGATATCAATATTTATCATTCTTAAGAGAGAGAGAGATTTATAAATATTGCCATAGATTAAAAATAGAGTTGATAAAATATTAGACTACAAAATAAAAATAGAAGCTATGTAGTATATAGTGAAGAATTTTCAAATGTTTAAAAGAGAAAAAGAAAATAAATATAGAAATTGATAGAGGTATTTCAAAAGGAAGAATTAGATGAAAAGAGAATTTGTCTCAAGTGTAATTCAAAATTAGAGTTAGTTTCTGAGAAACTATAATCAAATTAGAACTAACTTAATGAGTTAACCAGAATAGAAACACATTAGTCTTCTTTGAATATCATAATTAAATAAATTTCGTATTTATCAAGTAAAATACTTAGCATCTAGTAAGATGATCAAATCCTCATAATAGTATACTTAATTATAAATATAATATTAAACAACTCAAAGAAAAATGAAAAAATTTCTTGAAAAACATATGAGCAACGATTTCAGTATCCGTATGAATAATTTATCGTAAAATCATGGTAATTAGCTAATATTAATTGATTAGAGTATCAATTAAACTAATACAAATGCTCTTCTCCTGTAGTATTTGGGAATAGATTTGCATCACCTTCGCCATTCAGATCAGTTACTCCAATATAAGGATAATTGTCTCCGGCAAATCAATCTCGCAGAGAAAGTGCGTTTTCAAGAAACTCTGATAACTTTGATTTTTCAGTTAAAGAAAAATCAAAAATATTAAATAAGCCCAATACTTAATACTTTAAAAAATAACAAGAATATTAGGATGAAGAAGAATGCAATATTGATTACTTTTTTGATAAAGAGCAGATCATTATCGAAGAGTAAGAACTTTTACATGCAAAGCTTAGAATGATTCGCGATGATTTCAATTTTAAAATCTAACAACTAGAAGATTGTAATTAATTATCTAAGTTTTAAGAGAATACCTGAGAGAAAGATAATCGATTTTACAAAATCTTTCAATTTCTGTTAAAGAAGAGCAAGACAGATTTAATGAACAATCAAAATAAAATAAAAGAAAAAATAAATAGTATGAAATGCACACAAGAACTGATTCCATTAATAAACAAGATTCAAAAAATGATTCACAACCAATTCAAATAGAAATAATGAGGGCAGCTAGTTCAATGAAAGAATAGAGAGGAGATCCTAATCTAGAAAGAAGAGATGGTTTAGATATAAGACGTGAATCTCGCCATGAATCTATTAATGGTTATAGTTCTCATCATCGAAGAGAGTCATCTTACAAAACAGTTAAATTGAGGGAATCCAGAGTTAAAAGAGAAGAATCGCTTAAAGGGGACTCTGTTAAAGAAGAGTAACCATTGAAGAGTGCATTAAAAAAGAAAGACTCAAACAGATAGACCTATAATTGTCAGGATGATTCATAAGATGATTGGAAATTTATTAAAGAGGCTAAAAATAATTTAGAAAAACAAAAAACTTAATTAGATGATAAATAGTCTCCTAATAAAGTTAGATTTGTTAATTAAGAGAAGTCTTAAAAAAAATAATAAGATAAAGTAGTAAAATCAAAATATTTAAATGATATTGACATTTTTTTAAAATGTAGATATTGAATAAATATACATATTATAAAAAACTTTAATCTATTTAATCTATATTCTCCTACCCAAGTCTAATTAAGAATTTTCCCTCTGTACGGAATGCCTCCAAGCCTACTTTTGAATGACAGCGTGCTAATTTTCTCAAATTTCCCTTTGAAAATTAGAATCGCATTATTTACAACGATAATTCGACCATTCAATCTCTAGGAAGGATTTGCCACAACCCAAACCGAAATTAGTATAAACGGAGAGAGATAGAACATAGAGTATTGTTTTATCTCTCTCAGTTTAGGGGGGGGGAGACCAACCCCAAACCCATTTGACATTCTGAAATGAGACCATTAGAAAGTTTATAATAAAGTTACTACCTAATTTTCTAAGAATTATGACCTTGTTTTGTGAATGGCCTCTTTGATCAGTTTAGATTTGAATTATATTAATTGATTAGTTCTTGCTCCTACATCATTTCAATTTGATTGCCCATGGAGATTTGGCGTTTTATTTTACTTATTTGGTATAGGGTTAAAGAGAAATCTTATTAATTGGATTAATAAAATATTTTTTATCTTTTTCTAAATTTTTCAAAAATTGGGTTATTCACATGATTATATGAGTTGTCACTAATGTAATTTAAATTAATTCTAGATCTTCAAAAAGATTCCATTCTTCCAAATAATAGATATATAAAAAGTAAATTTTTCTTGATTTATAACATAAACACAAAATAAAGTTTAAAATTCAATATTTTTTAAAAAAGCAAAATGAGGTGTTAAAAGTAATGAGAATGAAGACTCATATGTCCTTTTTGCTTAATCCAAAGAACATGATGAATCAATCTTCCATGTCTTCATTTAGGCTTTCAAAAAAAAGAAACTGAAGATTGCCTAGAAATTCTCTAATAATTTCAAAATTTAATGTAACTTGAAACTTGCTANTTCAAATAGAAATAATGAGGGCAGCTAGTTCAATGAAAGAATAGAGAGGAGATCCTAATCTAGAAAGAAGAGATGGTTTAGATATAAGACGTGAATCTCGCCATGAATCTATTAATGGTTATAGTTCTCATCATCGAAGAGAGTCATCTTACAAAACAGTTAAATTGAGGGAATCCAGAGTTAAAAGAGAAGAATCGCTTAAAGGGGACTCTGTTAAAGAAGAGTAACCATTGAAGAGTGCATTAAAAAAGAAAGACTCAAACAGATAGACCTATAATTGTCAGGATGATTCATAAGATGATTGGAAATTTATTAAAGAGGCTAAAAATAATTTAGAAAAACAAAAAACTTAATTAGATGATAAATAGTCTCCTAATAAAGTTAGATTTGTTAATTAAGAGAAGTCTTAAAAAAAATAATAAGATAAAGTAGTAAAATCAAAATATTTAAATGATATTGACATTTTTTTAAAATGTAGATATTGAATAAATATACATATTATAAAAAACTTTAATCTATTTAATCTATATTCTCCTACCCAAGTCTAATTAAGAATTTTCCCTCTGTACGGAATGCCTCCAAGCCTACTTTTGAATGACAGCGTGCTAATTTTCTCAAATTTCCCTTTGAAAATTAGAATCGCATTATTTACAACGATAATTCGACCATTCAATCTCTAGGAAGGATTTGCCACAACCCAAACCGAAATTAGTATAAACGGAGAGAGATAGAACATAGAGTATTGTTTTATCTCTCTCAGTTTAGGGGGGGGGAGACCAACCCCAAACCCATTTGACATTCTGAAATGAGACCATTAGAAAGTTTATAATAAAGTTACTACCTAATTTTCTAAGAATTATGACCTTGTTTTGTGAATGGCCTCTTTGATCAGTTTAGATTTGAATTATATTAATTGATTAGTTCTTGCTCCTACATCATTTCAATTTGATTGCCCATGGAGATTTGGCGTTTTATTTTACTTATTTGGTATAGGGTTAAAGAGAAATCTTATTAATTGGATTAATAAAATATTTTTTATCTTTTTCTAAATTTTTCAAAAATTGGGTTATTCACATGATTATATGAGTTGTCACTAATGTAATTTAAATTAATTCTAGATCTTCAAAAAGATTCCATTCTTCCAAATAATAGATATATAAAAAGTAAATTTTTCTTGATTTATAACATAAACACAAAATAAAGTTTAAAATTCAATATTTTTTAAAAAAGCAAAATGAGGTGTTAAAAGTAATGAGAATGAAGACTCATATGTCCTTTTTGCTTAATCCAAAGAACATGATGAATCAATCTTCCATGTCTTCATTTAGGCTTTCAAAAAAAAGAAACTGAAGATTGCCTAGAAATTCTCTAATAATTTCAAAATTTAATGTAACTTGAAACTTGCTACAATTCAAATGAAAAAAAATGTAAATTCCTTAAAATAAGACTTCTGATTCATATTTTTTTTTTCATTAATCATAAATTCTTTTTGAAATATTTATTATACAAATTTCATGATTTTAACTTATTTTGTCATGACATCAAAAGATTTATGTTTTTGAATAAACTGATAATAATACTTATGTAAAAAGAACAAAAATCTTCTCTTCTATAATGTTTATTTCACAATTCTAATAAAGTGGAATAGGAACTAATTAAAAATTTGTAAACAAAATAGATCTTTAAAACAGAATAATTTATCATCAATACCCAAAATTGAAAAATGATTTAAAATAGAATTTTGAATATGATGTTATTTGAAGTAATATCATTTTTGTTAGTTTTTAGGATAGAAATAATTTTTCAAAAAAATAGTGTAATAAATGGGATACAATAATAATTGAATCGATATTTTACATTGCTGATTTTGAGAAAAGTTATTCGAGCATAAGTAAATTGAAAATCTATAGAAATGCAAAATTTTCAATAGCTGCTTGAAGCACTTAATGGAAATTATTGTCAGAGGACTCAATGACATTGATTTTATCTATTTATTTTAAAGTCTATCATGACTTTATTTGTAACTAGTTACATTTTACTTTAGAACAAGAAATCTCAGATTTTTTAGTTGATTATTGTAGCATAACACACACATAGCAATAATAATCAATTTTATCGCTTTTATATTGCGATTTATCATTCTAAAATCAAACTGCCTTTTTATTTAAATAAATATCTTAAATCTATGCCTTAAGAATTAACGAATTGTCCTTTCAAAATTAATGCTCCTTAGGTTTGAAAATAATTTCCTTAAGAAAGTCTTAAAATAGTGATATTACAGAGAACTAAATATTAGTGAAAATATATACTATTTTCTGGATGCATATGATTTTTCAATATAAGGGGTGTAAATTATGTTAATATATCTTTATAACGATTTTCATAAGGTGTAAGATAATGTCCTACCTTAACATCCCATAAACGAATAGAATTATCATCGCTACAAGATGCTACTGTAGTATTATCAGGTGAGTAACAGACTGACCATACAGTTCTAGTATGACCATCTAATTTGGCTTTTTATTTTCCTGTTTCAACATCCCATAATCGTATAGACTTATCATAACTACCAGATGCTAATGTAGTACCATCAGGGGAGAACATGACTGATCGAACATAATCAGTGTGACCATCAAATTAGGCTTTTTATTATCTTGTCTAAATATCCCATAATCGGATAGACTTATCTAAACTACCAGATGCTAAAGTAGTTCCATCAGAAGAGAAACAAACTGAATAGACAGTGCTAGTATGACCATCTAATTTAGCTTTTTATTATCCTGATTTTACATCCCACAAATAGATCGAGTTGTCATTACTACCAGATGCTAATGTAGTACCATCAGGGGAGAAATTGACTGATAACACTGATTGTTAATGACCATCTAATTAGACTTTTTATCCTGTCTGAACATCCCATAAACAGATTGATTGATCATGACTTCCAGATGCTAATGCAGTGCCATCAGAAGAGAAACAAACTGAATAAACAATACTTGTATGGCCCTCTAATTTGACTTTTTATTATCCTGTCCTAACATTCCATAAAAAAATAGAGCCATCCCAACTACCTGATGCTAATGTAGTATTATCAGGAGAGAAACAGACTGACCATACAGTGCCAGTATGACCATCCAATTTGATTTTTTATTATCCTCTTTCAGCATCCCATAAACAGATAGAGCCATCTTAACTGCCCGATGCTAATGTAGTATTATCAGGGGAGAAACAAACTGACATAATGGAATTTGTATGTCCATCTAATTTAGGTTAATATTATCTTGTCTTAGTATCCCATAAACGGATAGAGCCATCTAAACTACCCGATGCTAAAGNATGTAAAAAGAACAAAAATCTTCTCTTCTATAATGTTTATTTCACAATTCTAATAAAGTGGAATAGGAACTAATTAAAAATTTGTAAACAAAATAGATCTTTAAAACAGAATAATTTATCATCAATACCCAAAATTGAAAAATGATTTAAAATAGAATTTTGAATATGATGTTATTTGAAGTAATATCATTTTTGTTAGTTTTTAGGATAGAAATAATTTTTCAAAAAAATAGTGTAATAAATGGGATACAATAATAATTGAATCGATATTTTACATTGCTGATTTTGAGAAAAGTTATTCGAGCATAAGTAAATTGAAAATCTATAGAAATGCAAAATTTTCAATAGCTGCTTGAAGCACTTAATGGAAATTATTGTCAGAGGACTCAATGACATTGATTTTATCTATTTATTTTAAAGTCTATCATGACTTTATTTGTAACTAGTTACATTTTACTTTAGAACAAGAAATCTCAGATTTTTTAGTTGATTATTGTAGCATAACACACACATAGCAATAATAATCAATTTTATCGCTTTTATATTGCGATTTATCATTCTAAAATCAAACTGCCTTTTTATTTAAATAAATATCTTAAATCTATGCCTTAAGAATTAACGAATTGTCCTTTCAAAATTAATGCTCCTTAGGTTTGAAAATAATTTCCTTAAGAAAGTCTTAAAATAGTGATATTACAGAGAACTAAATATTAGTGAAAATATATACTATTTTCTGGATGCATATGATTTTTCAATATAAGGGGTGTAAATTATGTTAATATATCTTTATAACGATTTTCATAAGGTGTAAGATAATGTCCTACCTTAACATCCCATAAACGAATAGAATTATCATCGCTACAAGATGCTACTGTAGTATTATCAGGTGAGTAACAGACTGACCATACAGTTCTAGTATGACCATCTAATTTGGCTTTTTATTTTCCTGTTTCAACATCCCATAATCGTATAGACTTATCATAACTACCAGATGCTAATGTAGTACCATCAGGGGAGAACATGACTGATCGAACATAATCAGTGTGACCATCAAATTAGGCTTTTTATTATCTTGTCTAAATATCCCATAATCGGATAGACTTATCTAAACTACCAGATGCTAAAGTAGTTCCATCAGAAGAGAAACAAACTGAATAGACAGTGCTAGTATGACCATCTAATTTAGCTTTTTATTATCCTGATTTTACATCCCACAAATAGATCGAGTTGTCATTACTACCAGATGCTAATGTAGTACCATCAGGGGAGAAATTGACTGATAACACTGATTGTTAATGACCATCTAATTAGACTTTTTATCCTGTCTGAACATCCCATAAACAGATTGATTGATCATGACTTCCAGATGCTAATGCAGTGCCATCAGAAGAGAAACAAACTGAATAAACAATACTTGTATGGCCCTCTAATTTGACTTTTTATTATCCTGTCCTAACATTCCATAAAAAAATAGAGCCATCCCAACTACCTGATGCTAATGTAGTATTATCAGGAGAGAAACAGACTGACCATACAGTGCCAGTATGACCATCCAATTTGATTTTTTATTATCCTCTTTCAGCATCCCATAAACAGATAGAGCCATCTTAACTGCCCGATGCTAATGTAGTATTATCAGGGGAGAAACAAACTGACATAATGGAATTTGTATGTCCATCTAATTTAGGTTAATATTATCTTGTCTTAGTATCCCATAAACGGATAGAGCCATCTAAACTACCCGATGCTAAAGTAGTACCATCAGGTGAGAAACAGAATGATAAAACTGATTCTTAATTACTATCTAGTTTAACTACTTATTATCTTGTCTTAAGATCCCATAAGCGGATAGAGTTATCTTTACTACCTGAGGCTAATGTAGTACCATCAGGAGAGAAACAGACTGATAGAACTTAATTTTAATGACCATCTAATTTGTCTTTGAATTATCCTATTTTAACATCCCATAGATGGATAGAGTTGTCCCAACTACTAAATGCTATTGTATTACAATCAGGAGAGAAGCAGAGTGATCGAAATGAATAAATTAGAACATCTAATCTGCCCGTTTACTATTTTGTCTAAACATCCCATAAACGAATAGAGTTGTCATAACTACCAGATACTATTGTGTTATCATTGGGAGAAAAACGGACTAAAGAAATACAACTTTTATGACCCTCTAATTTGGCTTGTTACTATCCTGTCTTAACATCCCATAGACAGATAGACCTATCTTCACTACCAGATGCTAATGTAGCACCATCATGAGAAAAACAGACTGTTCTAACCTAACGAGTATGACCAATTATTTTCAACATTTATTTCCTAGTTTTAAGGTTCCATAAATACACAAATTTATCATTGCAAAAGGCTAATGTAGTATCATTATTTGAGAAGCAAACTGATTTTATTTCCTCATGTCCCTGTAATACACACTGTATTTTTCCTGTTTTAACATTCCACAAGTGAAATGAATTGCCTTCTCTACTAGATGCTAATTAATGACCATTCTGAGTAAAGCATACTTAATTAACTTAACCACCAAGACCATTCAATTGCATCAACTCATTTATTTTTAAGTTCTTCCATTTACAATTAAATAATGTTGCTTAATTTAAATTCATTCCACTAATAATGACATTGTCAAATTCAGATCCACTTAAGTCACATCTAGCTAAATTTGCTCCTACCAGTGAAGTATCTCTAATTCGAATATTTTCAAAAGATTGTGTTTTTATATTAACTTTCATCTAAATTAACATATGAAGAGAATTTGATCCACACTAAATGTATTTCTCATCAAATGCAGTAAGATGAACTAAAAATTTTAGAAATTCTATAATTTTATTATCCCACGATATTTTTATGATCAACTCCTTTTTAATTTCTTCATAATCTTCTATGGAGTAATCTTGTTTATTAAATTAATGATTCTTAATTGTTTTGAGAACATCTATTGCTCTTATCATGTCTTTCTTTTCAGCATTGAGCAACTATTCTTCATCAAGATGAGATGAATTTTCTAAGTCTTAACCTTCTCTTTCTACTTACCATTGATTTTGAACTTATGAAAGAAATTCTTGACAGTCAAATATTTTTTATCTTTTCAACATTTTAATTAGGAGAGGGAAGATTACTTCATCAACATTTTTAGACAAAGCCAAAACCTAATACACCTCTTCAACCTACTCTTAATCGCACTTCATTTTTCTTTTTTTAAATAAAGCTGAATTTATATTATTTTATTATATGTTTTAGACTCTAAACCCAAAAGTACATTGTATATTTTATAAGAAAGAAAATCGAAATTTAATAAAGATAAGATGTTGACTAAAATTATAATATTGACAACTCACATAAATTTGTATATAGCACAATTCTTGATGAATATAGAATAAAATACAAAGCAAATTATTAACAACACAACCACATAATCATCAAAATTTCTAGGTTAAAACATCAAACCAAAGTTCTACTGCATAGGGGATTGAACTTCGATAACATCTATTTGTTACTTTCAAGAATTTTTTCATATTCCATATTTTATATAATGCTTCTGAGCGAGATAATGATTTTCATTTCAATAAACAAAACAAAATAATCTATTCTTTTACTTCAGGGCAATCAGCTACCTCTAGTGAAAAGCAGCATATTAATAAACCTTATAAAGGCAGATAAAGAATATCAATAATGAATGTTTACTTTTTATATCTATTGTTCTTAATGTTTGTAATTGAAATTTATATATATATATTCTCTAGGTTTTTTTTCACCATCATTCCATTATTATTATGTTCAATAGGACACTTAGGGTCTCTTTGACTTTTATCTAACCCAGATTGCAATTTAAATATATAAAAAGATAATGAAATATTTGTTGGGAGTAAATTAACAATGATTAAGGTAGAACAACAATTAAAAGATTAAATCTCTAATAAATATAAAAATAATAGTTAGTTTTTTAGATGTATTTAGAATTAAATATTCATTTTTAATTAATGATTTTAACTCATCCATAACTTTAAGGCTTTTAAAATAAATAGTGCAATAAAGAACCGTAATGTAGTTTTAAATAACGCTTCTTATGATAAACAGTATACAAATAAACTTAAATTAAATGGTGGCTACAAGAAATTCTACTATGGTATTCAAGGAATAATGAGTAATGTTTCTAATTATAATGAATTTAATAGCCATCATTCAGACATGTTAGACTCAAGAATTTTTCTACCTCGCCAAGAATATTTATGAGGATAAATTTAGAGCTAGAAAAGTAAACCTATGAAAATAAATAAAGATAATGAAAAAATAAAATAAGGATAATCTAACATTAGTTTTAAACTATAGCATTTATAAAGAATTTTAGAAAATTCAAATTCAATAATATTTAAAAATTATTTTAAGACTGGAAAATATTTTAGAGGCTTCAACACATTTTAATAGAATGGGAATTTGTGTTATTTAAAATATGAGATAAGTAAATCTAAAAACCCAAAGAAGCTCCTTATACAATATGAATACTTTCTGTCTCAAAAGATATGTAGCTCAAAGTCTTTATTAATAGGCAAAACTCTACGAAAAAAAATAGAGGTATTACCCACTGCCTAAAGTATGGAAAAGTTATATTTTATCATTTGGTTGATAACCCTAAAATAACAATTGAAAATAAAATGAAATACCGTTCTAATTTCTATTATTATGGAGATGCATCTATGAATTATTATGTTCATTGTTTTACTTCCTTATTTTTTACAAATTTTGAGCCAACCAACTCCCATTGCGTAGTAAATGTGATTGTGCAATTGTTTTTTTATTTTTTAAAATTCGACACAATATAGGAAGTTTAAAAATGTTTGTTCTCATTTTATCATAGAATTTATAATTTGAATAAATTAATATTTTACATTGCAATTTGGACTCGATAGTTTAAGTACTATAATGTGGTTAGAGATAATTAAAATTGTTCGAAATACTCATAAATTTTAATTATAATTGCTTTTATTAATTGAAAATAATAATAACCTGCTAGATTTATTAATTATTTAAGTATATCNTATAAAGGCAGATAAAGAATATCAATAATGAATGTTTACTTTTTATATCTATTGTTCTTAATGTTTGTAATTGAAATTTATATATATATATTCTCTAGGTTTTTTTTCACCATCATTCCATTATTATTATGTTCAATAGGACACTTAGGGTCTCTTTGACTTTTATCTAACCCAGATTGCAATTTAAATATATAAAAAGATAATGAAATATTTGTTGGGAGTAAATTAACAATGATTAAGGTAGAACAACAATTAAAAGATTAAATCTCTAATAAATATAAAAATAATAGTTAGTTTTTTAGATGTATTTAGAATTAAATATTCATTTTTAATTAATGATTTTAACTCATCCATAACTTTAAGGCTTTTAAAATAAATAGTGCAATAAAGAACCGTAATGTAGTTTTAAATAACGCTTCTTATGATAAACAGTATACAAATAAACTTAAATTAAATGGTGGCTACAAGAAATTCTACTATGGTATTCAAGGAATAATGAGTAATGTTTCTAATTATAATGAATTTAATAGCCATCATTCAGACATGTTAGAATCAAGAATTTTTCTACCTCGCCAAGAATATTTATGAGGATAAATTTAGAGCTAGAAAAGTAAACCTATGAAAATAAATAAAGATAATGAAAAAATAAAATAAGGATAATCTAACATTAGTTTTAAACTATAGCATTTATAAAGAATTTTAGAAAATTCAAATTCAATAATATTTAAAAATTATTTTAAGACTGGAAAATATTTTAGAGGCTTCAACACATTTTAATAGAATGGGAATTTGTGTTATTTAAAATATGAGATAAGTAAATCTAAAAACCCAAAGAAGCTCCTTATACAATATGAATACTTTCTGTCTCAAAAGATATGTAGCTCAAAGTCTTTATTAATAGGCAAAACTCTACGAAAAAAAATAGAGGTATTACCCACTGCCTAAAGTATGGAAAAGTTATATTTTATCATTTGGTTGATAACCCTAAAATAACAATTGAAAATAAAATGAAATACCGTTCTAATTTCTATTATTATGGAGATGCATCTATGAATTATTATGTTCATTGTTTTACTTCCTTATTTTTTACAAATTTTGAGCCAACCAACTCCCATCGCGTATTAAATGTGATTGTGCAATTGTTTTTTTATTTTTTAAAATTCGACACAATATAGGAAGTTTAAAAATGTTTGTTCTCATTTTATCATAGAATTTATAATTTGAATAAATTAATATTTTACATTGCAATTTGGACTCGATAGTTTAAGTACTATAATGTGGTTAGAGATAATTAAAATTGTTCGAAATACTCATAAATTTTAATTATAATTGCTTTTATTAATTGAAAATAATAATAACCTGCTAGATTTATTAATTATTTAAGTATATCTTAGAAATTTATAGAATTTTTAAAAGTTTTTATTCCTAAAATATAATTAAATTAACTAATAATAATTAAATATTTATTTCTAATATTACTAATCAAACTTTAAATTTTATTTCTATTAGTGTTTCTATAGATTGAATCTAATTGAATAAGGTTTATGTAATTGTTATTCTGTCAACTAAAAAATTAATGTTTAATTCTTTATAGGAAGACTCAATCAATTAAAATTTCGGAAAATAAGTAACTGGGTCAATTTAACCATGACAATAATGTAAGAATGAGTAATTTTAGTTACTGGTTGAACAACTCTAACATTTTAGAAATTGACTAACAATTGTCTTTGTTTTAACGCATTTCATGTAAATTTTGAAACTTAAAAGGTTAACTTTTTTCTCAAGTAATAATTATGTTGAACGATTAGTATGATTAATTTAATTCACTGATTTCAACATATATAGAAGGTTTTTATGATACTTCCATGTCAAGAGATTAAGATATTCTTAAAGTTAGGCACCAAAAGGCCTTAAATTCAGTTGTAAAATGATAAGCTACCCAACTACTTAGGTGATAATTCACAACGTAGGGCCCATACCCTAAATATTTGAGAAACTATACATGTCTCAACTGTGTAAGATAAAGGAACTGATGTACGAACACATTTTTGTCTTACTTCCTTTTAACCAGATATTTAGAAATTTAGATATTCTAATATTTCAATATTTCTTAATAAAAGATTCCTTATACTAATTTTTAATTAATTAATGTTACTAAGATTCTTCGATCATCCTGTTAGGTAATGAAATAATAGTTTTTTTATGATAAATTAATATATAATATCATATAAATATTGCTAAAAAATAATATTTGAAAATAATAATTATTCTTAAAATAATCAAGTTTAAAATAGATGATATTACTTTTAGGATTTCTATGCCATTAAGATCAAAACATTAATCAAAATTTTTATATCATCAGAATCACTTAATTATTAATTCAGTATTAGTTTTTATAATTAAATCAATTAATTCTGGTATTATAAATAATTATAAAATCAATTTTAACTATTGACACGATACAATGACCTTTTGAAGGCATTTGGTAAGGGCTACTTCTGGATAAATATAAATCTATATTTATTGGAGGAAATATTGATTTTATATAGTTTTTGTAATTTCTATTATTATTAGTAAGAATTGAGAACATTCAATATATTGTTTTGTGGGAAGTAGATTTGAAATGTTTCCATTTTATCTAATTCAAAATTGTATGAATGGAATGATTGTATATGTTCCAACTGATTGAATTGATGATTACTTTTTGTTTAAGAAGTATTAGATGAATTCATTACTTGTTAATGCAATTATTATTAATCACTAATTTAAAGATATTGATTATTGACATATCTTTTAGATTGATCCTAAGAGGAATTATAGAGTGATTTTTTATATTGCTTAGTATTAGGACTGTCACTATTGTGCCGATTAGATTTTTAGATAGATTCTACTTTAATTAATTTTATATACTTTTTTCCTCCATCGCTGGTTATTCAGGGTTAGTAACCCAGAGAGAGATACGTTTTTTAATGTGTTAGGTAGTTTCATCATTTAGAAGAATATTTTGGTGTTCACTTTCAAGAACACTAGAGTTTTATCTATTCACAGAATCTTCAGAGACACTTTATTCATCTTATTGTTGTATTTTATTGGGGGGTTCATGCTCTTCATGATTATTGAAGATTCTTTAGAATCTCAAATTTTTGCGAGTAAAAGTAGATCTATCTTGATTGGAATTGTATAATTATCGTTTTACAAGGAATTCCGTATCAGGTCTATAAGTGATATAATGGCAATCATTGAATAGGTGATCTCCTTAACAAGCAGCACATTTAATTGACAAGTCTTTATAATGAAATAGAACCTTGTCTCTCATTTCACAATACTTTTAAAAGTCGATAGAATTCTCAGCTATGATATCAAGAAATGTCTCTCTGCTCATTCTATAAATGGAACTAAAGGTAGCGCTAATAGCTTTGGTTTATCTCTTTTAGGAAGTTAAAAATTCAAACTCTCCGAAGCATTATCCTTTCGAGCATTTCTATATGATTTTATTAGTTTTATTGTCAATAAGATTGACTTCCCCTTTTTGAATTATGTATATTGAATTTTCATCAATGGAGTTAGATTGGAAGATGATTTCTCTAGGTGTATATTGTTGGATATTCATTCTGCAAGCAATCTGATGAATGGTAGATGGTTGAAAATTCTTAGTAAAGAAATCAACACAATTAATTGCTCTAATTTAAACATCTTCCAATAATTCTTATTTTAGGTTGTAAGACAACTTCTCGATAATCGAATTAATTTCTTATTTATTCCCTTTTACTTATTGTTCATAATAATATTTTAAGTAATTTCTGACTCTGCTTTACAATTGCAAAGAAACTTCGTTTTAATTCATATATTGGTTGATCAACATAAGATTCCTTTTATAGGACTGCTTTTGTAAATCAATATTTGAGAATATCACTCCAATTGCATTTATTGAAAACGCAAATACCACACTAGCAAAGAATATCATAATAATTGTACACAGAACTTCATAAATGTTTTATGGTGTGACATCGCCATAACCAACAGTTACCATGGTAGCAGTTGCCCAATAAAATGAATAACCATATTTATGAAATACTGCAGAATTTTGTAAATTCTGTTGTTGAATCCATGAATTTGAGAAGGAAGATTAACTCATGTTACCAACATAATACCAAATGCAAGCCATAAAATGAGCAAAGTAAAAGATTAAAATAATTAATTGAGACAGACTGACAAATTCAGTGAAGTTTGATTGAATTGCAAACATCTCTCCATATTTATTAATAGTTTTTTTGAGTTTGATGAAATTTAAAGTAAATTGTATTAATACAATAACTTCAGGGAAGAAATATATTGTTATGGGATCACTGCCAATAACAAATGTCAATGTAATTAGATAGATGGCATCTTCGTATAATTCATAGATGATGTAGTGTTTCATAATCTTTAACCTATCATAGACTATTTGTCCTTGATCTATCATACCTCTATTCAATTTAATTATTAAATCAACTCCAAATAAGTAGATGAGTAAATTTTCAATTTAATTCATAGCAGAAGTCTTTGGTGGGTCAAATGATATCTTGAATGGTACCCACCACAGCAAGAACATTATTTAAATAAGTCTTAAGAATTGCCAAAACATATAAAATTTACCTGTTGGATTTATTATTGGAATTTTGTGTTATTATTAAACATTCTCTATGCTCTTCAGTAACTCCATATGAACCTAATCGAATCTAGACTCTTGTTATGAATTTTTTTGATGATGCTGATTTTTGTGAATATATTACTCTTCCAAAAAACTAAGTAATTATTCATTCGGATGACGAGGATATATGTGGGCATTTTGAAATAGTTTCTCCTTAAACTTTTTTAATTGATTCTTCTATTTGATTAATTGCATAATCTTGCTGCCTCTTGCATTTTAAATTCTGTCTTATGGGAATTAAGAAGCTGTCTTACATATGTACTAATTGATTTACATAATAATTTGATGTTTTCTTTAGATTAGCCCTAGCTTGTCTCAACTATTTATCGTGTGCTATTTCATCGTTTGATCTCTCATATACAGGACTGAAATCTTAATTATCCAATTAATTCTTTTGGATTTGATTAGCGTTCATCTGAATCAATTAAGGTTAGAATTTATCTGAAAAACGTGAAGAACCTATACTAATAATCAATTGAACTTTAACTTATGTTGATCGATCTTGCTGATTCCTGCTAATCCATATTATTTTATATTGATAGCTAATTATATAAATATATATATAATAATTAAACGCGATTCTTATTATTAGAAGGAATTACATTAACTTAAGCAAATTAAAATGAAATAAATTTATTTCCTTGAATATCCTTGTTTAATGAATACGAAATAATATATATATTAATCATAATTAGAAACATTTGTAGTTAGGATATGTTAAGAAACTAGAATAGGAGAAAAATATCACATAGTTTTATAACACTCTCTTTATTCTGCATATTTACTATAATGAATATTATTTCTTACTTTAATTTTTATGATTCTCATCAAACAAAGCTATAAAAAGGAAGTTCTTCAAGATATTTATATATATTATTAGCTATAATTTCTTTAATACTAATAAGTCATTAATAAACTAATAATAAATTTAACTGTTAATGAGATCTACGTATTCTCCTGTATAATTTTCATCTTATGCCTATAGATTAGATCATCTCCTTGTAAATTCGATATTCCAATTACAAAATGTACAGAAATACAATAAAGATTGGACTATCAATCATGGAGTGATGTCAAAAAAGGAATACGTGATAAAGTATAATCAAGAGTATAAGGATTTGAAAATCAGAAATTTATTTAGAAGAGTGATCTTTTGTATAATTTTAAGAACTCAGATTAAAAATTATCATCCTAAGCATTAGCATCACGATCGTCAACTTCTTATGTGAAAAATCATCTGGAAAACAAATTTCCAAAATAGGAATCCCCTATCAAAATGGGTTTGACTCATGCCATCTATTCTCCAAGTCAAAAGTAATCAAACCCAGTTGATGATATTAAACGAAGTAATATATATCCATCTGCTTTTGGATCCTTTACTGAAAAGGATAATTATAAGACTTACTCATCAAAAAGAGATCTAATGGGTGCCTTCAAATCCAGTTCTGATATCATCGATTTTTCTCGAAAGAGTAAACCAATAACAGAGAGAGTATCTTTAACAGAAATAATTAAAATCTCTAATCACTTATCGGATCTATAATAAACAGACATTTCATCTTTGAGTAATGGTTACCTTTCAGAATTAGTAGGATTATAATCGAACATAAACAAACTATTAAAAAATGCTAATAGCAAATTCTACAAATGAATTATCTATAAATAAATATATTGTATTAATAATGACGTCTCAAATATTTAAGGATCTTTAGCCCGATTAAGAAATTAGTTGCTTGATAGGTGATGTGGGAGGAACAAATGTTCGTCTCCAACTCGTCAAGATCTCTCTCAAGTTGACATACCAAAAAGCTCCTTAACTCAAACCATTTACATCCTATAACACAGATTTGTACCCTCAATTCCAGGACTATATTGTTGAATACTTGAAGGATGTATAAAAGGATAATCTTCCTTAATTTGCCATTATAGGTTTGTACTATTATATATCTTAGGCATTGCTGGGCCAATCAAAAATAATTCCACTTTGATGGCTAATACTAAATGGCCTTAAGTAGATGGAAATGCCATTGGATAAGCACTCAACATTAAACCATTTCTCCTGATTAATGACTTCTAGGCAGTGGCATACGGAATTTTGGGTCTTTAGCAAACAGACTTGATCCAGTTGAATCCAAAAAATCCAGATCCAAAAGAAAATTCAGTCAAAACTGTAATTGGTCCTGGAACTGGATTAGGCGTAGCAAGATTAATCCCCTCTTTGAAAGAGAATCATGCATGGGAATACAATATATGGTAGTGAAATTTAACTATATTTAAGGCCTTGTGAAGGAGGACACGTAGGATATTCTCCATCCAACGATTTAGAAATAGAATATCTTTAATACTTGAGAAAGAGATTAGGTTTAGGTTAGATAGTTGCAGAAAAAGCAATGGCAGGTTAAGCTGTTCCATATATTTATACCTTTTTAAAGGGAAGACTTGGATTGGAGACTTAAATTGAAAAGGATCTTGATAAAGCCTTATTTGAAGTAATTCTTTGATGTTTATGATTTCAGGATAAGAATGATTTCAAATAATTCCCATCGACATAAGTATTTCAATATGGTGTTGAGAAGAAAGATGAATTATGCTAAAAAGTTGTGGATTTCTTCTTAACTAGTTATGGAACAGTTATTGGAGATCTAGTTTGCAATACAATGCCTTATGGAGGAATTTATTTGTTTGGTAATATCTCTATTGGAGTTGCCAATTACATCATTAATAATCCATAAGTCAATTTTTTAGTAATTATTTCTAATGTATAGTTTTTAGTAAGACTACATTAAATATAGACCTCATTTAGCTGAAATTTTCGATTAGATACCTATTTATGTGATCAAATAGGCTTCCTTGGGATTAGAAGGTGCTTATTAGGCAGCATATAGATTGTTAGAATATAATGACTATGAAAAAGAAATTTGATGAGCAATCATTATTTATCATTCAATGAAACGTTAAAAAATAATTTAGTTCCTCAAAGGATTAATAATCATAAATATTAATGCCTAATAATCTACATTTAATATTGTGCCATTTTCCAGTTGTCTAGGCTTAAAAGGTCTTCTCTAAATTTGGATTCTTTTACATTTGGAGAGGACAAATTTTATCATTTTATTAATCTCTTCTATTTTTACATAAGTATCATTTATAAGAAGGCAATAGTAGGTATTTCAATTAATGGTTTAATAAAATTCTTTAAAAACATCATTGTGTTGTTTTTAATTTAATAAACTAGCTTAGATAAACATTTAAAAAAGAATTATAAATCAACATAATAATATATTAATAGATTATAATCAAATATAATGCCTTGTATAGTAAGAAAATAAACTGTTAAGAAAAAGGGTATTCGCAAATATAATAAATTGATATAATCGATAAATCAGATGTTATAGTTTTATTTTATTCATCTTTTGACAACATGGCTTGTTTTATTTTTGCCCTGATTGACATGAACAATAATTTTGTCTTCATCTTTTTTTACATGCTATAAGGAACTGACCTTATCTTAAAGTTCCCTATTTCTGCTACGTAACAAGTCTTCAAGTTATCTAACTTTGGCCAGGAGGATATCATAATTATGTTGTCTACTTTATAATTAAATTGATACAGGTCATCTCTCTCATTTAGAGATTCATCAAGTTAAATTTTAAGATTAGCAATTACTTATTGTAATTCTACAATCTTTCTCTTTAACACTCTAATTTCTTCTATTAGCTCCTCATCTTCAGATTCACTTTCCACTTTCCTTTAAACATTTTGCTAAACAACAATTGGTTATCTAGCAGGCACTCTTTCTCTGATAATTCTTTCAACTGGAATAATCTTTTCAATTTCTATTATTCTTTCAATAGGTTTTTCCACAATCACTTATTAAGGCACATGTTGAATAACAGTCTAGACTTTATCCTTCTTCTTAGCCAATTTAGCATCTTTTATTCGAATTTCTCTTTCTAATTATTCGATTCTTGATTCCAATACTCTATCTCTAGATGGAGAATGCTCTATTGCTTATGGTTTAATTGATTCTAAATGTTCGAGTCTCCTGCATTTGGTTTTCCATTCCTCGCACTCATGTGTTTTTTCTTATAGTTACTATTTAATTTTCTATTATGTTAATAAAGCAATTCATACTTCTAGATCAAATAAAATTTGTTGATATTTTTCATCAAATTGAGCCAATTGAGATTTCAGTTTATAAATTTGATCTTCTAATGATTTCTTTTCAAATTAAAATTCTTAGAGCAATATTTATTTTTACTAATTCTAAATACAATGAAATAATATAATACTAATTCTTTATTCAATCTTTCTCTCCAGAATTATTCTTATTCATTTAATTTCTGTAAGTGAAAGTTACTTTGATTTTCCATTTCTTATTTGTAATATTTGATCTTATCCTTTTTTTTGAATACGACCTCCTTTAATTTAGCATTCTCAGATTGTATTTATTGCAGAGCAGTTTCAGCTGCTTACAATTTTTAAGTTAATACATTAATTTGAGAATCCTTCTAATAGATTTAAGGCTCATATTGTTAGACCAATTCATTTAAAGATTTTTACTATGGAATGAGAATAAAGTAATACTAGAATCCTTTCGCTTTCAGAAAGAAGATTTATTTTTAATTCTTCAATGTCAATGTGATATCTGTCTTCCAATTCCATCAATTACATTCTCAACTATTCTCTTTCATTGATAATAGCTCCATTAATATCAGGTTAAGTTGTCTATACCAAGCATTACTGTTAACTCACACATTGAGTTAAAGGAATGTGACAAGACTAATAGGGTTAGCAAGTTGGATAATACATTCGTTAAAAATTAAATTATAATTATTAATCAAAACCAAACCTACTTTTAAGAAAATCAAACAAATAAAAAGGAATGAAGAATAACTACCCTAAATTTTCAAGTACTTCTAAATGTATAGTATATCATTCATTGGATTGAACATAAACATTAAATAATATTTTCGAATTAATTATTGTTATAGCAAGAATTAATTCTCCAATTCAGAGTATATTGATGTTTTAGTAAGAACTTAAGAATTAATTGAACTTGTAAATTGTATTTTACATGTGATTATGCTTATACAAAGTGTTTATCAAAACTTTTATAATGAATATATAATATATGGTTGTCTTCACAGTTCATCTTCAAATTAATAATATTAATATATATTAAAAAATAGTATGAACACTGAATTGTTTTGACTCTTTCTCTTGGTTTTTATTAATTTTTATTAATAATAAATTATCAAAGCAGTTTAGAATTAAATGAGAAAAACTCATTCTCCATAAGGTTTCTAGTATTTTATGAAAAGAAGATATGAGTAAAGGTTTCCAAAATTCAAATTTTAAGAGCCAGGGGAAACTTATGGATTAATGCCAAGAATTACTCCTAGTTAAAATCTTAGAACTGAAATCATATAAAACAACTCCACAGAATAAATTTATCCAAATTTAAAGAAGAGAATCGCCAATAGTTAATCAAAAGAGAAAAATGATGATTCTTGCATTCTAATTGGTAATACATTAAAGTCACTTGAGAGAAGAGTAATGAAACCAAGGATATCATATTAACCGGAAATCTCACCTAGTAAGTAAGTTAAACTCAGAAGTAAATCCATAAAAAAATAACCGAAGTTTGATGGCATATACTATGAAGGGGAGAAATTTTGCTAAGAATAGGACTTTTAAGAAAAATACGCAAATATGAGATAGTATTACAATTATGTCAATATATCGAATGGACTATTCATAAAGCCTACTGTGAATTACTATAAGGCAAATGTATCAAAAAGTAACAATGGATAGCTAGTTAAGACTTTACTGAAATAAAGATGGTGGTGGTTGGTTGTGGATAATGATAAGGATAATGTCAATTTTCTATGGGAATCAGCAAGAAATGACAACTTCATTATTTCAATGCCATGTTCAGAATAACTAGACAAAAATGATAATTTTAATATTTAATAAGACTTTTTGGATGCTCAAACAGAATCCCATCCTTATGCAAAAATGCTTCCTAAAAATTTGGTAATATAAATGAATCTCTAAGAAAAACAAATTGGAAAATTGGGCAAACTATTAAATTATGAACAATGCTAGTAGTTTTGCAATAATATTAGAATCTTTGAAATTACTTCCACAACCAAAATCCATAATCATATACAAAATAACACTCATCTAGGATCTAAAAAGAATTTATTTCTGAATCTAAAGAAGTATTATGAATTAAATTCTTTAAATGTATTTGAGTTTCTTCCTTTAACTTATCACATTAAGAATAAATATGATTTGGAAAATTATGTGATCCAAAATTTTGATACCAAAAAAATTTGGATTGTCAAACCAGGAGAATTAACTAATAGAGGGCATGGAATTTAAATCTTTTAAAATATTAATGAGGTTAATATGTTTTTAAAAGGAAATCATTAACATAGAAATGGATCATCCAAAACATTCATTGTTTAACAATACATAACCAACCCTTTGTTATATAATCAAAGAAAATTTGATATCAGATGTTTTATTCTATTTACAGGAATCAATGGCCGATAAAAAGGATACTGGTACTAAGATGGTTATATAAGAACTTCATCTAAAGAGTTTAATTTAAATAATTTGTCTAACAAAATGATACATTTAACAAACGATGCCGTTTAAAAATATTCTGAAGACTATGGTAAATTCGAAAAAGGTAATAAAATATCCTTTGAAGAATTCAAGAAATACATAACACCTGAAAAATTCAATTAAGTCTATTAGAAAATGAAACAAATTGCATTAGATTAATTTAAGGCTGCTGCTGAACTACTAGACCCATTAAAGAGAGAAAATACATTTGAACTATTTGGATTAGATTTCATGATTGATGATTCATATAATACTTGGTTAATTGAAACTAACACAAACCCTTGTTTAGAACAAACAGGTCCACTTTTAACAGGTTTCATGCCATAATTAATTGACAATCTACTAAAACTTGTAATCGATCCCTTGTATCCTCCTCCATAATTTTACTCTGCTAAGAAATTTGTTTATGAGTGTTTGGATAACAAATTCGAACTTATATATGATTCTTCAAAATTGAAATTGAATAGAAAAAATGTAATAATTGATAATGAATTATGAAAAAATAATAACTTACTATTTCATGTCATCTAATAAAATCTTTATTATACATAACATATAATCAGTCGAAGTAAATCATTTTAATTTTTTTTGCATATTTTTAAACGTTATTATTTAGACAAATTGTTAAATCTTCTACCACATTTTGAAAATTACTATCCCCTATTATTCTAATTATAAAGTCATCGCTACACTATCCTAAATAACATACGAGAAATTTTAGAACAACTTCGTTGACCTGCATAATTTCATCGTTTAACATAGAAATCAAGCAATACATAAGTTCCTAGTTATTGAGTAATGATGAACCAAAATTCTAGTCTGAGGATACTAATTCTAAGCAATCCAGTATAGATATAGATATCAGATATGATGCATGGGGATTATTAAGAAGAAGATCTAAGAATGCATCAATTATCAAAGGCAGAAATCTCTTCTCTCTTTCTCCTTACAAAAATATATAATTAAAGCATTCTAAAGATTTGATTGCTTATGATTCGTTTGCATACAAATTTTATCGCAAAGTTATTACTAATTCATCATTGACAATCCTTTAATATATTTTGGGCTTTGCAATTTACATTAACAGTAAAATCATTGAAATTAATAATTTACTTATATCTTATTATTATTGGTTTTCCCTTAAAAATTATAAAATGAGTGACCAAGCGCATTGATTTGTAACATGGTACTCATTTAATTCTTTCCAAAAATATTCGCTCGCATTTTGAAATTTTTTCATCATTTTACTAATAAATAATGCTTTATCAATTGTTATGCCTTTTGTAATGAATTCTTTGCAACAATATGTAAATGACTATTTTATATACTATAATTACTTATTTTAAATCAGATAATTTTAAAAGATCTGACTCAATGATTGTTAACAATAATTGATCATATTTTTGTTTTTCTGTTGATTATGAAAACTTGTGTTGCATTTTCACTAAGAAACTTTAAAGCAAGGTTTTATATTTCTTGTTATCTTCGAAAAATTCCCTTAAATCCTAATTATTTAGGATTTTATTGATTAAATCTATACTAAAAGCAATTGAAATATTGTCTTGATTAAATATTTAAAATAAATATTCCTGGATCGTTTCATCTAAATCATAAGCATCAACACTCAAATACCATAATCTTTTTATTTATATTTGTCCACGCCATTCTGTTCATGAATTTTCTTTTCATTTTCTGAATCCAATTCAGAAATCAATTTCTTCTTCTCTTACTTTATAACCCGCTTCTAACAAAATAAATTATGCAAAGATTATCTTCTTATTTCAACCCTAAAATTTTCTCTTTTATTATATATTAGTTCATTCATGAAATTTAATTTGTTTAATTTTTGAACATTATATATAATAAAATCCTAGCTTATATTTGGGTGATAATAAATATATGATTTATCATCAATTACGAACAACCAATTATTGATTATATTATACGATATCTCTACCATATAGTATTTATCCTAAAAATACTATTAATCTTTGTGTGTTTCATTTTTTTAAGTTTTCAATAAAGAATTCATAGAAGCATTATAACTAAATCATTATATTAGGTAGTTTTAAATAAATATTAATTAAAAGTTGTAATCAAGGTTAACAATTATATAAATTAAATTCAAATAAAGCTCTAGATTTATATTTCTCTTCTTGTTAAATTAATTTATTATTAATGAACTTATAAATATTGAAATAAAGTAAAGTATAATTTAAATGATATTTTTAATTAGGAATGAAGCTTTGGTATTTCTCAAGGCAAGAAAATTAAAGATGGGTTGCTAAAACTTAATCAGAATTATTTATAGAATAGATATTGAAAACATAAAAAAAAAGATCATAATTTGTAATTAATATGTTTTATTTATTATTGTAAACAATCAACTATTCATTTGTTTTACTAATTAGTTGATCTTGTCTTAGATTTTATTTTATCTCTTAATTGCTTTAAATTCTTGAATTGTGGAAAATCCTATTCCTGTTTGAGGATCTTTGTATTTAGTTTTTTGAGATTTTTCATTTTTTTTACAGTTGTTGAGAAATAACTAAGGGTATTCACCTTTTTCAAAATTAATAAATTATAAAGTTTTCTCATTTTAATTATCTAATTATCTAATGATTGGGCCATCAATCACATTTTCTCTTTCAACTTTAATTTTCTTCTTGTCCTCCTCAATTTGTATAAGATATTAAAGTGAAACTCTAATATAATTAATAAATTATACTTATTGCGCAATTCTGTTTAGACAGCCTCTCGGATTAAATATTCTTGATTGAAATGATCATGGATGTAAGAAGTTTTACTAACACTACGAATTACTCTAGTTTTTTCTTTATCCACCTTTTTTGTAGTTGATTTATGAGATTGATTATCTTCTTCAGATTCTTCTGAATCTGATGAATCAATAAAATCTGAATCAAAACTATCCTCTTTTTAGTTTTCCTTTTATTAATAAGACTCATCATCATCGATATTATCTTAATTAAAATATTTGTTATTATTCCAAAAATCGTCTTCTTCAGGTAATTCACGTTTCATCAGATAATTCATTTTCTCTCCTCTTCTTTTTCTAAATTCCATTTATTTGATTGCTGGCTCAATATTTTATTCTTGTTTTTTATGATTTCTACTCATTAATTTAAGATAAAAAGAGAGTAATAATATTAATTTATTATTGAGAGTTTGATAAAATTTACATTTGAGGATATGAATATCTATATATAAATCACTGTATTGAAAAAAATAATCAGATAGCACATTTTCGATATTTATAAATATCTACTTTATTATTATATCTAATTGAAATGCCAATTAACATATGTTCAATATGGATCAATTCAATATTAAGAATTTAAGAGTTCTACATCTTTAATTGATTTAATAATAAGGTATTTGCACAATATCAAATTCATATAACATTATAAATAAAATCCCTTAATAGAAATGATAAAATTCTTTTGCAATCAAATCATAAAATCTCAAACTAAGGATTATTTGGATAGATAATTTGTAATAGTTAAAGAACTTGCAAGTGATACTAATGGAGCTATCTATGAGGCAAAAGGATAATCATCATCTTATCGCTCTAATGTTGCCCTTAAAATATCATATAATATGAAAGAGCAAGAAGAAAAGTATGTTGATTGGCTGATTTAATAATAAGCTAATAATACTCAATTGATAAAATTCTATGAGAAAATTGAACAAAAATAATATAAACTTACAATAATGGAATTAGGTGTTTGTAACTTATATGAATATTTAAAAGCAAATAAAAAGTCAAATTCTGACAAGTTTAAGATATTTATCTAAGTATTTTAGTCATTTATAACAAATAGACGCTAAAAGCCATTAAATATTTAAATGAAAATGATTATATTTGTGAAGATATCAAGACTAAAAATTATGTACAAGTATAGAATACTTTTAAACTAACTGGCTCTGGTTATAAGAAAAGGTTATAATTAATGAACCAGCAATTTTCTAATAATTAAAGTTAAAAAATTTATGATTTTGGGCCTTTGATTTATTTGTTTTTTGAGATTTATCTAGGAGAATAGTTTTTTTAAGGTTTTATATTACATTAATTTTAGTGTAAAATGCATCAGAAATCAATGGCATAAAGTATGATTGGATGTCTAAGTTACCCCTCAATTAACGCTAAGATATCACAGAGTTAATTAGATAATTATTGAAAGACCCAGATGGATTAAGCTATGAATAAGCTTATTAAAAGTATACCAACCTAAAATCTTTTTTTACAGAAAAAAATGAATTTAAAAGCTAAGTTGAACCTCGACAAAGTTAATAGCTTCCGAATGGAAATTATACAAAATCTTCTGTCATTTAAGTTTTAGATGTTCCAACAAATGAATTTCCTAAACGAAAATTTATTTTGACACATTAGCTAGGGGTAGGAGGAGAAGGAGTTGTTTTTAAAGCAACACCAATAAATTAAACTGCTTATTAAACTGATGTTGCTGTAAAAATTTAAAATTCAATTAAAAATAATGAGCTAAATTTTATTTAGGATCTGATTAGATACTAAAGAAACGTAGAACCATAGTCTATTAAGAAAAGTAATTTGATTAAACTTCATGAATTATATTAGTTGAATAATAAGCTATTGATAGTTATGGAACTTGGAGGAAAAAATTTGTATAATTATTTAACAGATAAAAAGTCTTCAACAGATAACGAAAAGTTATAAATATGTTAATAAGTAAGATTCATTTTGAAATAAATTAGATTACCTAGGGTATTGCTTTTCTTCATGAAAAAGAAATTTTTCATAGAGATATTAAGCCAGAAAACTTTATTTAATGTGGTAATATATTCAAATTAATTGATTTTGGTTTAATCAAAAACAATGGTCAAAATACAAGATTAACAAAAATGGTTGGAACTCCTCTATACTAGGCTCCAGAAGTGATCACGGGATCTGATGATTATTCATCATCTGTTGATATATGGTCCTTAGGATGTCTATTTTATGAGATTTTCAAATATGAACCGCTATTTAATTGTATTAATCTAAATTAAATCTAAAGGCACTACTATAGATCAAGTTAAAAAAGCAATTGAACTACATTGCAAGAACCAGGATAGCCTCAATAATCAAATAGATTAATTATAAATCAAATAGGAATTAAAAAATCTTATTAAAGAAATGGTTCATCCAATCCCACATATGAGACCAACAATTATAACAGTTTTAAAATAAATCTAACCACCAGTACCCATAACATAATCAATTATACCTAAAAACCCAACCTTAGAATAGTTCTAGCCATAAAAAGCAAAAGGGTTAGAAGAAATTAAACTACAGAGCGCAATAAAAGATTATTTGATATCTTTAATGAAGAAGTCAAACCATTCTATTGGAGGTTTAATAGCAAAAGATTAAGAAGAAATGATTTAAACAATTTCTAATCAAACTATTACAAATTTAAATAAGGAGCTAGAGAATTAGTTAAAAACAAAATAAATTAATTTTAGTAAAAAGTTGGCCACTAAAATCTAAATGATCCCTCCTGAACATTATCAGAATAAGACAGTAGATGATGATCAACCTAATTTTGATTCCGAAATTCAGGGAAATCATTCTAAAATCTAACCTAATATCTTAGGCAATAATAAATAAAATAAAATAATGTAAAATGGATTAGAGAAATCTGTGATAAATCCTTAGCCTAAATATTGATAATTTAATTAAAATTTTATAAATTTCAATAAACAAAAATTGTAAATAGTTTTATATCTCCAATGACTTGGATTAGAATATTATGAATCAAAATTAAAACAAATTGGATTAGATTCATTTTATCTGAATTATAACAAAATGAGCCCTTGAGTTATTAATAACTATTATGTAATCATAGTTAATTACATAGACCAAAAGCTTATTGGACAACATTCAATACTTTATTTTATTTTGTAACAGCAGCAATAGAGAAATGAATGCATTAAGCCTTGTATTTTTTCAATTCATCATTTAATGTTAATAAATCTTCAAAGTAATGTATCAATTAAATCTATTGCTTGATCAATTTGCCTGAAAATCATTTAGCTATTGATAAATAATAGCATTTGTTTAATTTTCAGCAGGATTAACATTACCTATTCTTTAAAACTTCACAAGTTATTAGGTTTAAATAAATAACTTCAGCTTCTAACCATTTTAGTCAGCAATCAGCTATACATTGTAATAAATTATTACTACTTTAAAAGCACCTTAAATTTAACTCCATTCTAAAAGGAGACTTAGGCCAATTCCTCTTCTAATTCATCATTTATAAAAATAATGATAATAAAAATTTGGCTATTTCAGTAAGGATATTTCTGGTTGTCAAATGTAGTTCACTACAAATTAAAATAAACCTTCCTCCTCTTAATTATTTGATTTAAGCAACAATAATTAATAATTAATTTTCTGTTATTCTGAAAACAAATTGTGTTTAGATTGCTGCTTTTAACATTTTTTTTATTTTTAATAAAGTTCAAAAAAGAAGTTTTTGGGTTATTATAATTTACAATAGGAGTACTTATTAAATAAAAAATTATATATATATCCATCAACATCAGAGAGTACGAATCTTTTCAATCATCAAAGATTAGTTGTACTAATTAACAAAGACTATAGTTTATAAATGCTAATTTTTTTCTTTATAACTTTCTCTCGGCTGTTTCAATTCTGTAAACTATAATTATTACTATCTATATTACTTGCCCAATCATTTGAATGCCATTGCCATTCATATACTAGCCAAATCCGAAAATTTACCCTTTTGTAAATGTTCCTGTGTAATATGAGCCATCATTCCATATAAAGGTTCCTTCCCCATTAAATGCATTGTTTTTGAACTAACCTTCATATCTAAACAATATATATTTTCATACTTGCAGCCGTCATTTAAAATTAGGATTCCTCTACCCTCTTTTTTACCATTTTAAAATTAACCAAAATATTTTGTTCCATCGCTTTTGATTTCTTAACCTTCCCCCTATATTGTATTATCAATCCAAAGTCCTATAAAATAATTCATAATTTTACCTTTAACTATTTTCTTTTGTGATTTAAATATTCCGTACCCATTAGTTTTCCCCTATGAGAATTAACATTCAAAACTAATTTAAAATACAAATATCTAATACCTGTCTCCATTTGCGTAATTCATTCTACAATATCCCTCTAATTAATCATTTGCCCATTATCTAAATATATTGAATATTCTATACCCTTCCAATAAATTTCCTGCTTTCGGCCATATTTATATTCCTTCTCCCTATTTTTATAAATTCTCCATGATTCCATAATAAATGCTATCATCATTTTGTTTAATCAGTTGATAATTTGTTTTAGGGATTAAGCTGTCCAACTTGTGTTTTAAATGTTGCGGTAACTCTCGAATTACTTCCAAGAGTCTTGAGTCCAAAGCAGGGCTGCCTTGCCTAGAATTGTCATCATCAGCTAAAATTATTTAATATTTTTGAGTACTTTCGATTAATTAAAGTTGACTTATCTTTGAAAGTATTTCTTCTTATCCTTGCTCATTACTTTATATATTAAACATTTTAGTTTATGAGAAAAGTTCCAAGATTAATAATTATTAATTAAAAGATTAGGAAAAGAAATATCACTTATTAATTAATAAAACTAATGGCATATTTTGGAAATATTACTTTTCATTCTTACTACAAGATCAATGCAAAGTTCTAAGAAGCTTACTTTCGAATGATATCTCTTTTTATGTCATTTTATATTCACTACTTTATGATAGTGTTGATTTAGAATCAAAAAAGATTTCCATTTTTAAAACTAATACATCCAATTTTTAAATTTCAAAGACTCAAAGCTTATGAGCATTGAGTATTTATGTATATCAATAAACAAGTAACTTTAGAATTAATGAAATAATCGCATCAGTTTTTGGAAGGATAAAACTAATCTGTATAAGCATAAATAAGGACTCCTTAAAAGATTAATTAAGGATCAAATTCCAAATTGTCGAAATATGTAAACCATTAGCTTAGCAGATGTCATTTGAAATCTGATTGCTAATTTGAGTAATTTAAAAACATGTATTCTAAACTATTAGAGGCAAACAAATAATGAATTAAAGAATATATTTTTTCAAACTTTAATTAATTTGATTATTAAATTATTCATGATTACAAATCCTTATGATGTTGATATCCCAGAAGCCTGGAAAAATGAAATAATTTACTAGAAATACATTGCCTATCAAGCTTTAAGATAAACAACACTAACCCTGAATAACATTCAAAATTAAAAATTAAACGAAGATGATTATATTTACAGAGATGTATTATTCAAGGGATAATTGCCATCTGAATAGTGTGACACATATTTTGATTATATGAAGCAACATTATAAGTCAAGGAAACAGTTGAATAGCAGTGACTTTTTAAAATAAAGAAGGGAAGAATGCTAAAATAAAAAATTTAATTTTTGGTAAAAATGCACAAAATTGCCCATCAATACCAAATAAAAATTAGAGACAAGAAATATCGTTAGAGATATTAAGTATCAACATTTATTTGTTCCATAAATTTTATTTCTTTCTGGTTCTATTATAATAGCTTATTTGCTAAAAATGTATAGAAATCCTATTAAATTTTAATTAATTACGATTGGATTTGGATCCTCATTAGGTTACTTCCACGGAGTTTACAATTGTATAATTTAAGATAAATATAGATAGCAACCAAATATTTAATGACATTCCTTATTTGCCAGACCCCGAGTTGGAGGTAGAACATTAACATATAATGAATTATTGCTTTTCTTTAGACCAGGAGTATAAATAATAAAATATTCTTAGCCTGATTGCGAGATATGTATTTAGTCATGAAAACCTACATAAATGAATTAAATTTATTGAAATTTTATTTAAAATAATGTACACTCCTATTCTGATTTGAGAAAACGTTCATCATATATTCAGAAAATTTATTCTTGAACAAAAAGAAAATAACTTCTTCAAAAATTAGAAGTTTGAATAATAAATTAAATAATCTAAAATTCTATTTAGAAATTCAGATTAAGTTTTTGGAGTAATTTGAGTTGGAGTGAGGAATTAAAATAAATTTATTTATATTATTATTATTAATGTGAACAGCTCACTTTCTTCCAAGGGAAGTTTATGAGGCCAATGATCTGACTTAATCTTTGAAGAGTTGAATGACAACATCGATAATAGCGTTTTCCTCTAGAAATGAAATAGAATGATACCTTATCTTCTAGCAGTTTCGGAAGCATAGAATTCTCTCTTTTCTTCCAAATCAGCAGTAGCTCCGGCAACTGCATTCAAAGAATCCTTCCACAATTTGAGTGCTTTGGCTTATTAAGCAAGGACGGCTGGGAGTTACTTTGGAAATAGATGTTAATTGATACTGTTTCTAATTTCTCAACAAGTGAGGTTCTTCTTTCGTGTTCAGAATTTAACCAGGCGACTTCAGCATTGGTGTCTGAGACATATTTAGCAAGTGCGAAAGCAGCATGGATTTCTTATTCTTAGAGTGTTGCAAGGGTGGATTCTAATTCAGCTTGTAAGTCTTGTAAGATAGCAAGAACTTATTCTCCAGTGGTTCCATCTCTTTTCACTTCGGCGAGGGATTGGAATTTTTAAATGGCATCTTATTAGAAAAGGTGACTGTATGCAGATAATTTATCAGCAATGGTTTAAGCTTTTTCGACAAGTTCGACTCCAGCATTATTAGTGAGAAAACCAGCAACATCTTATTCCAAAAGTTACACAACACCAATAGCATCAGCGTGATCAGCAAGAGACTTAACAAAAAGTCCATTTGCCCAACATCTTTAGTCTTAAAGTTAAGCATTTCTTCTTTCGATTTCAGCAAGTCTTGATTCAGCCCAAGCTAACCATGAATATCCATCCTAAGATTATTTAAAGAGTATATACTCTGACTTAGGCTTCAACATCTGTTCTGACAGCACCTAAAGCTTCCCATTATTATTTGTTAAGTGTAGCAACATTTGTTAAGTCACCAATAACTTAAGCGAAGATTTCTATTAAAATATATATTTAAAAAGGTACCTTCGTCTGTGTTATTCTTTTTATCGGCAGCAGCTTGGACATTAACATTCTCTGTTTTAAGATCTCGCAAAAGGTTGTATACTGATTCGACAGCATCATTTCCTCTTGTTCCTGCCTAAAGAAGGACAGCAAATTTGTTTGTATCTAAAGCAAATACGGCAGCCACTAAGCAAATTATGGTAAGAGCTCTCATAATTTTAATTTTTAATATTGTCAAAAACGGGCACATTATTCATGCTTTTAATAATTAATCATTTTATATTCTTAAATCGTCAACTTATTTACAAATTTCTTAATATTCTTAAAAGAAGTCCTGTTTTTTAGTCCATTAATTCATTTGTTCTAATTAAGATTTCAACTCATTGTTTGCAGATTGTTTAATTTCTATCTATCTTTTTAATTACGATAGTTCATCCAATACACAGAGATTGGCTCTTGGTTTGTTTGATTTTTGTTCAAATTTGCTCCTCAACTATTCCAAGTTCTCTTTTTTTGATTTCACAATTAATTTAGTACTTTCAACTCTCTCCAATAATTCACAATATTTTTCGTAATTCTATTTTATAAATTACCTCAAATCAAAAATATTATTTTAGAACAATTATTAACTATTACAATAAGCAAATCTTTCTAGTGTTTCTTTTTTTTGTTTGATAGCATTTCCACTCTTTGCTGATTAGGGTTGCTATTTGAGCATAATCGTTAAATATTAATTTATATATGAAATAAAATAATTACAAAACTTCCCAAGTTGATCTTTCAAGTATTGCTGAATAATCAAATACTCAGTCAGATGTAGAATTGGAGTAAATAGACATGGCTAAAATGAATTGTCACGAGTATTATACAGCTATGGATCCTCAATCTACTTAAGTTTTCTAAGTAGAAGGGGAGCTCCATATTAAAGAGCTGTTTTATCGCTTAATCAAGAAAGTCATAGATAAAGCATAAGAAAATGAAATCCTAAGGAAGTTGCCTACTGTCTCTGCTTCGAATTCATTAAATCTTTTGGTTATGCCTTTAGCACAGGCCTTCTATAAACCTGAAAACCCTATCAAAGACGTTCAAAGTGGTGGGTTGGAAGAGGACTTCGAACCTGTACATAATTTATTTAATTTAAGTTACACATCTAACATGAATAATGGCTGACATCTAAAATTAATATGGAGATTAAACCTGAAAATAGACCTGGTACTTGTTAAACATCAAGTCCAAGAACATTTGCAAAGTCTAGAATTTAAGTAATTGAATTAAGTAAACTTAGGATTAAACATCGCTAATTAAAGAAAAGAAATAGTTGGATCCTATGCCTATAGATTTAGTTGACCCATTAGATATTAGTATAACAGAAGAGTAATTGAGAAATGAAAAGGAAAGACAAACAAAAGAGAAATTAGAATTGAATGAAGCAGAAAAAAGAAGAAAGTTGAAAGAAGAAAAAGAAGAATAATTAAAATATGAATTGATGGCAAAAGATAAGAAATCTAAATAATATACATATGATTATGACGGCAAGCTGATATCTGTAAATCCAGCTAAAGGAACTAAATTGCCACTTCCTGCTTCAACTTTGGCGTACAATTCAATAATTTTTAAGATCCAAATTTGAAGAAGATCAAGCCACGAAAGTAAATCCAAAAAAGAAATACAATAAGGTTCCTTGGAATAATAAGAAAACTGATGAGGAGAAGGATAAAGAAAAGGATACATTCAAATTTAATTAGATAGCTCCTTTAGTTGTAGAGAATATGAATTTATAACCAGGAATTGTAGTTATTCATGAGGGTAGAATCAAAGAAGGCACCAGATTAAATACTGTGGATTTATAAAATATGAGCAATCCTGCACTGAGAATGGCAAGGAATGAATATCTTAGTCTTACTCAATAAATGAATTCCTCAATTAACCAAAATGTCTAAATGAAAGCAGAAGATAAGCCAATCAAAGAGCTGGATAAAGGCAAGGGATTCAATTATGATAGATTCAAGAGATTGAGTCAGTAAACTAATATTTAATTGGGAATTATAAAGTAACCTTATATTCATATGCAAATAGAATCAATTCAACTAAAATATTTGAACAATTGGCATAAGCCTATTTTGAAGAACCTGAAGAGTTACCAAAAATTGTTAATTAACAAACATCTAAAAGTTCCTAAGAAAACACTTTAAAAGGGATAAAAAGTCCAGTAGATTAATTTAATTTGTCCTTATTTAAAAATAATGTTGTGGGCAGAGATCAACAAAATGAAATTGGAATAAATTATGAAAAATTAAAAACACAAAAAGCTAATTCAAGGTATTTTTTATAATATTTTAAGAGATTTGAAATCTTCTATTGGTTCAAGAACCAATAGACCAAGAGAAAGGAAAATGTAATCAGAATAAAGCACTCTACCTACGGTGAGGAGCCAAAAAGTCTTTAAATTATGATCACTTTTGTTGTATATAATTTATTCACAATTTGCTTGATTATTTATTTATTTTATTATTATTATTATTATTATTATGGAATTATTAAGGGATCCATCCAAAGATCGTGTTGTGAAAACTCTGAAGCCACCTCCTCATCGTCCTCTCTCCAATTAGCTCATGTTTCCAGACAAACTGAAAAGTACAAGGTTTCATTATTCAGATAAACCTGATTGGAGAATATTATTGGATCATCTATCTAAAGAAGGGAGAATTGCAAAGGAAGATCTCATTAAATTAGTTACAGAATGCAATAAAATATTAAGTAATATTTGTTTAACACAACAGAAAATGAGGGAAATCTCATATATTTGCATGATCCATTAACTGTTGTAGGCGACATTCATGGCCAATATTATGATTTGGTTAAGATGTTTGATGTTGGAGGCAATATTGAAACAACTAAATATTTATTTTTGGGCGATTTTGTCGACAGAGGCTCATTTTCAATAGAAGTGGTCGTTCTGGCATATGCAATTAAGATCAACTTTCCAAATTCTGTTTTTTTCCTAAGAGGAAACCATGAATGTAGACAGCTTACAAGCTTCTTCAATTTTAAGGACGAATGTATACAAAAAAAAACCCTCTCATCAAGGCCTCTATAAGTATGACCAAGAAACCTACGATTTACTGATGGACTCCTTCGATCTCTTTCCCCTCGCCTGTGTAGTGAATAACAAGTTTCTAGCTATCCATGGAGGTATCTCTCCAGATTTAAAAACGGTAACGAGGTTCTGTATTTCCGATTTTAGCTTGAGGATATAAAAAAAATTGATAGATACCATGAACCACCTAGAAGCGGACTATTTTGTGATATTTTATGGAGCGATCCAGTTGATAATGATTAAGGATCATTAGAAAATGGATGGAAAGGAAATGAAGTTAGAGGATGTTCTTGGTTTTTTGGAGTTGAAGCTGTGCATAGATTTCTACAAAGGAATAACCTCATATCTGTAATTAGAGCTCATGAAGCTTAATTGGAAGGGTATAAAATGCACAGATGGAAAGGGAGCCAAGATTTTCCAGTGGTCATTACCATCTTTTCAGCTCCCAATTATTGCGATGTCTATAAAAATAAAGGAGCTGTAATCAAATTTGAAAATAACACACTAAATATCTAATAATTCAAAGATACACCTCATCCATACTTATTACCAAATTTTATGGATGTCTTTTCTTGGTCAATACCATTTGTAACAGAAAAGGGTAATTTAAAAATCCTTCAATTTAGTTACTGAAATGCTATATATGCTATTAAAACATGAAGATTAAGACCAAGAAAGCGAAAATGATATAATTAACTAATAAGATATTGAAAAATTTAAACAAATCACTCAATCTGAATAATCAAAAACTTATGAAAAAAATAAATCACTTCAAAAGTAACTCTCCAGAAGTGGAAAAGAAAAGCTTAGATCTAGACTGAAATTTGTTGCTACTATGATGAAAATGCAAAAAACTCTAAGGTCTTCAAATATATTTGTATTTTCAGAGAAGAAAATGAGAGCATCGTTTAGCTAAAAGGAGCCTGCCCAGATAAAAGATTGCCGAAAGGATTGCTACTGCAAGGCAAAGAAGCAATTACTGATGGTATACTTTTCTTATCATTAAGCTTTATAAGAATTTAATTACATGAAATTAGCTGATAGCATTAATGAAAAAATGCCAAACATTTAAATTCCATAGCAATCAATTTAAATAAAAAAGCCAGGATAATCCTCAAAAAAAAAATGAATATTTATTTGGTTTAGAATTAAAAACAAAATGATTATTACTTATTCAAATGCTTCCAAGTCTTTTCATTCTTCAATAATATCCATAAAATAATATATATTTTCATTGTTATAAAAACAAAGTAATCCGAATAATCAAATCAGATGGAAAGATAGGACGATCATGTTCAAGATATTCATATTTTAAAGTTGACTATAGTTCAAAGAGGTTGAAAGAATAATATAAGGTGTTAAATTAAACTGGTAAATTAAATATTAAAATTTTATAATAAATTAAATTGATCCTATTAATTACGTAAAGTTCATGACAGAATTTTTAATTGGTTATATTTTTATTAATAAATAGTGGAATGAATATGTATACAGCGCTTCATTTCAGATAATACATATAATAATTCTGATTTGATATGATATTCGCACATAATAATAATAATAAATTAATGATTAAATTAGAAAGGAAACACTTCTATTTCAATCTATTTTCCAAAATCTGAAAATATATTGAAATCTTTGAGGCATATGAATTAGTACTAATGGATAGCTAGAATTGATAGAAGAGTACATTATTAAACTTAATCTTATTTCTAACTTTGAATTAAACATAATTATGAGACTTAATTCTATTAATTCCAATAAGAAATAAATTTCTTTGTAAAATAGAATAACAAATAGCATTTAATTATAAAGAATTGGTAAGATGAATTGTGAGGGTTTCTAAAGGAACATTTCTAGTGATCTTGGTAAAATTTCGAATAGAGAGAGGATGATAAAATAGAAGCATATTTTTAAAATTTTTTGAATGGATTTTATTTAAATTGTTTCATCATGCTTTTTATTAATTTCTTTAAAATGTTCCTTTAGATTTTCTTTTCTTTTCTACAGTCTCCCAACCATCGCTGTCTTCATCCTCATTATTTTATTATTATTATTATTGTTACTATTATTATTGCTATTGCTATTACTATTTTTATTATTCTTATTATGAGACTACTGGTGGATTGCCCTTAAATAAGAAGAATAAATACCTTAGCTTTAGAGTTGGTGAAAGTGGGGATAGATTCTTCGACTTTCACTTGCTTCACTGACTCAATGGGAGCTTATGGGGGTGCTACATTTGTATTTCTTGATAAATTGACTTATCTTTAAGGTGGGTTAGATTTTTATGTTTCTTAAATTTGTGGTTATACCTAGGGTGCTGGTTCTTATTGTATTTTTTTAATTTATTCTTATTGTTGCTATTAGAAATAGGCTGTGTTTTCGGACTTTTTTGTATTTGTGAATGTTAGAGATCCAGAATTAGAGTTTGATTGTGTATTTTTAGTTTAAACATTATTTGTTGTTTAGGTTTGTGGTTTAGAACTAGAATTGGTGAATAGCCCTGTATTATTAGTGGCAGGCTAGATTGGTTAGTCTTATTTTGGTTGTTGATTCATTTTTTTTTACTTTTTAGATGGTTTTGACATATCATCCACAGAAGCAATATCGGGAAACTCTTCATTGCGTATTTCAACGGCAGTCTCATCCTGCTTTTTATATGAGGCAGTCGGCTTCTTTCCAATACCATTAGTTGGAAGGTCTTTAGGATCATCTGATTGCTACCAACCATCATTTGTATTTTGTTAGATAATGGGTTATCTAGAAATGAAATTGATGAGATACTTTTTTTCTGGTTTTTTGGCTACCTCAACTAGATTGGTTTCTTCTTATTCATCATCATGATCATTAGAAGTCTTTGGGTCATCCTTCTTAACAATTTTGGTATTCTAAGAATGAAATTAAAGTTTACCTCAGGCTTGGGTGCTTAATTTTTGGTTTGTTAGGATGTCTTGAGTTTCAGCATTGATTGGTGGATATGAGTGGAGTGAAAAATTTAAAAGGTATTTTTAAAAAATATTTAGTGAAGAATAAGAGAAGAGTTTTATTTAAATAAAGAAGGAAATACTCACATTTAATGAGTTAATTCGATCCGTTTTTAATTCAATATTAAAATATAGATGTAAAAACTAGCCATCTTGACATTAATAGTAGCAATAACAGCTGCTAAGTTTGTTGATACTCATACAACGTTAGCTCAAATAAATGCTGACCCATTCGGACATGTCGTATTATCTGCAATAAAGGCTCATCTTCAAGCATAAACACCAGCAAACGAAGTTAACATGTTGTTGAATGCTGTAGGTGCAGGCATCGTTTAAGACTAAAATGATCATGATCATGCTTTTGAATTGGATACAACAACTAACAACAGAGTAATGCTTTGTTTAATTTTCAGATAGTTGAGGACTTAGAGAAGGAAGTCTTGTATCACTAGAATTAAATAGCTGCTAATACATAATTGAGAGACGACACAATTGAAGCTCTTGCTGTTTCAGAAGAAGACATTAGAGTTACAATTCAAGATATTGCAAATAATGAAGCTACCTATGCTAGAGAAGAGGCTACAAGAAATCAATAACATGAAACCTTCGTTGCTAAAGTTGCTGCTATTGATGATGTGATTGATGCCATTGATGATGCTGCCAAACTTATTTAACATTTAAGTTTAGGTGCCTCATTTGCTTAAATCAAGACCAAATTTGACACACTCCACAAGAAACTCTCTGATAACACATCACATTCTGCTCTCTTATAAGTATTATTTAATTATTATATTTTAGCCAGTCATTGCAGCTTTGACAGAACTTGCTACACATGGAGTTAATTAAAAGGCTTTGACCAAAATTGCCCAACTTTTGAGTGAAATCAGATAACAATTAGTTTAAGAAAAGGCTACAAAAACAGTATTTTTACTATCTATAAACTTTTTTAGGATGTTGAAGAAAGATAAGCTGCTCATTGGGCTGAATTCTCTGTTCATTTGTCAAATGAACATACCAGATTGGTTGAAAGAAAGGCATAGTTGGAAGTTTAAATCCAAGAACAAAAGGATACAATTGAAGATGCTTTTTCATGGATTGAATTTCATACATTGGAATTGGAAAATAGCGAAGAAAGACTTGCTGGATAATAAGCATGGTTTGCTGTCTAATCATAAATATATGAAACTTAAACAGCTGAAAGGTATATCTTATTTTTAGTCTTGTAGAACTGCTTAATAAGAAATTGTTGATAGACTCTAAGAACACATTAGTGAAAAATTATCAACAACCGCATAATTTATTGCCAGCAGAAACTGATTTCATTATCCAATATTAATATTCAATAAAATAATTCCCAAAATTATTATTTTATTTTTCCATTTTGTTATTTCAATTTTACCTTCTCTAAAATTCTTACTATTAAAATGATATTCTTCAGCACTGCCAGATTTTAATAATAATATTTTCCCATATATCATTCATTTAATTTTATGGCTTTTTAATTTAAGCTGTTTGAGAAATAGGTCATTTTTATGCTGTCACACCTTTTAACATTAGAATACAAAATGCCTTAACTGTTTTAATCGCTCATAATAATTTATACGATCACCTAATCTATTTCTTATTCATTTTACTACTAGTATACTTAAGATGAATAATTAAAACATAGCCTCACTAAAATTACACTGCTAACAAGACTCTATTTATATATTGATAATCCAAATATTAAATCAGCACTATTTTGGCTACTCACAGTAGTTCAAAATTTAATATTCCTAATGGCTGGCTTTGTTGCTTACAAAAATCAATATTAATTGGGCACTTTATCATTTTGGACTCGAAATATAGCTGTCCTCTTCTCCTTCTATATCTATTATTTCTCAACGGCATTTTTTCCTCTAATATTTGAAATTTGCCTTATTAATTCATCTGATTTAGCACAATTTTTAGTTTCGATCGTCATTATGCTCTAAGCACTCATAATTATGATATTGGGAGAGCTTGTTTATAGAAGAGGTTTAATATTTAAATCAACATCTCATTTATATATAAATATGACAACATACTCATACGTAATAAAAATTCTGAAATTAATTTAAATCATAATATTTTTTTACTTAAAATCACAATTTCTCTCACAAATGATTTAATGTGTAATTAACATCGTAATATAATTGTGTCTTATTGCAGAATAGATTAGAGTCAAAGTTTATGCATAGAAGATCTACTCGATCACAATTATTGCTTTTGCTTCCATTGGATTAGTCCTTTCCTTTGATGTTCTTCTGACTCAATCAACCAACAATAACAATTATTGGATATTGATTTGTATAATCGTGATTAAAATATTACTATATCTCGATGAATTTAAGTTTGATAAAATATCTACTTATGGAGTCCATGAATTAAAATACCTCTTTTCCTATTTAGATTTAAGCAATCATGAAAAAACTGTTATTAAACTATAAATTTATATGCTTTTCTATAGTCATTATCAAAGTTGTGATAAAAAGTAAACTTGCCATTGTACAAAAGAACCTAAGGATTATTATGCATCATTAATAAAGATTATTGAAAGTAGAATTGAGGAGAAACTCCATGGGAAAATTGAAATATCTAGAGATTTAATTTGTACTGATTATGCTTAGATTTTATTCAGAAATTAATAATATGTACAAGCTTAATAACATATAACTAGATTTTTGGCCAAAGAATCCTTTAATTATGAAAAAAACTAAAATCCATTATCAACAATTACAACATTTTTATTAGAATATATAAAAGCTGAAGTGTTAAATTAAGTATTAATTTAGATGACAGAAAAAATAGTATTATCCAATTAACATAACAAATTGCTGAACGAATCCTTAAAATCGTTTGTTTTGAATGAAAATTCGGATTCGTAAATAATGGTGAATTTAAAAAAAATAATTCAAAATAAAATTTAATTTTATTCTAATTTTGTTGAACACTAAAATAATTATTTCGGAAATGTTAATTATGCATTGCAATTTATTAATTAAATTAAATAATTTAAAGAGGTTTTATTAGACCGATATAATTAGTTTCCAAGTATATATGTAATATAAATTTAGCTAGCAGTAATCAAAACATATTGAAATACTTCTCGTTGCATATTCTAAATGATTATATTGATTCCTTCAATATCAACAAGGGCAAAGCTTTTGAGGATGATAAATTCAATCAAATATCAGGTTAGATGTATCATAAAATATTTGGAATTAATCCTGCCTATTTTATTACTGAACTCAATTCTGAATTTGATGTGATTATAACTAAGAAATCTTCAAGAGCAATATACTTATTGTAATAATGGAAGGTTATATAATCAGAATAAAAATATCATTTGAACACAGAGTTAAATGTTTTCTTACCTGAATATGTCTCATAAAAGCATGGTAGTTTGATTGAAAGATTTTTAAATGATGGACAAAATAAATATTACCAGTAATAAAATCTATCATTTTTAAAATAATAAGAGAAGGTAATGATGCCAATTCAAATAATGATAAGCATGAACTAAACAAACTATGACAAGTTCTCCTTTCTGACATTTTTTTATGAATCCTAAGACTATCGATCATATTTAGTAGTTGATAAGCATCTTGAGATCTTGAATATAAGTTCTAACATTTCGGAGAGCTTGTCTATGAATGAATCTAAGGGTCATCAAAGTTGTATAACTAAAATAATCCCTAATTTTCAACAGCTAGTAGCAACGCATCAACATTAATTTTACAATTAAGAAATTAAGTTAGTTAAGGATCATAATAATCAAAAGGTCCCATGTTCTTTTAATAGTAATATTAAAATAGAGAGAAAATTTCAGAATCAATACAAATGTTATTTTGTTGAATTAGATAATATCCGAGCGATATCAAAAAAGGTTCAAGGTGACAATTCGCCAGTATATTTGTCGTCATTGACTTAATTCCCTGGATCAACTTAGAGGATTCTCAATGTAAACAGTGAAATAAATAATTCTGAAGAGAAGAGGGTTCCGTATTTTGATGTTGAAAATCATCTAATTCCTGAGAATTCTATTTGTATAATTTAATAAGACAACCATCGATAAACAATAAATTAAACTGATACAAATTTGGTTTGCACTTTACAAATGATGGAATTTGGTAAGAGTTAAAATATAGTTGAACCATTGTCACAAAAACGATTGTTGCCCAGTTCAAAGTATTCTCATGATGACGATATGAAGAAATAGGTCAATAAAATAGCAGAGGAAGATGAGTTTCTTGAAATTGGATCTACTTCATCTGTTTCTGCAATTAGAAGATCGAAATACTATAAAAAGTTTGAGATAATTACAATTTTAATGAGGTCGAAGAAGCAATCTGAGAAAATTATAAAAATGAATAAATTCATTTTTTTGTATACAATTGTGATATTACTGGGATTGATAATAGTAAGCTATAACTTATATATTTAATAGTAAATATTGATGATACAAAACCTAGAGCATTTTGTTGAGGATATCAAATCATTATCAATAAGATATGATGTTGTAGAACCCTATGAATCGTTTTATGTTTCAAGATTCTCATAAGTTAATTACAGGGAGTAATTAGGAGGAGGTTATATAAATGCTAGCTTGTATGCTTAATTGACAAAATACCCATTCTCCACATTTGAATTGATGTATAACCATCTGAGAGATAGTATGTACAGAGTGCTAGAAAGAAGGGAGATTGATTAATTATCCGATAACGAGTTTATATCAATCTACTTTTTGAATAACTCTTACGTGGGTTATAGCAAGAATGTGACACTAAGGTCATTAGCTAATATCTTGATGAATTATTAATATGACTTTAAGCTTGGATTAACTATTCGTAGTGTTGCATTTGATAGTCCATTTTTTTATTTTACAAGCAAGAACTACTTAACAATTAAGCATACATTTGATGGTCTGAATAAGATAGTTTTGGATGCTACATTGTAGAGATCGAATTTGGAGAGAGAAAAATGGTTAGCAGTGTTGTTGCCATTTATAATAATCAGTTTGTTATTATGCATAATAATCATAAATAGTTACAGAGAGTATAATTAAATTATGAATTCAATATTTCAATATCTGATGGATTTGGATCAGTAGATATTGGATGATGAAAAAAAGAGACTTCAAAAACATTTGAGTATAATTAATAATGAAATAGAGAAAGTGAGGAGGTTTGAGTTCGACATTGATGCTATCGATGTTGAATTGGATGAATCTAACTATTAAGTAAAAAGAAACAATTCAAAAAGAGACGCAAAGAAATTCAAAATAACTAACAATAATTTAAGGACAACTACTACAATAGCTATGATACATTACCTGTTGTTCTTGACTTTCTTTATAGTGATATTTTTCCTGATAAAGAGATATTTTGGGAAATACGATTAAACTGCTGTCATTTTTCAGAGAATTAGTGATCTTGGAGTTGATATTCCAACTCTGTATGCACAAAGAGAAGTTTTATATAGAAGGAAACTAAGATACTTTTTCTTGACTGATCAAGAAATAGATGGAGTATATGATGTATTTTTTTAGGCTTATAATAAAGTGGAAGAGTTTTCTAAATTAAACATAGATTTAAGTTCCATAAATTATTTGTTTGATGAAAATTCAGTCACTTTTTATTAAAGTATTAGCACAGGAAATTTGTGTGATTTTCAAACGGATTAATTTAAGGAGTTGTCTAATTCTACTTGTGAATAGTCGATGAACGGTAACTTACTTTAGGGATTGTCTCAAATCTTACCTTACATTCTATAGACTCTGAAAACTTAATAGTTAGATAGCAAAAACTTTACGATCCTACCTACGAACACAAGACTTGAATTAGAAGGTGCTACCATTATTGGTAATGTTATGTCAACTATAATATCTGAACTCTATGATAATCTACTAATCTCGTGTTTAAAGCTAATGAATTTCACTTAGACTCCTTGCATCATTTTTCTATTGTTCCAGAGCCTTTGTATCATACTTTACATCATGATTATGAATCAGAAGCACAAATCACAATTTTAGTCTATAAAGCAATCCATATTTCTATTCCCTAGATATACATTAATATTTGACGATTAGTTTTATAGGAACTTCAGATCTATCATAAAAGATGAGGGGATTTAATAATGAATTAAATTTTATATTATTTATAATAAAATTTACTTGTGATGTAATTTAACTAAAAATTTATTTTATGTTTAAACAGGTTACCTTCTTAGCTTATCTAATACACTTGTGTTTGGGAGATGAATTGCTATCAGTGCACATCATGTGGAGACACGGGGCTAGAAAACCTTATTTCTGCAATTGGGGTTGTGATGAGAAAACCAAATCCTCTTTGTCTGAATTGACTCCGGTAGGAATGAGATAACATTATGTCTTAGGCTAATGGCTGAAAAAGAAGTACATAGAAACAGGATTTCTGGAACCGATTTTTAATGAAAATTAAGTCTATATAGAGAGCAGTAATACAAATAGGTAAACCTCTTAATATAACTATAAGAACAATTATGAGTGCTTACAGTAATCTATAAGGCATGTTCCCTAAAGGTCCTATAGTACCAAAAGTAGCAAATAACTTACTTTTACCACCTATGACTGATGTTAAAACTCCAGAGGGAATTTAGGATTTTGCTTTACCGAATTAGATTTAGGTTATTCCAATCCACAGTTTGCAAGAAGAATTAGACTATGTAATGTACATGTACTGTCCTGCCTTATGGGATGGTGGAGCACATAATCTACATACAGATGTTTACTATGACATTAACAATCGTTCCTAAGAGTTGATTAAAAGATTTAATAAGGAACTCAATTAAAATTTAACGAACATAGTGGAACTATATGAGTGGAGAGACACCTTTATTAGTAATGAATATAATGCAGGGGAAAATCCAGTTTAATTAACTCAAGATTTGATGGCAGAATTAGATAAAATTGCAGGACTCGGATTCCTTTTATATTACACTTAAGACTATTATCAAGCAGCTCTTCTTACAAGTGAATTTTTTAGAACACTTCTTGATGGTTTTGATGGAGTTCTTAATAGAACCTCAAAAATAAAGTATCATGCTTATTCTGCCCATGACTCTAGTATATATGCCTTGTTGTATGCAATGAATTTAACAAATGTTGAATGCTACAATCAGAGTTATTTCGGAAAGGTTGAATCTAATACTACTTGCATTACTACTTATCCTGATTACACTGCTAACATCATTTATGAGTTATATAATAGTTCCACTCTTGGACCTTATATTAAAGTCATGTATAATGGAACATATGTGAATGTGTGTCAAGATCAATCATTAACCTGTTCTTACACTCATTTCAAAAGTGTTATCAAAGGGATTAGGAGGGATTACAAAAAAGAATGTAAAATTGAAGAAGCTTCGATCCCTGTAGACTATTAAACTCCATGGTGGGCTGTCACATTCTTTGTTTTAGTATTGGGTTTGTGTGTTTGTTCTTTTTCAATGGTTTTAATCATCCATCAAAAAAAATAGAGGTATGTGAGATAAAATAATAGATATGGAGTGTGATTGATTTTTATAATAATGATCATTATTTTGTTTAAAGTAATTTAGAAAATGCATCCATGCTATAAGATGACATTTTCTCTTTTTCGGCTTCTAGGTCCAATAGTTTCTTTTCTAGTTCATCCATCAATTCAATTGTGTCTTTTTTTGGTAATTTGGATCGGTTTATTTGATTTCTTGGAATCAATACATGTTCTTGAATAGTGTTTTTTTATCCGATATTTTTATTTGTACCGCTTTGCAATTACATTTCCAAATATTCTATTCTTTCTAAGGCTTCTTGGTATTTCTTCTGAAAATCATCCGAATCACACTTTTCTTTTGATCTTTACAACTAAGCTTAAATATTATCTAACAATTTAATCATTAAATATACAGATTACTTGTTATGCTTTAAACATTTATTATTATGCTGTCTAAATTGTTAGATTTAGGCCATTACAACAGGAAATCCCATTGCTCATAATTCTGAACCACCAAAGACTTTTTTGGGACTCTCAATCCCAATTTATTAATTTACAATTCCTCGTACATCACTTAATCCAAAGTATGTTAAGCATCTTCCAACAGATAAGACAGCTAGTCAATAGTCAATTACTTTAATTGGTTTCTACTCTGATCCTCATATTAACTCACTGGAACCAATTAAAATTATTAGATTCCTTCGTTCAACGGATATTTCTGAATTAACAATTCCAAACTTTATTAATTCTTATATGATTTCTCAAGAATAGAATCGCATATCTCGACTGAAATAATCTATGTTATTAATACATATTTCATCTATAAGTTGCTTTTTGGTAGCCATTAAATTTATGTATATATTTATATTTTTATAAATATAATAAACATAACACTTATGTTTAAGATAAATATCAGGACCGATCACTGTTGATCTGTCTATTATATTCCAAATTCTTATAAGTTCTGTTGGCTGTAATTTCTTTCAACATCTGATTGGTTACTACATTGTCGTTGTAATTCTATTTCTTAACAACTCAAATTCTATATCTCTTAAAACTTCTGTTATTATATTTCTTGCTAATTCAATTATCGCTCCAACTCTTATATTCTCTATTAATATCTCTAGTTCTCTTCCAGTAATGTTGTATAGGAGATATTTTGATTTTCAGCTTCTTTTTCCTCTGATTTTTGGTCCTACTTTTTTTGTAAGTCTTCCTTTCCTTTATTTTTGTTTTCCCCTGTCTATAATTGCTTCATTAATGTTTCTACAACTTTGCATATCTCTTACGCAGCATTTTTAAATTCCACATCAATTCTATTATTTTAAGATTTGGTTGGTTATTCTGATGCTGGAGTCGTCTACTATTAATTTTAAGCAGGCGTTATGGTTTCACCAATCACTTTTATGATTTATTTAGAATATTATTCAATAGTCCCTTGTTGAGATTATGGCAATTATTTCTGTCCTTAAAACTAGGTTGGTCCCGGAAGTTTTTATTGGGGTTAGAAATTTGATTATAGAGCATGGGTTTTTTGGATTTGTTGTTGTTAAGTAGGTGGAGAATAATCTTTGTATTTATAAAAAATTTCAAAGGCTTCTAGGACAGTTAAACGCTGATTGGGGTATGTTTCCAACATCTTCTTTAAAGCTGTTTAACATTCTTGAGGGATATTAATTTAATCAATTCTTTAAAAGTATGTGTCTTTTTTATTTCTATATTGCAAGATTTCCTGTCTTATCCCATTTTCAGATTGAGCTAACATCTAATAAAAGATTGATACATTAAATATATGTTCCACCAGTTAGTATCTCATAAAACACACAGCCCAAGGCCCAAATATCTACTTTCTCATTGTAATCGTTCCTTTGTTCAATAAGTTCTGGAGCTGAGTAAAAGAGAGTTCCAATGCCCGTAGTTCGATTCAAATCTTAAGCAAGACCTTTTGTTAGCCCAAAATCAATTAATTTAAATTGATCTCTAACCTTTATGAAGTTCTCTGGTTTGATATCTCTATGAAATAAATTTTATGAGTGAAGAAAATATATCGGCCTGAAAAGCTACAAAAATGGATTATATTTACATCAAGGCAAATTTTAAATCTCTCATTGATTGGCAAATTCTTCTTGGTAGTTATATAATCAAATAGGTTTTATCCTCCAAGCTCCATAATCAACGCATAATAATTTTGATACTTAAATTTTTCGTAAATAGCTATTATCCCTGAGGTCTTATTTGGATCATTATCAAATTTTTTTTAATAATCTATCACTGTCTCAATAAAAGAATTTTCTGAATCTTTCATGTTCAACTAAAGTTTGAGGGCAATGTCTGTAGTATATTAACAATTCCTTGGTTTTGCTGCGTAAACAGCTCCTTCACCTCCTTATCCCAGAAGTTTGGACATTGTAAATTCCCTCCTTTAATATTCCTTAGTGGGAGCTGAAATAACTGAGTTCACTAAATATAAATGGTCTGAATTCTATTAAGCCATCCTCTAAATTAAATAATTTAATTTTTTTTTATTAAATTGTTTATTATTATGATTGATTTATTCTTACCTATAGTCACGATAATCCTAAGTCTATTGTCAATTATAAGTTGTGGATTTGTAATATATATCTATGGAAGCTTTAGAGAATTAAGAAATGATCAATTTACTATTATATTACAGATCATTGTGTTCAATCTGATATTTGATCTCATACTGTTTGGCGATTCATTTGGATATTTATTTTTGAGAAACTCTACATTTTAGATGAGTGAGAAACCTGTTTTATGTTAGTCTTAATCCTTTTTCTCTGTTTATAGTATTTTGTCAAGCACTGTGTGGACTTCAATTCTAATTCATAGTTTGTATCATTCGATTAAAGATAGAGAGGCAAATCAGTATATGCAGTCTTATTATCCAGGATTAGGCTATGGAATACCATTATTAATATCTATAATGTATGTATTGTTTGTGAAAAAGACCAATAATAATTGATGCATATGGTTAATACTACCCAATGTCTCAAACAAATTGTTTCTTTGATGTCAACAACCGGAATGTGTAACTATATACAATGATATTCTTTAATATCCCTATTTGGATAATGTTTTTATATAACCTTATAGTTATAATACTGGCGATTAGAATTAATAAAAATTTCACTTAGTCTTTGTATTCCATATACATCTATTAAGGAATTTTGGCTGTCTGTTGGATAATTGTAAAATGACATTTTCATAATTTTAGCCTAGCGTCGTGAATGTGTTTGGTATCACATCACTTATATGGAAAACAATTGATTTTGGTTTGGGTGGTTTGATTGGCTTTTTGAATTCTTTTTGGTTTAGTTACACAGCATTGGCAGATAGGTTGTCTTTCGAAAATGGATAATTGGTATAGCGCATTAAGGAAAATACTGCTGAATAAGAATTAGCTAAAATTTGATATTTGATATTTTAAATGAAAATAATATAAGATAATTGACTTTGTAAACTATAGGTTTCTAGATCATTTATCGCAATTGGGATCAAAGATATTCAATCTCATTATTTTGATTTATAATTAATAGTAGAAATCCAAATTTTATTAAATACTTAATTGTGATTATTCTTAAATGCAGAGATTGATTTGATGGAATATGTCTATATAAATTGTGATACACAGAATTTGGTATAGCTTTAATTAATTTAATTAGAATGTCTATTTATATACTATGATTGACAATTAGAGATATTATTATTAATATATAAAATAAATATGTAATAAGTGACTCCTGCATATGTGAAATCGTTGACAGGGCCTACTGCTAAGTAGATTGATATTTCAATTTAGTTTTCTGTGTCCAGTAAATGCAAATATTTACAACATCCAATTTTTGAAATTTAGAATTCGAGATATGGATTCCGGTTAAGTGTTGTTTGAGGTGGAAAGAGATCCAGATGAATAGCCAATAGGTATGAAGTTGTTAAAACGCAAGAATAATTACCAGTTGAGTATTAAGATGAGGCCAGAAGGATTAAATATCAGTTTGGACCATAGTTTTTTGAATTGAAAACAGTAGGTGCTTAACTCACATTCTCTGTTGGGAAGGATCCAGTGAAAAACTTTACGATTATTGAAAGACACTATTTCAGAGATCACTTATTGAGATGCTACGAATTCTAATTCCCATTCTGCATTCCCAACTCAACTAACACATGGGAACACATTTACACAATCCCAGAAATCGATGAAGCCATGGTATCATATATTCTTATTGAAAGCGTCAAGAAATGATAGACAATCCATTCGAAACCAAATCTGATAGTTTCTACTTCGTCGGAGATTAATTAGTGATGCATAATAAAGCAGAATATGATTACTCTGAATGAAATAATTATATTGACATTTATGTGTAATATGAGTCATTCATTCTTTGCTTTGCCCTTCTTCTTCCCTTATTTTTGATCTTTCTAAGTATTCTCATTGCTCTTTTCCTTTTCTTTCGTCTATTCAACCTTCTATGTTGTTTAAGCCTCACTTTTTTCTTCCTCCACTTTTGAATCCTTCTTCTCCTACTTTGTTTATGGCCAATTATTATAGGCAATAACACTGAATATTCCTGCTTAATATCCAAATCTAATTTTATTTATAAACCATACCTTTCAAGTCTTTCCGATTGTGTTTACCCAACTCCATCGAAAAACAAGCTTCCTATTGTTGATACTAAAAATAGTGCATAGACATTTAAACAAACGAATTTCAATTACTCCTACTTAAGGATAAATGCAGCCAACAAAATCAGATGATAAAACCCGCATATTCTCAATCCCTAAATAACAATTATTATCATTCTTTACTAATTCAGTCTAGAGTAATCCTGATAAAGAGACATTGATTATTGATTATTCTTATTCAGAATCTCCCTTTTTAATGAAAGAAGATGGAGTGGCTATCAAAAATACTGCCATTGTTGATATATACGCTAGATATCCAATATTATTTAGCATTAATTAATTATTTAATTATAACAATAATGATTTTATATAAACATGTCTTGTTGTATCAAAAGCAATGTATGTAATACTTTTCTATCAATTAATAATAAAATATTTAGAAAATTCACATCAATCATTGTCTATCTCAAAATCTGGATACTCCTTAACATCATCAACTCCTCCAAAAAAGTCCGCTTGATCTCCCATATTTGTAGTCTTATCTAATTCTGTGTTATACATCCTCGCTGTTATCATTAGCTCTCCCAATTTCACTTTATCATTATTTTTATCCTTAAAATATAGCTTAATCCATTCATTTTCATATTTGTCCTTTTCAGTTTCTATGAATAGTGGATTAAGAAATACTGTATAATCCAAATTTTTATCCATTTATATTACTGTAAGAATTTAATCAAGAGCCTCTTTTAACCGCTACTCTATTTTCACGGTATCCCAACTCACTGGGTCGATTTCTCTTCCACAAACACATTTTGGATTGCAATCTGGTTTCAATAAAATTTTGTGCTGTAAATCCTCCTGGTAATCACCAGTTAGACATAAAGTGCTTTACATTTCAATAGGGTTCTTGTAAATGATTTGAAACAAATTTTTATCTTTTATCCCATACTTTCCTTCTAATTCATCTACCAAATTTTTGTTCATTTTTTATCTCATACTCAAATTTTTCCTTACTCTCTTATCTATTAATTGACCATTCTTTATGGGGATATCAGATTAGTAAATTTCAAAAGGACTTATCTCCAGCTCTTTTAATGTCTTTGCATTTAATGCTTCAATAATTTTGTTGGATTATTTTTGAATTTTGGTAAGTGAAGCAGAGAATAATTATTCTTTATTATTTTCAATTTTATAAATTTAGAAAGAATGTATCAAAGGAAATAGTATTATTTCAAAATTTCCCTAGTTTTGAAATTTTTAATTTATTAATTCTCTCAATTTCCATAATAGTAGAATTACATAATATTCATCAACATCAATACTATTTTCAACCTAATACGATGATTGCGAATAATTTGCTATGCTTATATAAGTCTGGAAATCGCAAAAAAATGGATTAAGTATTAATTTATCGCTATATAAGGTTTTAAAGGGTTTAGCTATATTCCCTTTTGTTACTTGGTCAATTTTGAACTCCAATTTACAGCAATTCGGAATTATTATATTCATCTCTCTTTATACCATTTTGATTTGCCGATCACATAAAATAGGAAGAGCAAGATTTAATCTTCTGGTGATATCTATAATTGCCTCTTCACTATATGTATATCCATTAATTAATTCTATTTGATTGTTATTCTCATCTCTATTGCTAATCACCAACTCTCTGGGTTTGGTTTTAAATGAGTAATTTTCATTTAAATAAGTAAGCAAACTATTGAAAGTTAATAAATGCTAATTTTTTTTAATTTAATTCATAAATTCAAAGTATTTAATTCTTTATGTTGGTGCTTTTATTGGGGAAGCTAATAGAAATTGGATTTATAAACGGAGGTGCCATTATCTACGAATTTAATTGCGGTTTGAATAAGGTTGGAGTTTGTATTAAGGATTACATGCCTATTTTCAGTTAGAATTAATACTTTAAGTCATTTAAAGCGTGCCTTGTATCTATTGAGGGAGTACTTTATCTTGCGATTAATTAATATCAACAGTATTTTTAATTATATCTGTCTATAACTTCTATTGAGTTGGATCTTGGTTTTAAATTTCTAATTTAATTTTTTCATAATTTTATACACTCTTCTTTTTTTGTGTAATAAACTATTCTATTTCTTAAATCTAAGAATTAACCTATATATTATTGGTTGATAGTAATTATTAAATGCTTTTGAAGCTCTCTAATGATTTTTCTAGGTTTGAAATCTCATTATTTAAGTCTCCAATTAGTTTATCCAAAAACATCATCTCTTTGCTAATATCTATTACTTTATGTTTTGTATTCTCCTCCTCTTTAGTTTAATTGAGCTTCTTTAATAATGAGCTGTTTTCTAATTCCAAATTCTAAATTCTAATTTTTAGATTTTTTATATCATTTTCATAAATCTGTTTTTATTAGTTAAATTATGAGGCTTGCTAATTTAATTAATAATTTAGATGATTTTAACATTGTTGAGCATACTGTTAACATTATTGTTAAAATGATTCATCATTTTTTTTCTTTTCTTATTCCAATCTATTCTTTTCTAACTCCAATTTATTAAATTTTGTTGTTAATGATTCAATTTCCTCTAGGTTTTAATTACCCTCATTTTCTTTCTTTTTTAGATTATGTTCTAATTATTAAATTATTTATTCCTTTTCTCTAAGAATCTTATTGAATTCATTTTATTTCTAATTCAATTATAATTCAAATTCATATTTGCTTTAATTCGAATCAAGTTTTAATTGTTACTTACTTCCCTTCAATTCTATTGAACCACTAGAATTCTCTTCATTAGCAATGCACTATTTTACTATTGTTATAGCATAAGCTATGTTAATTCTATTAAATTAATTGGGATGCAGCATTTATTTAAGTAAATCCTTCCATTCTTTACATACTTTCAGGTTATCAATCAGTGAATAAACATGGCTTTAATTTGTTTTATGATTTTTGATTTATTAGATTGATGAATTCATATACATACATGGGAATAGTTCTTCCCCCTTAATAATTTCATAAAACACACATCCAAGTGACCATGTATCTAATGATTATGTGTATTTGCCTTCATCTTCAAACAATTCAGGAGCTTAAAATATACGAGTACCTGGTTTCGAAGTCATCAACCTTTCATTTACACTGATTAATCCAAAGTCTATGAGTTTGAATTCTTCCTTTACTAAAATAAAGTTTTCTCCTTTTACATCTCTATGTATCAATCCTAGCATATGGATATAATTAATTGCATTTATTAGCTAAAATCATTACATTAAATACTTATAAGCAAATTTTAAATTTCTCAAGATTAGTCAGTTTATTGTGATTCAGTGCCGTATATTTAAAAAGATTAACACTGCCTACTTCCATCACCTAAACACTATAATTTAAGTGTAAAAAAATTTCGTATATTCTTATAATGTTAGAACATATGTAGTTTTTGGATCCCTGTTTATCGTTTTCATTCTAAACCTCTATCAATTATTGGATGAAATCTCTTTCTGTTTATTTAAGTGGCTTTGAAAATTTTAAAGCAACTTCAAAATCTATATTCCAATTTTACGGCTTAGCTAAAAATACTTATCCTTCTGCTCCTTTTCCCAATTATTGCCTCAATAAAAAGCTTCTATTTTGGAATTCTTGTGTTGGAGCAGGTATTACAAGTCCTGACTATAAATTGATCAAATCAATCATTTTTGCTAATAGAATTTGATAATTTGATAATCTTATTATTAATTATAATAATCGATATTTCAGAAATGGGTAGACTCCTATACATTCAAATGTTGACTTTAATCTTCATTAATTATTGTAATAAATCAAAATATAAGAACCAAATGTGACTGTCTATAATATATATTTTAATATGGTTCAGATTTTAATGATTGTTAAACATTGAAGTCATTTGAACAGGATTATGTTGTTATTAAGTCATATTTTCTATTAATTTCTTTTAAATATTTTATATTAACAATGTAATTAAACGATTATAAAATCAACCGTAAACTTTTAAAGTTTACTAACAATATAAATTTCATTGGAAAAAACAAATACCTTTCAAGAGAATCGAGTGCTAATAAGATGGAGTAATCAATATATAAGTCTCTCTCATCGAGTTAATTATTAACAAAATCCCATAGAGACAACAGTCATGTGAAAAGCAAAATACAAGAAATATCTACAATTGGCAGTATTTACAGCAAGGATTCAGCATATTTTAACAGTCTATCAAATGAACAATTAAATATTCCACCAATACGATCCCTAAACAAAGATGATGGTGATAAATTAATTGCAAATCTTAACAAACAAATTAAGTAACAAAATCTTTTAATATCTAAATTAAAATAGCAAATCATTACTTAATCTACAGATCTTGATAATATGTCTTAAATAAATGAGTAATTTTTAGAAAAACAATAATCGTATGAAGAAATTACTTAAAGTTATCATTCCTCTAATTAAAAAAGTATTAAAACTTACTAAATTTAGTATTATAACTAGCGTAAATTAGAGAGATATAGCCTTACACTAATAATTATTTAGAGATTGTAACATAAATATATACAGATGATTATTAACTCTAAGTTGCAACATAATGGAGAAATCAAAAATTAAAGTTAAATTTCATTAGAAAATGGTTAACAGCTACAAAATCTTTAATATTAATTAACAAATTTGCGAAAAAATTAGAAAAAAATAGGTTATAGTAATATTATTATCAATGGAAACGATTTTTAATATTGAAATCAAGTCTTTTGGAATTTAATTAGGTGAAAGAATTAAGGATAAAGATTTTGCATTGGAAACAATGGAAAAACTATATATTAACAAAAAAGCAGTACGATAAGAATCGTATCTAGGCAATTTAGTTCTATACTAAAAAAGTGTTATTTAAACATTTTCAAAGACTAAAATAACTTTATTTACAAAATAATTATTATTTAACAGTTTTCTAAAATTTATAATAATAGGCTGGATAACAATTAGGTTTATTGAGATAATTTTAAGTATTAAGTTAAACAATATATTTAGTGCTTTAGTAAGTGGAAATAGCAAATTTTAAATAGGAAATTAATTTAAAGCAAGTTAACTAAGTATTTAAAACAAAAATAAGTCATTACAAGATAAAATGTTTTTGGATTTCTTTAAATAAATATGAAATATTATTAGTAAAGGAATTAAATCATTATGCATGATAGAATTAAAAATAAATAACAAAAAATATTCGTATAAATTAAAGAATATTATCATGGCATCAGATTCAAAGAAGATTAAATTAAATTAAATAGACCATACTTTATGAAATATCATTTTTGGAAAAGATGGTCTCATTAATATAATACTCAAGTGTAGTTAATGATTAAAGAGGAGAAAATTAAAGAGAAGAGATATTTCAACTTGATCTAAAAATGTATTATATTCATATTTATCTCAGTATTCAATGTATTGAAAGGAAAGGCAATTTACAAAAAGATCTAAAAATAGAATTCTGATTTAATAAGTTAATAATACAATAGAAGGATTATTAATTAATCTTTAAAGATTTGGCTGAGTAATTTATTAAAATAAAAAATTCTCCTTGATTAAGAATAAAGTTGTTGCATTTCTTAATTGATAGTCATAGATTAATAGCAATCAGTTGAGGTTATTGAACTAAGTCAAAATTATCAAAGTAAACTAGAATAGCTAAAAATGTATGAAGAAGAAGTCAATAACTTTTAAATGATATAAGCAAATTAAAATTAAATTTAAAAGGAATTACAAATGCAATAGTATATATTTATCATATATTTTGTGATCAAGTGCAATAAGAGTTGATATCATGCAAGCAATTGTTAAACAATTATCCAATTGATTAAGATGAGCTGTAAATATTGAGAGAACAAAATAAATTAATTGAAGAATAAATACAACAATTTAAATAACAAAATTTTTGTAAAATATAATGTTAATTATAGATCCAATTGAAATTTGTAACTAAGAATAAGAAAAATTGAAATTATAATTGGAAGCCAATAATTCTATTTTTAATTAATAATAAGAGAAATACATTGCCTTATAAAAAGAATATTCTTAAATAGTAATTGACTATGAGAAGAGAATTCGTAATTTAGAAAACCATTACTTAGAATAGAGTAAATAACAGAGAATATAAATTTAAAATAGTAGACTTATTTTTTTTATGAATTATAGTTTTGAAAGGGAATCCTGATTTTGAGATCTAATTGAGTAGACGGTAGAGTTCATAACCGGAATAAGTATCAGAAAACAAACTATCAAATATCAATAGATAAAATTTTAACACTCAAAATTCTCCCAAGAAAGATATTTTAAATTAATAGTATTAATAGATTTAAAAATAGAATAATTTAAGATGATACAACAGTTAATTTGAGGGAAGATATAAAAAAAAGATTAGCTTATTTAAAATTTTAGATGGATTAACAAAACTGAGAATACTTACTTAAAAAGGATATACATATATATATATCTATATATCATTCTTCAAATAGTTCTGGATGCTATTCTCTAACTTTTCTTGTGATTTCCTGGTCTAATTCTTCAATGGATTAGAGAGGTTATGTTTACTATTCAATTTGAATTTGAACATTTTCATTTTATTCATCATCTTCATTAATAGTAGGCAAGGAGTTATCTTAAGTGAATTTTTCTATAAATTATTGGACTTATTAATATTCATTCTCTAGATTTTAAACTTTCTGTTACTATTCATGTAATAGTTCTAATTCATTTGATAGATCTTGTTCCTTACTCTAATTTAATAATTCATAATTCTATTTAATCGCTACGTCTAACTATTTTTTATATTCAGAGAATTCATTTAAAATTTAATTACATTATATAGTTGTTAATTCTTAGGCACAATTTTAACTATTTTTGGATAGATCATCGAATTGCAACATTTTTTATTTCAAGAATTCACTGGGAGTGTATGATGTTTTCTTTTTGATCTATTCAATCAATTGCTACATCTTAGGTCTCTCCTCTAGGCTATTACCTTTTGAAACCAGTTGCAAGATTTCTGCATTGACTTCTTGTGTTTTAATTTCAAGGATTCTATCTATAGCCTCCTTTCTTAAGATAGGATCCTTAGGTAGCATGCAATTCTTATCAAATTCTAGATCAGCATCTTCGACGAATTTAGGATTTAGTTTTTTAATCTTTTTATGTACTTCTATCAACTTTTCTTTAGGAATTTAAAATGGATTAGAATAGTTTTTAGTGGAACTTTGTTTAAGATTATCGATATCTGATAATAATGACTCCAATCTTAATTAATATTCATTAGGTAATTTAAATTTGGCTATGTTATCTAAGGTTTCTTATTGTTTTTCAATTTTCTTTTCAATTTATTCAATATATTGTTCCTGGTTATCAATTTTCTAAAATTTAATTGGAGACTCTGATTCTGATTGTTGTTATCCAGTGATTTTAACTTTAAATTATTCTCTATTACGAAGTAACTCTGTAATAAACATGGATCTCTATTTGAGTGATAATTATGAGAATTGTGAATCATTATCTAATGGTTTATCTAATAATTATTAAAATCTTTGAATGTCAATTTTGGTTTTTTATTCTAGTTCAATTTTTTCAACTTAATCCAACTCTATTGCCAACATTTGAATTTGATTCTCCAATTCTTATTCTTCATTAAGTTACTACTTAGTTTGAGTTCTAGAAGTCTATCTGCTATCAACATAGCCTTCCAATTCTTTTAATTGCTTTTATCTAGATTATTCCCTTGATTCTACCAATTGTTCAACTTGATTCATAATGTCCTTGTATTCCTTACTCTGTAGTTTATATTTGGGTGCTTAATTTTTAACCCAAACATCTGAGTCAAATTTAATTTCCTATCTTTTTTTATTGACATATTTAGAACTAGAATCAGGTAGATCTTATGAGGATTTGGAGATACTAAATGTTTCCGATTTGACACTCTTATTATCAATATCATTGGAGACTTCTTCTGATTTTTGAGTTGAAACATAACTATGATTCTCTTGTTGTCTTTTCTCTGATTAAGGTCTGGGAATGGAATCATTGACGGTTCTAATTTTAGATTATTCATAAAATTAATTAAATGGTTTCTTGGTTGAATTAGGATTAGAGGTGAAACTGTTAGAAGTTTAAGATTGCTTAATTGAAAATGGTTTCGATTGTTATTGTTATTATTATTGTTATTATTACTTTTGGTCTTCAATTTAGGGTGCTGGTACTTTATTAGCTGCGTCGTCATAGATTTTCTTGGTATCTGGATTCTACATTAATTGTTTCATGTAATCAGAAAACATTTTCTGTGGTTTGGGTGGTTATTTGGCTGATTAGACAGTTTACATTTGACTATTAACTTAAGTCAAAGATTGTGTTTGTATTTGAGGTAGTTAATTTGAGACTGTAAAACTGAGTGTTTACATGGGGATTGGCTTTCCTTTTTTTTAATTCATTAAAATTAATATATTTAATAATAAATCATCATTCTAATTTTAAGGGCATTTTGACTGACTTTCTTCCAGCACTCATTTACAAAAATGACTCCCCCAACTTGGATCTCTTTATTTTATTGCACAAATTAAAAGCATATAAGTTATATCCTGTGAATGCAGCAGGAAAAAACATACATATTGAAACACTTATTTGTAATTATGATGCATTGATTATAAACATCCCAACGAACATCAAAAACATAAATAACTACACAAACCAAAATATTCTACTATGAATCCTTTGAACTTCTCCTTTCTCTTAAGTTGAAGTCTCAAAAACCCAACTCTCATTTCCAAAATCGTTTATTTCAACCCACCAACGTAGTCCAACTAATTTTCCTAATTTATCTATTTACATACCTTCCACTTATATTTTTGATTATCCAGAAATCTATTGCTCCTAATATAACTATGGTTTCGTATAGTTTCATTGTTTGGTAGTAAGGAGTTAAGAAATAGAGAATGAGAATGATGAATTTTATAATGAAGCACAATACACATTAGACTGGATTTGGAGATTCCGAAATATCCATATTTGCGCTTTTGAACAGTTCATAATTTGCAAATGCCAAAGGATTCAAATTCACACTCAATCTCAACCAATTCTACTCCTTCTCATTCCAATATTGTCTTGTATTATCAATACCGCCTCCAATACCATTAGGTTATTGATTGATTATTGATTCTGCAATACGGGGACCTTGGAATGCTCCCAGTTGAGGTGGTCTTATCAAATTTAAAGGAGGCTATTCATCTCTAATTTAGTTGATCATAACTGTTAATTAATAATATTATATGTATTTTTATAAGGAAAATATTAGTAATATAATTTAAGTTTCTTAAATTATCTGAATTTCGATGGTTGGCATTCAGCGATTCGTTCAAATTTCCATATATAAGCAAAAAACCATCGAAATATGTTTTAATAAATAATTTAAAAATTATATAAAATTCATCAATAATGGATTAATAGGCGCAAGAAACATAAATTTAATATGAGAGCATAATCAACGAAGTAATAGGAAAGCTAAAGAAAAATTCTGATAAGGGACAATTGTAAATGAGTGAATCTGAGATCCAAACTTTTAAAGATGTATTACAATGAAATACTTTCTTAGCTTTGGTAAAGGTGTTTAAAAGCAATTTAAGATGGCAGCGATAATAGATTCAAATAACATATCTAACCTCAAATAAAGCAAAATGTAGACAACTCTATCGATAATGAGCCCCATATTAAAAAGAAAATTAAAACTAATGTAGATACTTAAATCATAAAAAAAGTTTATATTTTAACCATCCTTTTATCTTAGGAAGAAAATGACGATTATAATAAAGATGAAGATTATAATAAAGCTGACGTTGCCTTCAGTGATGACTCAGGAGACGAAACTAGTTCAAAAGAACCCAAAGTCGATGACCAGAAAGTATCAATTTCTATTAATAATAATAGAAATATTTTGATTATCAGAACACAAAAAATGAGAGCCAAAGAGAGAAAACCTTATTCGATAAAATCAGAGAACTAGAGCAATTGAAGAACCTTGTAAAAGTGGAAGAGGAAGATGAAAATGAATCCGAAGAACCAAAAGTATTTGATACATAAGTCTATGCTTAAAAAATTAACACTGAAAATTAAGTTAGTCGTATAAGAGTATTCTTACATCCTTATATAGCCAAATAAATCTTAAAAAATGAGTTTGGAGAATGTTCTCATCAAGGAAAAAAACAATAAGGAAGCACTCTATCCTTAAGCTCAATTATTATTTAATTTCAAAACTAGCAAGAAAAAAAACTCTTCATGAAAATCGTGTTTAAATTTTTGTAATTTCTTTAATTAAACAATTCTTTATATCATTAAAACTGCTTTTATTCACATTCCTTTTTCCATCCTTTACAAATACTCATTACGCCTTCCATTCCTTCCTCTCCTTTTAATCCACTTTCTAATTTTTGCAAAAATTAAGTTAATTTCTCATTCTCATCCTTATTTAATTCTTTCTTGTATTCATACAAATAATATTCCTTTCCATCCACTTTTGCTGAACTTATCTAATACTTTATCTCATCTACTTAAAATTCATCATCTTATTTTTTTATTTATTAATCCATTCTTTATTTATTATTAAAATTATATTATTAAAAAGTTGTGTTTACAAAATTAATTTGGATATTGAAATTAACTCTATGTAACCAAAAATTATTGAACATTGTTTGAAATCAGATCTTAGTTTTTTATAATAATTTATTTAATTTGATTTCTAATTAATGTTCCATGTGAAGACTTAAATGTTAATCTAATAGCTTTAATAATGTATTATCAATGATATTGAAATGTATGAGCAAATATTTGAGATTCCGTTTACTTGTGTGTAATTGAATTATAATTCATATACTAAATGAACCAAAAAATAAGAATCAGGTTTTCAAATTAATTCAATTTCTAAAGAACCTTTCACTAACAAGAAAGGGAAACGATGATCTATTGAATAATTTTATTTAGTTTGATATATTTATTTTTCTAGTTCCAAAAGTTAATAATAAATTAGTTTAAAATAAATATTCAGTTAAATGCCACCTGTACTTATGAATGTAGATTACATGAGAAAAAAGAAAAGAGCGTAATCAGCAAAACCAGAAGAAACCATATAAAGAGTCCTTAAATAATTTAGTGTGAGTCCTTAGAGATTTCGATTTACCAAATTTAATCACAAGAAATTAGGTGTAATACACCCAATTCCAAGCAAATTAAAAAAAGTCAAAACATAAACATCCATTCCTCAACCTGCCACCTATCAATATGGAGATAAAGAATTTATGGAAGTCTTAGGAAAAAAGTGTCCAATTACTGATGTAGAACCAGATATTCATTATACTAAAAACGACAAGAAATAGCTGGATGAACATTTGGTTCAACCGTTCTTTTATGTGTAAAAACTGTTTCCCAAGGGAGGTCAATCAGTTTTGGAACACGATGATGTATTTGTACCATTCCAAACACTCAAATTATCCAAAAGAAAAAGGAAAATGGTTGATGAATAATACATCAAGATATTGAAAGAGATGAAAAAAGAGGAGAGATAAGAATTCTACACCAAAGGAATTGTATAACTATATCATTATTATAAATTAGAGAATGAATGTTGAATATGCAATGATATTTAAAAGATTTATGAAAGGATTGATAAAAAAAGGATTGTATGATTAGGATTATAAGTTTTCTACCGAAAATCCTAAAATTCATAAAAAAGAATTGCTAAAGAAGGCTTAAGAAATGGGTTTAACACTATAAAAGTTAAACTAACCCGTTTAATAAATGGAAATTTCACCTAAGAAGAAAAGATAATCCAAAAAGCAAAAGCAATAATATCATTAAATCTACATATCCAAAGAAAACATGATGAAGTTTCTTAAGTTTTGTAATTATGATGAGTAATTCATAAAAAGTGACATTGATGTTCTATTTTTGAATGTCAAAATGGGAGATTCCCCTAAAGATATGCTTTTAGTAAAACTAGCAAATATGGATTCCTTTCTATTGGATCTGAATGCCTTTCTTCATAATGCTTAAAAATACTTTAAACTTAAATACAAGATCAAAAATTTACTTAGTGTTAATGCAGCCAAGCAAAGAAATGTTTACATTAAATTTTCTCTCTATCCGTTCCTAGGAGAAGGATGGAAAGCCTTTAAGGTTTGCCTTAAACAATTAGAAAGCACAGAAAAATCCATTCTTTCTAAAACTAAATTGTAATAATACATCGATTTGATATAAGAGAGGAACAATCTTATCAATATGAAAAGGGTTTGGTCTAAGAATTTATAAAGAACACCTTTATAATATATCTTGTTAAAGTTCCAAAAGGTAAAAGATGTCTATGTTAATGCAATCAATTACAATGCTGAAAGGATCGATTTCTTTAACCAATTTCAAATAGATTTGTTTTTATATAAGGAATAAAAGGTTGATTAAATCAATAATTCAAGATTCTTTAGAAATTAGAATATATCAAGTATATCCTTAGATGTGAGGACAATCACATTAGATGAAGTTGTTGAGTTTTTAGTTGAGAAATAGTTCAACAAAGAGGATAGTGATTAGATTGTTGATATATTTTAGAAGATCTTAAAATACTATGGGCTAAGAAAAGCCCCAAGAAAATCTAAATGGCAATTGGCTCCTGAGATAGAGCCTAATAAAATCTTAACATAACAATAGATTGTTGAATACCTAAGTTATTATTCTTAAAAGTAATTTGAGGAATGGAAAATATTCAAGACTTTTATTTAGGATTTTCACAGATTTCAAATTAAGAAAATTAATTTACCAGAAGGACGACTCTAACATGTACGTTAAGCGTGGGAATGTAACATCATTGGAGAATGGCTGATAAAATAACTAAGAAGACTTGATAAATCAATTTCAATTCTACTATTCAAGAGTTTAGAAGTTTGTAAATTATTAGAAAAAGAAGGAGAATTGACAGATTAGAATATTTTACAAGCCATGGAACAAGATGGAAAGTGTTCTTTTGATAAATTTGTAAATGAGAAAACATAATAGCAACTACAACGCCTTTTGAAATTAGCAGAAAAACAATAATACTTAAATTAAAAATCAATTAGTATTGATGACTGGGATTCTGATTTAACCAAAGCCATTTCTAATTATTAAGTGATTAGTACAAAATTATTCTAAAATCAATAAAAAATATAAGCCAATTAAAAGGAATCTCCAAAACAATAACCTATATAGCATGTTTCAAAAGATCAAATCGTTTCTGCAGCTAATTTTATTGATGATAGATCTATAGTACATGATTAATAATAAATCCAAGTGTTAACCTAAACACCTTAATAAGTTTCATAAATTATCAAAAGTCCAAAAATAGAATAATAAAATACTACATTATTAACTGTTCCTGCCAAAACAACTTCACAAAATAATCTGACAAAGCCTGGAGCCACTCATGATACAATTTCAAGATCCAATTTATCTTCTAATACTCAGATGACTGAAGCAGAACTTGATATGAAAATTTAGAATGCTATGAGATTACAAAGCAGAATCTTTAGTGAATTGGGAAAGTAAATATTATAAATTATCTTAGTATTAAAGATCTCTCTTTTAGAAGTCTTAAGTGAAATACTTATCATTATTATATATTCATTTAATAATATAATCAATTAATAAGGAAAATAAATTATTTTTAGTTAGTTATACTCTATTGAATTTATGTCTAAATAGTACTTTAAATATTTGAAATAGAATACAGACACTATAAATCCAATTTAGATTCTTACAAATATATTTTCATAAAATCATAAATAAATTATAAACATAATTATCAAATACGACATGAAAATTTTATCATTTTTGAATAGATTTTGATGATGAAATTGATTAGGTTCTTTCTGATTTAACATCCTTGTGCAATCTTTATATTTATTCAACTGTCAACAGATCAGGTTTTCTTCTCTATTCTTCTAAGACCTAGAATATACTATTATAATTACTTGTCTCTCTATTTTTTCGAATTCCTTTCTTGTTTCAATATTTTTAATGGTTTTAGGATTGAAATATTCTGGACACATTTCATAAAGCCATTTTCCTTCAATATCAGTTACTGTTCTTAGATAGTTTTTTGAAGTCAACACAAATTCCTGATACAGTATCCATTCTGGTTTGTGATTTAAAACAGAGCATGGATGTATGGCGACTATTTAACTATCCTTGACTGTCATATAGGCTCCATTTTTGGTTAGATGAGCTGTTTACATAAACATTCCTGCGATTAAAGCCTTTTTGATGTAGGTGTAATATAATGCATTGGATGGATCAGTTTTGGTCAAAGGAATTTATTGCTTTTACATGATTTATCTTAATTAAGCCTTGATTTTATCTGCTGATTTCAAACTTCGATAATTAATGAAATTTTGATAACACCAATCAGAGCTTTCATTGTGTTCTTTAAATGATTTGAAAACATTCAAGAAGGTGATGTGATCTCCATCTTGATGGACAAATTGATATCTAGCATCATCAGCCTATTGTTATTGATCCTTAGGTCTTTAGAATACTTATTAAACAGACAACAAAGCCACAATGGTCAATATCTCATCAGTAACATAGAAATCTTTACTGCTAAGAAGTACTTTTGATAATTGTGGGTCAAGTGGAAATTCTGACATCTATTATCCAAATTTGGTTAGATTGCCTTCCTCATCCAATGCACCCAAATAGTATAATTATTCTAGAGCTCTCATTAATGTTTCTGGAGCAGGTGGGTCCATAAAATCAAAGTGAACTAAATCATCTATTCCCAATCTCTTCAATTGCAACACCACTGAGGAGAGATTGCTCCTTAATATTTCTGGATAAGTGTTATCAATCAATTCAGAATTAAATGATTGTTCAGTGTATAATCTATAACATTTACCAGGTCTTGTTCTACCAGCTCTACCTGCTCTTTATTAAGCAGAAGCCTTGGAAATTGGAGAAGCAAGCAAGGACTCGACTCTCAATCTTGGGTTGTAAACCTTTTACTTAGAAAACCCAGGATCTACAACATAGCAAATTCCATCGATAGTAATAGATGTTTCAGCAATATTGGTTGCTACTACAATCTTTCTACCTTGTACTCCTTTTTTATTAGGCTAAGGAGCAGATTCAAATATCTTTTATTATTAGTTTGGTGGTAATGTACTATATAGAGGTACACATCTGACTGGTCCAACATCATCTCCCAACTTCTATATTTCGGAAGTGATCTTTTTACAGGCTTCTTCGATTTCCTATAGAAATGAATAGGATTTAATTATTTACTTCTTCTCCCGTAAGAAATACTAAGATATCTCCTGGATCCTCATAGGCATGAATATTGATTGTGGTACTGATTGCTGCATCAAGATAGCTTTTCTCAGGCTTTTAGGTGTAGAATATTTCCACTGGATATACTCTCCCTGGAATGTCCAAAAGGGGAGCATTGTGAAAATACTTTTAAAATTTCTCTGCATCCATAGTTGCAGACATGATGACCACCTTCAAGTCTTCAGGTCTCTTCAACATGATTTCCTTGAGGAGTCCAAATAATATATCAGTATTAAGAGTTCTTTCATGAGCTTCATCTAAGATCACGACTGAATATCTCTCTAATTTGGGGTCATGCATGGCTCTAATAATATTGATTTTAAATACTCTCTAAGAAGCATACCATCTGTCATATATTTAAGGATGGTTTTATTCGAAGTCTTCTCTTCGAATCTGATTGAATAACCAACTTCTTCTCCAAGGGCCACATCCATCTCTTCTGCCACTCTTTTTGCTACACTCATTGCAGCCACTCTTCTAGGTTAAGTGCATGCTATCCCTCTGCCTTTACTATATTTCTCAAGTAAAAATTGTGGTATTTAGGTGGTTTTACCACTTCCTGTTTCTCCTTGCAAAACTATCACTTGATACTGCTCCATTAGCATAAACAATTATTCCTTGGCTATAAAGAATCATATCACATTTTACCATCCCAAGCAGGTAACTACTTTCTCACGGCCAAAATTTTATAATAATCTCCTGAATATTAATTACCTGTGTAGGGGTTTATGTTTGCATTTTACTTTACTTTTTTTTTCTAGACTTATTCTTAAATTATATCTTCTACATACCTAATTCACCGATATCGATTTTCTATTGCTTTTATTTAGTGGTCCCTAAATTCTTATCCACAAACATTATTTAATAAAAATTAATAATTTATAATCCTTTTTAGTATTTTAATTATTTTACTTATATTCAAAAATCAATCTACTTCAAAACAATCAATTCTAATAATTAAACAGAGGTGATACAATTAAATCATTATAAATACATCAACCAAATCATTCTCCATTAATCTCCCTATGAGCTACTTTCTGCTATTGCTGCTTCTCAATTATCTTTTACAAGGCGCATTGAGTTCCTCTTAATTTTCTAATTATTTATCCATAAATACTACTTTCGAATTTGTAAGTTGTCTAATTTAATCTCATCTAATTCGTGAATCAAACCAGAAACAAATAAAACTGATTCACTCCTTGGATTAGGACTGAAATATGTATGAGTTTTAGAGAGCGTAGTTTTTGTGCTTATCAGTGGAGTTGATTGCATAGTAAATTACTTGCCAAAAGCAGTCAATCCACATACATCCGGAAGACTGGAAGCCCACTTCTTAATAATGTCTTTCCTTAGTTTCTTTTCAGCATCCTTTGTTTCCATCTTCTTCTTATACTCAAACTCTGTTTTTGAGGTAAACTTATAAGAAGGAGGTACTTCCTTCCTTTCCTCTTGTTCTTGATCCCATTCCCAATGAGCATACCTTCTTAGAACTCTTTTGGAAGGTTCTAAACTTTTTTAAGTTGGTATATAATTACTGAGATTATTTAAGAAATTTATAAAGATCGAACTTTGGTATTAACTCGGTGATCTACATAGATCCAATTCTAGTTCTAGTGCATATTCCTTTCAAGACTGGACCTAGTTTCTTGTCATCAATCAATTCTTGTTATCGAAATGCAAATTTAGCAAAAGTAACTTTGCGATCCTGAAGTGTTGATTTCAATTCATTGAATTCTTAAACATTCTTTTTGATATGCGAAAGCTAAACAAATTTTTAGGCTGATTTTTCATCGTTGCTTGTCTTACCTTCAATCACATCTTTCAATCTATATTTACTCTAAGATTACCAAAGTGTATACCTTTTTAATGTTTTGCATATTTTTAATATAAATTGTTATAATCATATTATTGCAATCATAATTATGTTGAGCATAAGTATAATACTATAGGATTCCGTAATAATTTTCAAAGAGGCTAGTTTCTCTAAGTACTTGGCAAGTGACTTACAAGGTTTACAAATTTAAGCTGCGTCGTCAAAAGTATGGGCTGTCATTTTATCACAGTCTTCCTTTCGAATATCTGCTGATAAGGTTGAGTTGCATTAAGAGTTCTTCAGAGAGCAAATATGAACATTGCCAAAAGAATCGATGTGTTCTTTGTTACAGAGATCCGTTGTGATGGTAGAGCAATTTAAATTTACACAATTGTTGTCCTTCCATTGACATCCATGAGTCTTACAGAGATTCTTACTTTTAATATTCTTGTTCTCACATGCTCCAAAAAATCTAGTGGATGTCATACAAACATCTCCTGCCCAATAACAATAGGCTGATGGCTAAAATAAAGAGGGGAGTTCATTAATAAATAAATTATTGCATTCATCTTCAGTTGTGATGTCGCTGCAAGTAGAAACTGATCTACATCCTTTTGATGTTTTGTTATATCCACAAAAATTAACCTTGCATACACGTCTCGCATAAGATGGACTTATTTTTGATACATCTAATTCCTCACATGATGAAATGGGTTCACAAGTTTCTGTCTATACTCCTTATGGATAACAGGAAGTTCGATTAGTTGAATAAAATTAACTTGGAGCCACACACTCAGCCACCTAAATGGATTTATGAATTGCGTCTTACCTTATTTCCTCTTTCAGAACAACCTTTAACTCTACATTTCTTGGTTCCAATCTAATTCTCATCCCATAAACATTTATGCTATTCACAACTATCTTGGTTGTCATGTTCCTAACAATCACAACTATATGGATATTCTAATTGTGCCTTCAGAACAAGCACTAGAAGCACTTAAATCAATAAATTCATTACTATTATATATAATTATTATATTATTATCATAACAATTATATATTATTCAAAATAATCAAATTAGTCATGCATACATATTTCAAATATGAATTTGTTAACAATTCCACTTGTTTTATTTACTTGACACTTGTAGTATTTTAATTAATTCAAATTCCTTACATACAATATATTATTATAATGCAATTAAATTACGAAATACTTCAAGAAATCTATCAGAGTAAAAAAGTGAGAATTGAGAAAGTAAGATCAATGCAGGATAACCAGACTTACATCTAAAAAACGTATCTACAAAATAAAAATGAAGGTATGGTTTATAATGATTGTGAGGATTGAATGCAATTAAAATGTTAGCACAAATTAAGAATCAATTTGTATTATAAGTAATTGAATATCTTGAAAATGAAGAACAACAATTGGTTATAATATAGGAATATTGTGATTAAGGGGATCTCAAAACCTTTACTTTACAACACATCGGTTACAAAATGCAAGAAAGCATTATTTGGTCACTCTTCTTGTAGATGGCTTATGCTCTCCTACAATTAAATGAACTTGGAATACAACACAGAGTATTAATCCCTGAGAATATTCTACTGCTAGTAAGAACTGAAGGCTATCAAATTAGAATTACAGATTTCCACAAGTCTTCAAGACAAACTCTCTGTTAATTACCCTGTGCTGCAATATACTTACCCTATGAGTACTTTTTTGAAGGACAATATACTTAGAAGTCACACATTTGGCAGATTGGCCATATCCTTTATTTTATGGTTTCCCAAAAACTCCTATTCCCAACAACTACCCTCGAGAATCAAGTCAAAGAACAGTTAAGGAGAGGTCGAATACAAATTAATATCCCCGATGTCTATTCTCAGGGTCTAAACAAATTAATCAATGTCTGTTTGACTATAAGAGAAAATTAGAGACCAAATATTCTCTAAATTTTGAGAATGAAAGAAGTTAGAGATGCTCTGGCAAGACCATACTATGAATTTTCATTAGATCAAAGGAGACATCTTATGTACTGGATAAATAGTTCTGAAACTGCTATTTCCAATCCAGTATAGTTTACATTCAATGAATTTGATTTGCATTCTCCAAGACAAATTCAGAAGGATGTAGTAATCAAAAAGAATTTCAGAAATTCTAAGTTGCCTGAGATTTTTCAATAAAATTAACATGCCTTCAAATCATCAACTGATCGCCTTCCAGAATCAGATAACATCAAAACTGAAACCAAAAGAAAAGAAGATTTGTATTTACAATAGCAATTGTTGTCAAAAACCTATACAAATAAGTATTTCTAAGGCATCGTCAAACCGACTAGTTTTCATAAGAAAAAATAAGTCATTAACAATACTGAATTGCCAAAGTTTTCTATTCCTTATCAAAAATAACTAGACCCTGTATTTCAAAATCTTTTGGAAAAGAAAAAATAAATATGCGATTAATGGATTGGAGAAACAGAATATATGTTCTTAAGGTCATAAATTAAATTTAATGTAATGTATCATTATTGACTAATAGAAAACAGATAAATTACTGGGTTATTTGTAATAAAGGCATCCTAAAGTAGACGGTAGTGTTATATTGTAATAAATCAATGATATTGCACATTTAGAAGAGTAAAGAAGTTTCTATAAAAAATGCTGAAAATTTATTTATTTAAAGATATGCGTATATATATAACAAAAGCAATTAAATAAGCTATTGATTATTTTAAGATCTTGAACTAATTGTATATCTATGATTGTAAGAGCATTTGAAAATAAGAACTCATAAATGTTAGTTAGGAATATAAAATATAATTGTGTGATCAATTTAATAAAGATATAATCTTAGAATTTAATTGTATGGGAGAAATTAAATTAAAATAAATTTTTTTAATTAGATGTTCAAATTTCTTCTTAGGCCCTCTTTATTGTTTTCCAAGAGAACAACTAAACTTAAGAATATGATATAATCAAAAGAATTAGAGTTTATAATGGAAGCTCATAACGGACTTTCAGCTCTTATTGTTTAAGAGGCTGGTTTTAAAGGCATTTGGGCTTCCGGATTATCAATGTCGGCTGGACTGGGAGTCAGAGATTGTAATGAAGCTTCGTGGACTTAATTGTTGGAAGTATTAGAATTCATGGCTGAAAGAACTACTATTCCAATATTAATGGATGGAGATACCGGTTTTGGAAATTACAATAATGCAAGAAGATTAGTGAGAAAATTGGAAGAGAGAGGAATTGCTGGAGTTTGTTTTGAAGATAAGATCTTTCCTAAAAGAAACTCTTTAGGGGATGGGGCCTAAGAATTGGCAAACATTTAGGAATTTTCAAATAAGATCAAGGTTATGTAAAAATTAACTTTAGGCATGCAAGGACTTCTAGAGAGATAAAGACTTTTAAATAGTGGCTAGATGTGAATCATTTATTGCTGGTTGGGGATTAGAAAACGCTTTGGAGAGATGTGAAGCCTATAGAAAGGCAGGAGTGGATGCTGTGTTGATTCACAGTAAGAAAAGTGATTTCACAGAAATTGAGTCATTTGTTAAGGTATGGAATAATAGATTACCAGTTGTAATAGTTCCTACTAATTATTACAAAACTCCAACAGAGGAATTTAGAAAACATAGTAAAGAATGTTGAAATCATTATTAGATATAAGTTTAGCAATTTGGGCCAATCATAATTTAAGAGCAAGTCTTAAAGCAATGCAATAAACAAGCAAGCAAATATTTGAGAGATAAAATTTAATTGGATTAGATAACATAGCCACTGTTAAAGAAGTTTTCAGATTGTAGAATGAAGAAGGACTAGAAAAGGATGACAAGAAATACTTATGAAATAGTATTCTACGTACATGTTCTAATAAATTATTCTATATTAAATTTATTCCATAGAAATAAATATTCCAACAACATAAAGTGGATTCGATTTTTTATTGTTCAAATTGATTAAAATCATATAAAATTGATATATTGACGATAATATTCTATTTGTGTACAATTTATAAATAATAATATGACATATATATATTTGAAAGATTAAAATAGGATGTAATATATTAATCTAATCCGATTAAATTGATGTTATCTTAAAAAGCAACACAAAATTAGTGATTTTAAATTTAATCAAATATAGAAATGATTTCCTTCTCCAAAATAAATACATTTCTATCATTAAAATTTTGTATAGAAAAGGTTTTCAGTTTTAATATGAAAAATCCACAAATATTAATAATTATTATTTATTTTAATAAAAATGGGATATTAAGCTTACTAGCCTCCAATAGATACAAAACATTATAGTAATCTAGCGATTGTACTAACTTTTATTGGATTCTGTTTCCTATCATATTTTGTTATGTATTTTGCAATTTATAATTTAGTTACTAAATTACATAGAATAAATAATAAAGATCATTGGCCAAAGAATTATCAGTCGGTTTGTTTGCATCATTATTTTTATCCTCAGGAACATTGTTTAGCTTCTTAGCATTAGGATTATTTTTTTGAATGAATATTATATGCAATCTAATAGAGATTTCGATTATCACACATCTAATTAATTTTTATGATTATTATACACCTGAATAAATTCTAAGAATATCTTAATTTCTTAGCATTTAATTATTACCAAAGTTATGCTGTTAATGTGGTTGATATTTGAAAAAGTATGGATCTGCTTTTTAATTATGTAATTTAAGAATAAACTTAGAAATGAAATAAATTATAAATTTGATTGATATCATACTCAAACAGATTGTATTAAATTACTTAGCAACTCTTATTGCTATTTGGTTAATAATTATTAAATTGGTAATTGCTATTATACAATTGGATTGCTATAATAAGTTTTGAATTAGGCACTAAATAATTTATCTTCGTCATTTAGTATTTTGTCAGGATTCTAATAGAGGTGAATATAAATTGGTTACATTTCTAGCAATAACAGGTTTCAAGGGTTGGAATCCAGAACTTGATGTCACTTCTCTATCAGTTACTCTTCCCATGAACTTAAGAGGGTTTCGTTTTTTAAGGGTTATGTTTTCAACCATAGCCTAAAAGACAAGATTCCATGATTGTTAAGACAAGAATCTAAGGTATTAAATGAATAATGTACGATCCAGAAAACAGTATGGCAGACAACATAGTAAATATAAATTTTCTTTCACTTCTCTAGGAAATAGACTTAATGATTCCTAATTCATTAATTAAAAAGCTCTCGAGTAATTGAGGAGAGATCTTAGAACATTCATTGACAAGTACTTCTACTCCGTAAGTAGTAAAGACATGAGCTAGCAATAGAAACACTTCCTTATTGATTAATCGCTAACTCAAATGGGTTGCTTTTGATTTTGAGGATATTTAAGGTTAAGATTGCTATTGTATTTTGTATTATTCAAAAATGATAGCCAAAACTATGTTCGTCCATTGCTAATTGGATTTTATGAGGAATTTGGATAATTCTGTATATGATGGTGTGCTATGAGAAACGATTGATTTTAGGATTGTCTGTAATTAAGCTGTAGGTAAATTAGTTCCTTAGAATCCAAATTGGAAGAATATGATATAAGCTTGAAACAAGGAGGAGTTTGACTCATTCCAATTTTAAATTTCAAGGAAGTTTTGTAATAGATTTTGATAATAAGAGGAGGCATTAGTCTAAACCTATAAGAAGAGTGAGTAAATTTGCAAGACGAAATTAGTAACGTCTCCCTTGTTTTCTCTTAGCAATTCATCTAGCTAATTCAATATGCTTTATTATAACTAATTGGCAGCTTCAGAATTCTTGGCCATGATACACACATCAATCACACTTGCTATTATCTCAAAAACCAAATGGACATTCTAAAACTCATATTCCAACTTGATATTCTTCAACAAATCTTAGAGTAAATTGCATAATGCAGCAATGGCATTGAAAATCTCCTATTTCAATAAATTAATCAATGAATTTGTAAGTTTCAAACTGTATGTTTCTAATTTCGATTATTATTTAATATTATTATAGCAATCTGTCAATACCAATTGCAAATATTGGGAAATGTTGACATTTTCAAAGTACAATTAATGATTAGCATAATTCTTGACATCCTGTCTTACGTTGATTAATGAATAAGCTGTATAACAGGCAATGTTAGATAAGGTAGTCTTTTTGCTTAATTATAGTTTTGAAACCAGAGTGGCGAGAGTTGGCAATTCTACCTTGTCAATCACATTTCTGAAATAGAATAAGTACCTACAATAGAATGCCAATTGAATTGGAGTGAACTTAGATTCAACTGATTAATTCTATTATTGCATTTCAAATATCTATCCTAATTTGGGTTTCAAACAGTGAGTATAAAATCCAAGGACATTTTCTTATGATAGAATAATATCAATAGTTCCATCTTTTGAAGTAAATGAACTAGTGCTGGCTTCGATAATCAAGTTGATAAGAATTATTTCATTATCGATTCCATTCATTCCCGATTGAATGTAAGCCTATCTAATAATTTCATATATCAATCATTACAGATATTCTTAAATGATGAGATTGACCTATTGATTAAAGTGTTTAGTGACTGTCTTGAAGAGTTCAACAGCTTGTGCCCTTCTGGATTCTAAGTCGCTTTACTCGAAGAACTTCTCAATGAATTCTTATGGTTCATCTGAAAACATCCCTATTTCATCCTCTAATATAGATTATTGAGTCTGAATTACTTGACAAGGATAAATTCCTAATAATTAGACTCTCTATCAGGATCTTTATGTTCTGCTCAAAGAAGGCCTTCATGTCTTACCAAGCTATTAAGGTCTTGAAGTATCTAAGAGCACATAATACAATCTAAAACTTTATTTGATTAAAGTAACCTTGTCACTATCTCTTCCAGCACTGGTCTGGGTGCACACATTCCAGATTTCACTCGAGAACACTTGGATCAAGTCACCAAAATCGTCACGATACTTCATCGCATACAATAACACACATTTAAGAGCTTCACCCTTACATTTGAACAGGAATTGCTCTACTCCTTGGACTGGCTAGAGTCGTAGAACGACCTTCATGAATTCCATCCAGGATTAGAGATTGTCTTCGAAATGGGGATGCAAGTCCTAAATAATTATTATTTTAAATTACTTAAAAATTTAAATTGTAAAACACTTTTAGTAATGTTTTCAGAATTTCATATGATAATTACAGATTTTGAAGGGCTTCTATTTATTGTATCAATGATTTAGCCAACAATAATAAATTGTGATGAATTGTGTCGCATGTTATAATGATTTCTTCATAGAGAGGATCACTCCTAGATTGATAAACATATTTTTCAGTCAATTTGTAGATGAGTTTCAAGGTTTTGTATACATAATCTGGATGTGCGAGGAATTGATTTAGATCGGCCATTAGAGTGGGCCATTGAGTTGGAAAGTCCCTTGAAGCAACGTAAACAATTGCATCTTTCAATTGATGAATCAATGGTGCCTCAGAGACTATATAAGCACTTATTATGTGTTGCTTGATGGTTTAGACCACATTCTGAACGTATTAAGCTTAGTAGTCATCAAAATTACGATACTCTTTGAACCATAATTTTAACTCAATTGCCGCTCGAAGACCCAGACTAATTTCATAAGCTTAGAAATAATCGAATAACACTTTGGGATATTGGATGTCACCTCGTATTTGTTATAGCAATTACTCTCCTTGTCTTATTTTATCGTTTGTGCCCATATTGATGAGTTAGAAGGCTGTGTTTAGATCATTCACTATATTTGAAGTGACAATCATAAATTTTAATTTAAAATATTTTCTATAAGCACTTATAGTCCATGGTATTTAAAATGATTAACCCAAGGAATCCTACAAATTATCAAAGCAAGAAATACGAGAATGTCTGTAGATATCAAAATCAGAATTCCTTGAGTAAATCCATTTAGAATGTTCTGGCTGCATTTCAGCCCTGAAAGATTTTATTACCCTCAACCGAAAAGACAAATACATTACCATAAACCAAGAAATTGCCATCAATGAAGACGTGATCAATTCTTAAAAGATATCCAAGACTCTTGCACAACTCGAGAGTTATGGAGAATTAATCAAATCTACAATATCTAGCATTTTTAAAAAGACAACTCCACAAAACAATAAGAAAAGATGTCAATTACATTCTTTGAAACAAGTCCCAGAAATCAACATCTAGGAACATGTTCATTACATTTGTAATGACATTGTGGAACAAAATGAAAATTGTATTATCTAAGATAGGGAATTTGATTATCATTTATAAGTAATCACAAATTAATTGGGTTTAGAATTACTTGAAAACCAAAAAATTCTGTCCATCTTGCAAAGAAAATATTTAGGCGGCTTTAAAGCATTTTAAATTATAAATCCCATAACCTGATTGTGCATGCAGTATTATTTGTTTTATTAAATACGATCACTAGAAATGCGAAATTCAAATTCCATATGATGTATAAATACCTCCTAATTCTTAGGCAATCTTATTAAATGCATTATTGAATAAGGCACAAATTCAACCATTTTACTAGCATGCTTCAACAAAAGAAGACGCTTAAGAGGAGTTGTTGATATGTTTTGGACTTCTAATTAAGGAGAAACTAACAACTCTCTATAGAGAAAGGTAGACTATGGAAATCATTAAATACACTTTCTATTAGTAAATAGGCTAAATATTTAAATAGAGATTGGAAAATTATCATAAGATGAAGGGGGAATACTAAAGTCAATTGGAAGAGTTGGAATAGTTTTTAAAGAACGAAGATGAATAGAAAAATAAACAAAGAATGAAGAGACAACTCAAGAAAAAGAAGAGAAAGGAACAATAATTAAGTTCTGATGGGTCAGTTCGTACAAACTATATGCAGGAATCCTCAAGAAGATCAATTTCACCTTCAAATAGTGAGAAAAATCTATTGAAATCTTTTGGATGGCAGGGAACTCCATCAGTGTCTCCATAAACAAGAAAAGAATTAGAATTCTTGCAAAAGGAGCATCTACAAGAGATAAATAATAGAAGAAAATAATTAAGAGAATAAACTAAATAATGTTGGTGTGAATGGTGTCACCATCATAAATAGAAATGATAATGATGATTTACATATTTATAAGTGCAGTTTAAACATTGTATCCCCTCTTTTTTTAATTTAATAAGATGTTAATAAAAATGTAATTATCAGTGTTTAATAGCTGTTCGCTTCTCAACAATACCATCATATCGTAATACTAATTCTTTATGTTATTCTTCTTCTACTTTCAATTCCATCAACTTCTTCTCTAACACATCCTCTAATTATGCAATTAATTGTTCATATTCCTTTTACATTTACATTATTTCATTATCAGTTTTCCTATTTACTTAATGGAGAATTGCTTATCTTGTTTCATTATGAGCCAATTTTCTCCATTTTGTGAAGACTTATTTTGGCAATCTCAATCTAAGCTAATCTTCTTCATTTTTACTTTGAGTAATTAGCTGCAAATAACTTCATTCTTCGAATATATATTTAGTATTTCACCTATTGTCTGAATGTTTTGAACACTCTTTTTTGTAAATTTTCCATATATAATCGTCTAGCAATAGAATATGAAATTCTCAATTTGTGCATTATGTCTCCCTTTGTTTTTGTAAAATCTAATTTTCATTTCATTTATATACTCTTAAATAAATTCTCGAGTATTTGTAATTACTCCTATGTATCATTGTATCCATCATCAACCATTGATAGATTTCCTGAATACATTTCTTCTGTGAATTTTCTACTTTATTCTAAGAATGCCTAAACAGTCTTTTCTGACCATTCATCTAATAGTTATTTGTTCTTCTTGGTAAAATCTAAGAGAACCTTAGTTTTTAATTGAGTAGTATCCATTAACGATTTAATTTAAAATCTAATTTTATAATAATAATTGGAAAATGAAAATACAATGTTAGAATATTCATTAATTAAGAACTATCATTAGCCGCATTCGAATTTGAATTCACAGTTTTTGATTTCTGTCCCATCCTTATTTGTAGCAGTAGCATAAATACAAGTATTGCCAAATAGAAGTGTAACCTTAACAGTCTTATCCTCAACAGATTAGAGTGGTTTACCAATATCAATGCACAATTCCCCTAATTATTGTACTCCTTGTTCATCAACAAATTCCACTTCTCTCTTCTCAGTCACATAAAATATTATTCTCATTATAGTTTATCTTGATCTTACGGGACAATATATTTTAGTGTGTACTTCATCACAACTAAAGAATGATATTTATATTATACCCAACAGCATCTCCTTTTCTCACAAATGCATCAAATACATCCTCACTAAATTCTTCTCCTTCAATAATAACCTTCTTTTTTATAGGATGTCTCTCTGCATCAAAAGTTGTTAATGTATTGATTCCATAAGTCTTTTTGGCTATTCGACTTGTAATAGATCTTGGACTCAATCCAAATAGACATGCCCCCCTAATAACAGAAACCTAAGGGCGTCTGGGAACCAAAATTTGAATTGCATTATTCTCAAATCTTTTAATGATTTCTGATTTCAAAAATGGAGATTCGCTGAATCCTCCTACCATAAAAATGAAATTCACTTTCTCCTTTTTCTGTTCAACTTATTGTAAGAGTTGTGCAACTTTATTTTTGATGTTTTCAAAGAGAGTCTAGAAGAAAGATGCCATTAAAGCTGATGGTATTTCTACATTAGAAAGACCCTTCAACTTAATCTAGTATTCAGCAGCATGTTTTGAATTATGTTCTTTAACTAACTGTGTTAATTTGGCAGTATTCAATTCTTCACCCAAATACGAGAATTTAATCATGCATCTTTCATCCTTATTCCCTTTAAATTTCCTTTTTAGAATTTCAAAATCTCTCAATATATCCAATCTAGCTATTGCATTCTACTAATAACATCTAAATAGTTTCTCGCCAAGAAATTCCTTTAAAAATTCTTCAAAGTATAGATCCACATATTTTGAACCCCATTCACATCCTCCTGAAGACGGAATCAATTCATTACATAAGAATTTCTCATTAGGTTCACATAATAGTTTATGAACTGTAATATCTACTGTTCCACCTCCACAATCAAGTACCATAACTACTGAACTCTTTGCCATCTATTCTTTTAATGTTTGTTCAGCATCTTCTCTACATTGAATTGATGCTCCTTCAGGTTCTAAACACAATAATAAATTAGGAGAGTTAAGATTTTCTACGATTCCTGCTTCTACAGCTGCTTTTCTCATAAATTATTTATGTTCTTCACTCCATAATGCAGGAACTGTTAACACCCATCTAATTTTAGTTGATATCACTTTCCCCACCTGTTCCTTTAATTTTGATATTGCTTTATTGCTTATGTATTTGAGAGTCTCCTTAATCAATAGCATCAAGGGCAACTCTCTGTTGTCAAGTGATCTTGCATTATTGTGCATATGGTATAGATGCATTTTATACTAATAATTTTAGATGTTAAACTACATTTTAAAATAGATAGGCTGAATCCCCATCATCTAATATGCTGGCGTATTTTTAAAGAGCTTGTGATCCAAATTCAATAAATTAACCATTGTTATCAAACAGAATGGCTGTGGGTGTTTTTTAGTCATCTGAATCATCGCAAGGGTTAAATACTTCAATTCTTGGTTTTCCTTCCTTGTCTAATACTTTTGGAGCTAATCCGAATCTAAATTAATTTAATTAATACCCTGATGCTCCTGTTCCAAAATCTATTGCAATTACATGTGTGAATGCTGTATCATCCTTTAATAAGGCCATTATTATTAACTGCTTTGTTTATTTAAATTTAAAATATAAAAAATACTTTTTAACAGCATAATTTAAATATGAAGAATAATTATGTCAAAGAAAATTTCTCAAAACCTAATGACTATTTGGAAGGGACTCAAGATGAATTAAGAGGCAAAATTAAGATCTTGATGAATAAATTGCAAGTCACCAAGAAAGAAAAGGAGATATTAAGCAAGGAGAATCAAAATCTACAATAAGAAATACTACAGATGCAATCAAATCTTAGATGCATGGTCTCTGGATTTGCAAATACAAGTATCACATTTCCCATGGCAAATGAATTAAGTAATTCCATAGCAGAATTTTACAAATGTGAATGTTTTGATATTTTTTTTGATGTTCTGAGTCAGGAATTAAACATGAAGGGGATTATCTATTTTTTCTAAACTGCCATGTATCGAATAGATAAAATAATTAATGACTATTTTACACCCCTATTCAAAAATATTAAAGATGTAATTTTTTTAATATATTGAAGGTTGGTTGTTTAACTACAATTGACGGACCAATCATCAATGTATTGAGAAAATCATTTCAAAGTAATTACAAATAAATCTATGAAAAATGCATGCTGAATTTAGGCAGTGTGACAATAGAATTACAAAAGAGTCTAAAGTTAAACAATGGCGATATCATTGAATCTTTTTTAAGTAATTACTCAATTTAATATTGATAGACAAATTGTCAGAAATAATGTTCAATTGTTACATAAGTGATCCAAATCTTTAGTTTGATATTCAATCGATTGGACAAAGACAATAGTTTAATTAATGTAAGAATGATCCTATTGACGGATTCATCAAGAACAAAGAAGAATGTATTATATTAATGCCTGGAGTGTATAAAAATTAGGAATAAATGGCGAAGTCTCTAGTATTATCATATTCCTATTAATTAGAAAATAACTGATATTCATATAAATATATCTTAAATAATTAGATATAGGTGTTTATCTTTAATTTTGCACACATATAACTATATAAGGCATAAATAGCGAACATTTAATCAATATTAGGACAATCTCATTTTCTTCTAATAATTCTTATCTCCCATTTTGATCAACTCATACACCATCCACCATGGACACAAAAAGTCTGAGTCAAAATAGGCAGTCAGGAGTAAATAAGCGTTTTCCATATTGTAAATTAACACAAAAATCCTTCTCTCTGAATTGTAAGTCTTGCAATGAATCCAAATAAATGTGAGATAAAGTATATTGAAGATGAGCACTGAAACCAATTACTTGATGGGGAAATAAAAGAATGCCCACATAAAACAAGGCACAATAATTGCAATCATATAATTATAATAGAATACTTTAAAATCCAATATATTGTTAATGCCAATGACATTGCTATTTTTAAGTTAATCCTCCTATTTCAACTCATTAAGAATGGGTTAATTTTTATTTGTGATTTCACTCTTCTGTCCCTTAGATTTAACTTACTCTTGTTCCTTCTCTGAACTATTTTCACTCGCCTCTTCCTCTTATTCCTAACTCTCATTCTCCAACTACTTGAGATCCTCCTCCTGTCTACTCATCAATAAATCCCAATCCTTATCTACTTATGGTTCATTCATGAACTCTTCATTCAATTAGAACGGATTCTTCATTTGATTAATTTCCATGTACGTGTGGTATGCCTGCTGCAATACTTTAAATCGAATGTAAATAATTAAGGAAATGCTCATTAAGTTGAGTAACAAGAACTTTGATATGTCAAAATATTCGCTAATGAATAGGTAGACAAATATTCTTCCGAAACTCCCAAAAGTAAATAGCAATATATTTATAGGAAATCGCTTGGATGTATTTGGTGACAAATTTATCTAAAACGACTCAACTACAAGGATACTATATTTATTGATCAATTACCTCCATGAAAATACATAGATTAAGGGACTTTCAATTATCAATGCTCTAGGTATTATCAAATAAGCCATGTGTATAACAAAAAAATACATCATTTACATGAATAAGAATATTTGTTAACATCTTGTGGTGATTTACAATTCTGGACATATAAGAGTTTCAATAGAATCAAATAGTTTCAGATCATATTTAATCGGTTTGAATGCCAAATTACCTTTATATTCTATGGTTTCTCGAAAATCTGGAGTATCATATGAATTTAGCATTATTAATTTTATTATATTTTTTAACGGAATGAATAAAGAAAATAATAATACTAGTCTTACTTAGAATTAAAATGGTAGGAAAACCATGAAATTAAACTCAAATGACATTGACTAATTCGTAGATTCAAGAATTGTTCAATTATAAAAATAATTATTAGAAAAAGAAGTAGAAATTGAAAATTTATCCAAACTTAATCAAGATCCGAAAAATTAGAATTCAAATAAGTATCGATTATTGGAAATCAAACAATAAACTCTACAAACTGAAAACTAATAATTGAAAACGCAATTATAACAATACGAATCCTTAAATAAAACACAACAAAGGAAATGTGAACAATATTAAACCTAGATTGAATAATTGACTGCTGTCTTTGAAGAAACTCAAAAACAATTAGAATAAGAAAGACAAGAGAAGTACAACATTTAATTTTAATAATCATCCAACCATATGGATGTTCAATAAGAGAAAATCCTAATCAAAACTCAATTAGACAGTCTCCGTAAAGAGAAAAGCTAATTGATCTTAAAGGTCAAAGAACTAGAAAATTCATTACAGTTGCACGAATAAAACACTAATTCAAATTGTTCAGAACTCTCTTCATTAAAGTAATAATTATAATAGTAAATTTTAAAAACATCTGAATATTTAGAAAAAAACTAGGCTTTGGAAGTCAAAAACACTTTATTGGAGGCTTAAAGTAAATCCAATCATTCTCAAAATGATGAACTCAGAAATTTAAGATCTTAGGTGATCTAATTATAAAAAGATAAGAATTCTCAACTTGAAATATAATAAGATTTGGAAACTAAGTTGAGATTGCAAACTGAACATGTTTTAAAATTATAAAATTTATTGAATGACAAAACAAAGTAACTAGGCAAATATCAGGAAAAATTGCATTAAATAGAATCAATTGAAGAGGACAATTCAATTTTGTAATAAGATTTAGAGAAGATGACCAATTCATTAGAAGAAATACAATTAGAAAATTAGAGAATTGTTAGATTTTAATAACAAAAAATAGATCAATTAAAAAAAGAGCTTTAACAGACTGAATTTATAAGAGAAGACAATAATAGGAAATAGGAGGAAATTGCATAATTGAAATATTAGATAGAAAAGAAGAAAGGAGAGCAAGAAAAAGACAAAGAACAACTGTAAGAAGTAAAATAATTTACATTAAATATAGCTATCATTATTAAGAGAAGCCTCAAAATTATGGGCATAAGAAAAAGAAAATTACTTAAAGAAAATTAGCTTATTAACTGATGAACTCGATAAAATTGCTAAATAGTAATATGATTAATTGAGAATTTAAGTGGAAACCCAAGTTTAAATGAAATTTTCCACTGAAAAAGTACAATTAGAAAATCATATTTGGTAATTAAGTTCATAAATTAATGACTTATAAGCATCAATAGAATAATACACTACAAAAATTAGTTAATTAAATATTGAGAATGATCAATTAAGGGAATAACTGAATGAAAAACAAATCACTTAAAAGACTGTCATTGTTTTAGAAGGACAACTTAGGAATACATGTAGCGAACTTGAGAAATTAAAAAATATGTTCACTCAAAGAAATCAAGAACTTGATTTAGCTAGAAACAAGATATTAGGCTTAGAAGGTTGCGCAGGTTATGCCCAAGAATTGGAAAAGAAGGTTCAAACTTTAATGCAGGACAACCAGAGATTAAATTCAATTATTATGGATAGATGCAAAAATAATTGGTGAATAATGTATATAAAATATTATATATAATTCACTTTTAATTAAATAATTGTTGTTACTTTAATCTTAAGACAAATCTCGGTAGATATAAAGACTTTTTTTAAAATACCAATACAGGGTTTTAATATTCAGAGGTGTTGAGAAAGCTGAATCCAGTGGAATTTTATAAGGACACAATCGAAGCCTTCAAAGGAACTTAATTTTTATGATAAATATCACGAAATGACTTGGCTTGAGGTTTTACTGATTATTTCAATGTTATTTATGGAATCTGTTTTGGAATTCTTTGAGTTTTCTGTTGTTTATACTGAGATCTTGTTTCGGTTTTCAATCTAAACTCATTTTAATATCTTAACGGAGTACGAAAGCTTATAGTGTTTTACCGAGATGCGATTTCATTATCCTCTTTTCTTTGTTTAACAGGGATAGTTCGCTTTAACATTGATCTAATTTCTTATTCATAATCATTATCATATTAAGGTTATTCGTCGTAACAAACATTCAAAAGAGATTCAATAGCATTTCTTTCAATTAATTAATTATGCATAATAATTTTTATGAAAACAAATCGTCTAAAAGTTTAAGTTAATTAATCTGTCTATAAACTTCAAAAAATAACTTCAGTCATTATCTAGGCTATATGTTGAATTTTTTGAATGGTTTATTAAGGAAATTCAAATTAAAATTACGTATCCCTTCTATTATAAATAACTTTAATTGATGTTTAATCAAATAACAACAGGGGAATTTTATTAAAACCAGGGGAAATTAAAGTTTATTTGATAAAATAGTGTAAAAATGATCCTCTAATAATAGATATGGAAAATGAATAAAATTGTATTGAATATTAGATTAAATCATATATATAAATTTTAACATTCATCCAACAAGTACTTTGAGTCTATTTTTTCTCTAAAATAGTTGATTATACAAATTTACATAAATAAATATTTTATAATATCTAGATCAGCTGTAAAATTTGTCTTTGATTTCATTAAAATTTTTAATAAATTTTTATCTTTAATAAATTTTGGATGTTTGGCATCTTAAGTGAATGTCAAAATTGGAAAATAGAACAATTATTATTAATTATTAAGTTCTAGGGATTTATTCCTTTCAATTAGTAAATTAGCAGCTTTAACCTTCCAAACTATATCAGCCAACTATTTTTTTTTCATTTCTAAAATTTTTTACTTTTTATTCTAATAATATTATAGAGGATTTACGAGTTGTTCTTCATGGAGAGATTTTAGCTGCAATAGATTCTTAGCATAACCTGAATTGTCAAAATTAGCTTTAACCGTTTTGCCATCTTTTTTTAAAACTCTTGAGGCTATCATAACATTAATGGCATCATAAACTCTTCTTTTAATATTCTACTCATCTTTTGACTTTGTAATATTTAATTATATTTACATTAACATAATCTGAAATTCTATCTTAGTATTAAATCTATTCTTTTATAAGTCTTTCTGCCACGTCCTTGTAAGATGTTAACTTGAATTCAAAAACTATCTCTTTAACTTTTATTGACAGGTGTCTTAGTCCTACTGATAAAATATTGATTTAAAGTACCTTTCTAAGATTTGAGAGGTTCTTTTTAAAATTGATAATTTGACATTGTTGATTGTAATTTATGGTGAATAGATCTACAAATAACTAAAATAATGAAATACCTTTTTGATAGTAAGATTGCAGAAGAAGTGGGTTATTTGAGATTTGAAATTTTTGATGGTTTCTTATTGAATTATTGAGAAACTGCCTTTTAAGATGGTAGAATGTCGAACATCATCTCTAGTTGTTGAGGTTCAAAAGCTATTTGAGAATAGACTTTTTCAGATTGATTATTGATATCAAAAGGACTGTTGGGGAGAAAAAGATGTTTTTGAGAAATGTTGACGAACTAAGACTCGTGAAGCATTTATGAAGGGTTTGGGATGACAGGAGGATCATATGACATAGAGTTAACATTATGATTAGTTATCATTATATATTTGTTTAATTTGAGTTATTACCCAATCCGAACTCCTTCAATTATTCATTTAATTCAGCTTCCTAACGAATTTAAAACATATTCTTACTTATTCTAGCAATTGCTCATATTGTCCTAACTTTGTTATGAAATCGTTGATAGCTTATTGTTTGACTTGTAAATTCTATTTTAACTTCACCATATAGTCAGCTACTGCTACCTGGTTCTGGTCTAAAGAATTCAATAGAATCATATCCTAATTTTTATTAGGTAGTAATATTTACTGATTTACAAATTTCAACCATCACATCAATATGATCTCTATGGAAAACTATGATTTCATCCTCTTCTTATAATACTTTGTTCACCAATTCTTAATGCTATTGGGATAATAATTGATTTCTTTATTCCTAGATTTCTTATTCTGGATCCACTTCTTCCAACAAGAGGTTGTCTCCATCCTCACCTTGAAAATCGTCATTTACAAATGGATCTTATTGTTACTAATTTAAATTGTTGTCCAAATAATGTTGCATGAAGTTGTTTGGCTGTGGAGGAATCGGATTCATTCCAGGAAGCAAGGGTTGTTATTTTTAATACATTTAGTTGTTTACATATCCTTATTAAGGGTATTACTGAAACAATTATTATTGTTATGGGAATTGATTTTGTTATTGCTGAAATAATTATGGATTTTATTAAACTACATTTTATTTCTGTAGATTTCCATACATTTATGGTTAATATTGTTGAGGTTGAGGATTTATGAATTGCTAAAGATTTGGTTATTGTTATTACTAATAAATATTAGGTTGTTATGGGGTCATCATTGATTATTACATGAAATATTGTTGATTTCCCAATTGTGTTTAGGATGATGATTACTATTGCTATTACGGTTGATTTGGTTAAGCACTCTTGGATTTTGGAAGATTTGGAGGTTATTGCTATTATGGTTACTGTTTGGCATAAGGATTTGTGAATTATTAATTATATTATTGTTGTTATTGTGATTATGGTTATGAATTAGCTGACAAAGTTCTTGGATGCTATTAAGATTGTGTTTGAGGTGGTAACTATTGTTATTGTGACAATTATTGCTATTATTATTGTTATTATTATTATTATTGAGCATATTAAAATTATTATTATTATTATTATTATTATTATTACTAGTATTATGAAGATGTCATGTTATTATATTATTGATACTTTTGATTGTTCATCTGAGTCAAACTACCTTAAGATCCCTGAGGTCCACTATACAAGTCATCTCCTTCCTCGTCTTCAGAATCAGGATTTCTATATTCTTTACGGATTACGTTGGTATCTAAAGTAATATTAAAAATGTAGTAAACCTGTTCTGGCTAACATCAATTCTCGATTGAGTGCATCTCCTCCGGATTTCTATTCTTATGGTTTCTTCAATTCTTTGACTCTATCTGCATATCTTAATGTGTTTAGTGTATGTTCACTATTAGCACTACTGGGTGAAATGTTACCAATCATGACAGTTCTACAATTGCCAATCAAACTATCTTTGAGCACTAGAGTTAGTTTGCTACCTCTGAAAGGAGTGTGATTCTTATTTAGATCCAAAGCTCGAATGCACTCTTTCAAAGCCAAGAGAGACTTATTAATTTCAGCTCCATCGACTCTTGTGGTTTTGTCTTAGTCTCTCACATCAGCTCCTCTCTCACTACCTGCCAAATCAATGAATGAGAGTTTGCCATGAACTAACTTGCCTTGTTTTAAATTAATTTAAAGTAATGCATGAGATCGTGAGGACTCAGAATTAGCAGAGTTTTATGAGGTCACTCTAGAGTTCTATCCATGTTGTATGATTTGCATGACTTATTGAACATTTTGAATTTTTTTTTCTGTTAATCCTTTGATTTGCACATTGCCCTTAGCATCTTCTTATGCAGCCAATTAAGTTCTATCATTCAAGAGATCAAACAATTTGCCACAGTAAATTTCATAAAAGGAAATGGTCACATATAAATTGCCATACTCAGGCTATTTTGTGTAATAATGATGTTAATTACTCTTTATAATATGCTGAATAGGTCATAACTAGCCATCAGATAGAGTCCTGGTACATTGGCTTCAGGGTCACCAAGCATTGTGAATGTTTTACCACTACCTGTTTGTCCATACGCAAAACAAGTGCACTTTGCTTTGTTGAAGGCTGCTTCAATTATTGGTCGCACTGCAGTAGCATAAACTCCCTCATTATTTACACTCTCATCAAATGCTAAGTCGAAATTGAAGTGATGTTATTCAACATATTTGGTCAGATCAACTTTCTGCCTAAAAAAGAGAAAGTATATTGAATTTCAAAATGCATACTTGATCTCGCTCAACAATACTGTAGCTTAATCCTTCACTTGCACAATATCCTAATCACCACGCGCAAGCTCTTTCTTTCCCAGTGGTCTTTTTCTGATTACGACTGTTATTTTGGGTCCCTCCATTAATTAATGTAAATACAAAAAGATCTCAAATCGAGAATACAAGAAATACTCCAAAAACACAATATTAAATAAGTCGATTTGGCAAGAGAAATAGGCATCCATCACAGTACTCTCTCCCTCTGGATGTAGAACAAAAACAAACCAAGAAAACAGGACATTTCCAATTCCCAGAGTACAAGAATCGAAGAGTTATTGGAAAGATGGATAGCCACCTTCCATGCCAATAAAGGCTAAGGAATGGGCACTGGCTAATTCCGACTCCCGGATAGCAGAGCCTCTCAATTCAGTACTTATCATATAAATACCAAATATTAGTGTCCCATCATACTGTCAGGCCTGTTTTGCCCATTTCTAAATTCCATATCCTTAGAAATCAATATCAGAATTCCATCAAATAATAAAGACAAGAAATTATTTTGCGGAAGACTCAGGAGCAATTGAAAAACAATCCCAATATTTCATTACAATAAGCATTAAATCAATCTGTAATACAATCACATATAACTTATTAAGGCTTAAGACATTCCCATTGAACCACCAAAACATCAATAACTAGTTCCAATCACTATTGATTTTGAATTAGATGGCAAAAAAATATACTAAACTTTTTGTTGGAATCTAAATGAATCTCATATGATTCCAGAAACATTTGCTAGAATAATCACAGAAGAGAATCAATTACCTTCAGTTATTGAATAGGAAATCTGTACACAAATCAAGAAACAAGTTTAAAATTATAAATGCTACTACCCAACAAAAAATGAAATGTTAAAGAATCTGCATGTAGATCTAAGAGTTGAAAACATTCATTTCAATGATTAGTTGGAATGGGATATGAACAATACTATGAATTCACCAGAAGCATTAGCAGAATTGACAGCCAAAGAAATGGGAATGCCTGAATAATATGAACCTAGAATAGCACATGCTCTAAGAGAATCGATCTCATCTTTACAAAGACAAATGGAACCCAAAACTGGCGAAGACTTTAGTAATTTAAAGAAAAGTACTAGAACTTTGATTGAAAGCAATGCCAATTTCAATCAATTCAAAAATGTCATGTTTTCTAATTAAATCAATTTTAAGAATTGGGTTAGGTGTGAATTAGAATATGACCATCAATTTGAATGGGGTCCTTCAATTGAACTTCTTGATTAGAATGCTTTAAGAAATGTCTAAAAGTAGGAGGATCGTAAAACCAGATATGTAAGGAGATTAAGATGATCATCAATTATATATTCATTTATTTTTAATATAAAATAATAAAACTGATGGAAGAGGGAAATCAAAAACAAAATCTATCCTTTTAAATAGCCTAATTGGAAGAGGAGTACAATAATTACATAGAGTAAAATGCCTTTTAATTGTAGCTCTTCTGAGGTTGTAATGGAATATTATAAAAATCAGTAAACAAGTGGATTGGATAAGCATTTTCTCAAAATCGAAGAATGGCTGGATTAGGATGTTGTAATATACTTAATTAATAAAATTTAGAAAGGCAAATAAAATCTCCCATTGGTCATTGAGGCAGAAGATGGTGTAGGCAAAAAAACATTGCTTGTTAAGTGGATTGGATACCATAATGCAAACAAAAAAGGAAGGTACTAGGACATAATTATTCCTCATTTTGCTATGGTTGGAGGGAACAACAGTAATTATTTCTATGCCATATACCGAATATTGGTTAAATTGAGGGAATTGTTAAACATAGGACAAAAGGTGGAGTTGTTGGAAGAGAAACTTCGTAAATACTTTGCATATTGGTTGGACATCTGCAATTCTCATATTGAAAATTAAATTCTCAAAGAAGCTAAAACTCTTTACAATAGAATCATCCTCATCTTTGAGGGTGTTAATCATTTTATTGATTAAGGCAATGGCATTTCCAAAGAAGCTAATGTTTCTTTTTGGTTGCCTTAATTTTTTCCTCCGAGAATCAAAGTTATTTTGACTGCATCCAAAAACTCAGGGGCCATGCAATATCTTTAGAAAATCAATTCACAAGTCATTTCAATCAAAGTTGAACCTAAAATCATTGAGAAAATGATAGAAACACATAAAAAGAGAAAAACATTCCTTGTAATAATGTTAAATTAATATTAGTCTGATTAACTTAAGGATAAATTATTAAATATACTAACTCAAACTAAATGTGAGATGAGTTCAATATTTTGTAAAACATTTTTGTCTCTATTGATTCCTTACCCAAGTGTTGGAATCATTGGAGAAAATGATGTTAGGCCAGATGTAATTGAATCACTAGTTTCCTAAATTGATATGTCAAAATTGCAAGAAGTGTCCTGTTTAGATGATTTAGTTAATTTTATCCTGGATCATTATCAAGCAAAGATGTTCAAAGATTAGGAAAAATTTATCAAGATGCTAATATGCTTTACCGTAACCTAAAAGGGATTGATGATTTAAGAGGCATTGACGATTTGTCAATTAAATGAGAACGATTGGAAGACATTCTTAGTATTCTTTAAAGTGTATCTTATGCATTATAAGGAGTATTGGATTATAACTAACGATATTTTTAAGAGTATCATCTAATAAAGATACCTAAAAGACAATTCTTCACTTCCAAAATTACATGAAGAAATTGCTGATCACTTAAATAAATCAACTAATTCCATAAGAAAATTAGAAGAGTAAACATTTCATTTATTCATGGCTAAAACATATTTTAAATTAAAGGAAATAGTTTCAGCTATTGAAAATTTTCTATTACTATTTAATCCCAACAATAAGTACGATCTATGTCGATATTGGTAAAAATTAGAGGAACAAGGATTTGATCCAGTGATTGAATATAATAAAGCTATAGAAGGCTTTTCAATGCAATACCATCCTAGTAGTGAAGACATCTTTAGAATCATTGTGTAAGTGTCAAGATTCTTAAAAGAGTTTTGTGATTTTGAAACCTATCACACTCCTAGTTTTAGACATCCCCCTATATAAGGTATTGAAGATGAATTGGATGATATTGGATTATTAAATGAACTATATAGGATGAATCTATGTTACATCATCGATGCCAATCCTAAAAAAATTGGAAAGAATGATGAAAATTATAAATCACCATAAGAGAGGATTAATGAAAAGATTGAAAAACTTAAATCTAAATTAGTATTACAAAAAGATTAAAAATAAACTAAGAAACCTGGCAAAGAAGAAGATATAAAGAAAACACAAACTACTATTAGTCTATTAGAGAAAAAGAAGAAACCAGAAATCTTGACTAAACTAGAAAAATTGAATGTAGATATTCCCTATAATAGAGAATAAGTTAAAAAGTTCTTTGAAGAAAAAATAGGAATCAGTAGTGCTTAAGAAGATAAATTAAGAGAAAAGGAATCAGAGGAAGCTAAAATCTATTAAAAATTAGAAAATGGATAGATTTCAATGAGAGATCTGGACATTAATCTAAGTAAGGATGAAGATGTTCAATTGAAAAAACCTGGTTAATTAAAATTAACACACAATTAGATTTAAATTAAGAAATTAGAGGAGCAATCCTTAGTTAGTGAAAGGAAACCCACTGATTATTATTATAAGAGATGGATTTGGATTCAATTCCCTTGGGTTTGCTTGTCTGTTCATAGTGATTACTCTGCAAAAATGAAATAATGTTTTGCCAAAGCCACTGAGTATATGAGTGTTTAGGAAGAAAAGGCATTTACAAAATAAGCATTAAAGATAGCTATTGAAGCTAAATTAAAGAAGAAAATGATGTATCAAAAATAGGAGGATGTCAATTCAACTATATTTGTAGATAAAGAATTGTCTGTTATTCCTGTTAAATAAGATTAGAATACATCAATATTGACATTAATGAGATAATAATAAAATGAATTACAAGGTGTAAAAGGATTTAGAAAGGAGAAATCATTGGCTGAAAATACTTTAAACAATTTAAATTATAAATCTAACTATAAGGAAGTAAAAACCACAAAAATGCATACTACTAGTTTGCAATTCTTCATTACAGAGGATCAAATGAGCCTATCTCAAATTCATAAAGAAATTGAAGAATAGAAAAAATAATAGCAACAAAATCAAGTTGATAAAAAATAAACAACTCTACCTGCAATAAATAAAACTTCAGAAGTCTCTTTAAATACTACAATGAGGATCATTGACAAATCTAAAATGTAAAAGGAAAAGTACAAATAGTTCAATCCAGAAACCGTAAATAAATCATCTTAATCTATTTTACCGAGGTTAAAGAGTGAAATTGCACTCCATAATGGCAAAGAGCTCTATATAATGTTATAATAAGCAAAAGATTTGAAGAGAGAACTTGATAATATTGTTTATTAAAAGTAATCTAATTAAACTTAATTTTAGTCAAGCAGCTACAAAGAAATTAGCTAGTTTAAGAACATTATAGCACAATGAGGGTTTTGGAACAGATGTAGATACTGTTTCCTAGATTCAAGATAAAGTAAGTTTATTGATTTATACTTTTTCAGATTGAAAACCTCAAAAAATTAAGGGAGGAGGCTGAACACGACTACTTATTGAGTATGGTATAAGATAGTAGATTAAGAATTATTATTAAAATAAGTGGTGACAATAGATCCTATAATGAAGAATGGATCAGAGATTTGAATTATTTGTAATGTAATCTAAATAAACTGATTAAATATGAGAAATAAGATATCAGTAAGATGGAGGCTGAAATCAAATAATTACACACAATACATATTTAGTATGTGGATGCATTTAATAACAATATGAATTATTCGAAATAAATGATCGATTAAATTAATAGAACTGTGAGACAGAAAGAAGACTTTGATCATTACTTTTAATAATCAGATTCGATCATTCAATAGCAATCCACTTAAAAAATGCAAAAACTCTAATAACAGTATGCCTAAAATGAAGATAAAGAATAGTAAAGATTGAAAAGAATTCAACTTGAGAAAAACAGCAGGGCAATTTCTGATAAGCTTGAAGTTCTTAGATAAACTATGGCCCATGTTAGTCAATATATAGAAGTAATGAAATGATTGTTAAATATTTCAAGGTTGAAAATCCAGATTATGCCAAAGAAGAAAGTTTTGTTGTATTTTTAAATTAGTTGGAAATTAAAACATCTCTCGAAGCAAAAATATCATTTTAAGAAGATTTACTAAGTGATTTACATCTTAAATTACATAAATAAAAGGTGTATCTAGATGTAAATTATATATTTATACAACAAGACCTTTAAGAACGCTAATTCAAATGACAACAAGAAAGAACGTGTGAAAACAATTTAATTTATACAAGGGAAAGTGTAAGATAATGAAACTATACAAATGTTGATTGACAAGAGAGAATAATAATTGAAATTGAATTAAGAGAAGGAAAAACAAAAAAATAAATTACAATTGGCATTACTAGATTATAATGTAATTAAGATTTCTGAAATTTTAGATTAGCATTAAAAATATAAGATCAAAGTTGCAGACTTGTAAGTTTAAGCCTACCTCTGAACAAGGGACTGTCTCTAAAATAAATTTAATAACTGATGTATCTATTCTAATTATTATTTTAAGATATATGAAGATTTAACGAAAAGATAAAATTTCATTAAAGAGAAACTTGGAGAAGACTTGTTTTAATAATTCTTAAATAAGAAACTTGACTTTAATAAAGTGTACAAAGCAGCATTTAAATATCATTAAGATCCAACTTTAACACAGATGGAACCCTATTGATGTTTTAATAAAATAGTCTATATATTTGATTAGATATATCGTAAATATATTTCCAAATTAAAAAGAATCAATTACCATCAATCCTTAGTCAAATGAATACTTAATAAGTTCATTTAGAGGTCTATTCTAAGCATTTCTACATAATTCAACATTGAATTACATGAATTTCACCTTGAGTAATTTTATTCAATAATCTGTAATTAATATCGTTTCAATTGAAATAATGCAAAGACTCTTTTTATAAGGCTGGCTTAAATAACAATATTGTTAAGTAGTTGAGAAAGAAAGAAAACAAATAATATACTTGAAATTCTTAATCAAAAATTTGATTTCAATTTTTACAAAGAAATTGGATATTCAATTGCAGCAATCTACACAAGGATTTTGAATACTTATTTATTGTGGAATATTATATGATAATATTTATTTATTGGTGATAGTAATCATCCATTATTAAATAAATATTTAATTTCTTGCTAAATCAAGGTTATAGAGTCAGAAAATATAGGATATATTTGTGAAGAAATATCGGAAATATATATATTTTAAATAGGTAATCAAACGATGAGCTCATATCCTCTGATAGTTCTACATTTTTTATTTGATTTTTTTTACTTAAGTTGATGTAATTGTTAGTAAATTTTGTTTAATGAGTTATTAGAAACAACATTATGAATAATTAATAAATATATTATTGATGCTAATGTTTGAATGCATGGATTTGACTTAATTGAATCTCTTTAGACTAGCTTTTTATTAATTTTCATAAGAAAAATGGACTGATTTATAGATCTGAACATCAATAAATATAAGATTCTTAATTCTATTACTATTACAGTTATAAAAATCTTAGAAGATTCCCGTGAGTAGAATTGATGAATACTGATATTTACTTGACACTTGTTAAGTAAATTGTATTGATTTTATAAAAGTATTTGGAATTATAGAATGATTAAGATATTCCATATGCGAATAATTTTAATTTAAGAAAAAATCACTAAAATCAATACTTAATAATAATTCTTATGAAATAATTATTAACTGCAGCAATAGTAACATTATTAATGACAGCTGGCTATTATCATCTTTCAGATGACAATAAAAATGATTTCGAGAGATGGGCAATGATAAATAACAAATTTTACACAGAAAGAGAAAAATTGTACAGAATGGAAATATTTAATTCAAACAAAAGAATGATCGAAGAACACAATTAAAGAGAAGACGTCACTTACTAAATGGGTGAAAATTAATTTATGACACTCACTCATGAAGAATTTGTGGATCTTTATTTATAAAAGAGTGATTCTTATGTAGATATTATGGGAGTATCTTTACCAGAAGTTCAACTTGAAGGATTGGGTGCAGTTGATTGGAGAAATCAAACTACAGTCAAAGAGTAAGGTTAATGTGCTTCTGGATGGGCCTTTTCTGTCAGTAACTCATTAGAAGCATGGTATTCCATCAGAGGATTTTAAAAGATAAATGCATCAACATAATAACTTGTTGATTGTGATTATAACAATACTGGATGCAGTGGAGGTTATAATGCCTATGCTATGGAATATGTTCTAAGAAATGGATTAGTAAGCAGCACAAATTATCCATATGTTGCCAAAAATTAAACTTGCAAATAATCAAGAAATGGTACTTATTTCATTAATGGCTACTCATTTGTTGGAGGATCTTAATCTAATTTATAATACTACCTCAATAACTATCCAATTTCAGTAGGAGTTGAAGCTAGCAATTGGTAATTTTATAAATCAGGATTATTCTCAAATTGTACATCCAATGGAACCAATCATTATGCTTTGGCAGTTGGTTTTGATTCAGCTAACAATTGGATTGTCTAAAATTCATGGGGAACTCAATGGGGTGAAAGTGGAGTTATCAGATTGTATCCTTAAAACACATGCGGAATCTTAAATTATCCTTACCAAGTTTATTGAGGATATTTTATACATATAAAAAATAAGTATAGATTTAATATATCCTAAATATATATATATCTGTATATTCAGATTTTTGTAACAAATTAAATGTTTTCATTATAGTCTGCTTTGGGTGTTTTTAAGGCTGATCTACCCATAAAGGTGGTCTCAGGTAATTTATTGTTTGTAGTTTCATTTTATTAGATTTGAATAGTAGGAATTACCACTTAGTTTTTGCGTTGTTATACTCTTCTTATGCACAACAGAGTGATAAGAATGATAAAGACTAGTGGGACGACAATGGACAGAATAATAATTAAGGATTATTCTTAGTCTTAATCATTGTCATCAAAAGGTTCAGAATCTTTTGAAATAATGACTTTTCCATTGTTGTTTTTGTCTTAATTTACGCTTTCATTCTCATTAATAGATATGATATCAAGATCTTAAAAGGATGTATCAGAATTATTAGTGTTGTTTTAAACGATTGGATTAGATATTGTGGTATCTAGTACTAAAAGGTTATAAATAATACTTACATTCAGTTGGTTCAGAACTTGGAAGGTTGATGTCAGTTAGAATATATGATTCATAAGATTAGGAAAGAATTTCATATATTCCAAGATCAGGATCTGCAGTGAATTGAGATAACTTATCAACATATTTAGATAATCTCTCTTCGGATCCATAAGCTTCTGGTGTACCTGGTTAAGCATCGTCAATAATAGCCCATTCAAATGTGATTTCGACTAGATCTGATTCTCCTAGTCTTCTCCTACTTTCATCTATGTTATTAGAACAAACTGTTGATTAAGTATCAATTTAGTAAAATCGTTTCATTGTTAACAAAAAATGAATACAATTTAATTTGGGATTAGCTAAAAATTTCTATTTAATAGCAATATAATTGAACAATTTCACTTCTACATAACAATCTGGTTATTAAGTCAATGTAAATTCAAGTTTATTTTTTGTAAATGAATAGTTGTATGATCCGCATGAATCGAGTAAACTAGGTGAAATGATAATCCCATTTTTAAATAGTTTAGGCATCAATTTGATATCAAATTTTATTGAAATGATTACCTAATCCTATACATCAACCTCAGAATTTTAGGATAACCAAAATTTTGAAGATGTAGGTTATAATCCAGTTGTATTCAACATGATTTTAGAATTAGCAGATACTAAACCTATGAATTTGGATTGCCTTGTGAACTAAGGTCTACTCTCAATCCAGTTCCATTCATAACAACTATTTAAAATATTCTTGTTCGTTCCATCAGATAAAATTACAGGAGAATATAAACGAGTATTTTGTTCTGGAGCAGTACTCATAAAATATAATACTTAGATGTTTCTACCTGGACACCAATAACCATTCCACTATTCAATTCTCTTGCAATATTTGGCATACTATCCAAATTCTGTATTATTCGATATACCTTATCCTATTTCTCCAAAGAAGTCTCCTGTTAAATCTTCTATTAATATATTCTTTTATCCTGTGCATTCCATAGAACCACATCCACCATATAATCCAATCTTATTAAAATCTGAATCTCTTAATCTATATAACAAAGATTCAAATTCACAATCTGTACATAGTGTATTTTTTAAATAATGTCTGCCTGTCATATCAATGGCTTGAGGATGTTGTCTGAACACTGCATTTTCAACACAATTCGGAACTTAATTGTTGTTAACTTTAAATTAATTGAATTCTAAATTATTAACCAAAACTCTTAAATCAATTACTTGTTTAGTATTTATCCAATCAAATTGATCTGACTATAAATTATCTACAGTAGGTAGGAATGATTAAGATGACATAGTTGCCAATTGCATACCGAGAGTGGAAGAGCAATAGTTTACATCAATATTCTCATAACATGTAATACAAGTAGGACGAGCAATAGCAGTGATATAACCATCACTTATTTTTATTACGTTATTCATTTCATTTATTGATGATCCCTTCAATATTATGTTAATCTTATTCTCAGCAGTTATAAACTTCTTTATTTCTAACTATCTAGAATTTACAGAAAACATTATCCCAATTTTACTATGATAAGCATAAAGATCTGATATGGCATCACAAGCACTATTTCTCTGGACAACAGCAAAACACGCATTCTATGCTGAAGAACAAACATTATTATAAATATTTGCTTGATCGATTTAATTGCACTAAGTAGAAACTATATAGAATCCTGTGTCTTCTGATCCTTGTCCAATATTCTCCGTTATATCTAAATTACTTCTCAGAATATTCAGATTGCTCTTAGAAAATATAAAGTTGGCCAAAACTGCCCAATTACTTGGACCTGCTTTCTTCACATGAATCAATATATTATTCTTAAATATTAAATACTTTTAATCCACTATTTCTACCAATGCTTTTATTCCTGAATAAAATACATTACCTAACACTGAAATCTTGTTACTATTGGATATCCTCAAAAATTTCCCTTAGCCTTCATGAAAACTACAACCAACGATACTGCTAGTTTAGGATGCTTAAGTGAATACATTCTCAATTGTTAAGCCTGCTTTCTCTAATTAACCAAAATTTACTAACTCTACTCCTTATAATTATATCTATCCGATATAAATGTCATTCTCTATTAAACCATGAACTATTTATATGGTTCCTCCCTATCTTAAATCAGGATTCTAAATTTTTATTTTTCTGCTTAAATGAACAACCAAAGTTCTCATATCCAACTAACCTATATTATTTTTCATTATTGTAATTGATCTATCTCCATAATAGTCATATCTCAATGGAGAATCTAAANATATTTGGCATACTATCCAAATTCTGTATTATTCGATATACCTTATCCTATTTCTCCAAAGAAGTCTCCTGTTAAATCTTCTATTAATATATTCTTTTATCCTGTGCATTCCATAGAACCACATCCACCATATAATCCAATCTTATTAAAATCTGAATCTCTTAATCTATATAACAAAGATTCAAATTCACAATCTGTACATAGTGTATTTTTTAAATAATGTCTGCCTGTCATATCAATGGCTTGAGGATGTTGTCTGAACACTGCATTTTCAACACAATTCGGAACTTAATTGTTGTTAACTTTAAATTAATTGAATTCTAAATTATTAACCAAAACTCTTAAATCAATTACTTGTTTAGTATTTATCCAATCAAATTGATCTGACTATAAATTATCTACAGTAGGTAGGAATGATTAAGATGACATAGTTGCCAATTGCATACCGAGAGTGGAAGAGCAATAGTTTACATCAATATTCTCATAACATGTAATACAAGTAGGACGAGCAATAGCAGTGATATAACCATCACTTATTTTTATTACGTTATTCATTTCATTTATTGATGATCCCTTCAATATTATGTTAATCTTATTCTCAGCAGTTATAAACTTCTTTATTTCTAACTATCTAGAATTTACAGAAAACATTATCCCAATTTTACTATGATAAGCATAAAGATCTGATATGGCATCACAAGCACTATTTCTCTGGACAACAGCAAAACACGCATTCTATGCTGAAGAACAAACATTATTATAAATATTTGCTTGATCGATTTAATTGCACTAAGTAGAAACTATATAGAATCCTGTGTCTTCTGATCCTTGTCCAATATTCTCCGTTATATCTAAATTACTTCTCAGAATATTCAGATTGCTCTTAGAAAATATAAAGTTGGCCAAAACTGCCCAATTACTTGGACCTGCTTTCTTCACATGAATCAATATATTATTCTTAAATATTAAATACTTTTAATCCACTATTTCTACCAATGCTTTTATTCCTGAATAAAATACATTACCTAACACTGAAATCTTGTTACTATTGGATATCCTCAAAAATTTCCCTTAGCCTTCATGAAAACTACAACCAACGATACTGCTAGTTTAGGATGCTTAAGTGAATACATTCTCAATTGTTAAGCCTGCTTTCTCTAATTAACCAAAATTTACTAACTCTACTCCTTATAATTATATCTATCCGATATAAATGTCATTCTCTATTAAACCATGAACTATTTATATGGTTCCTCCCTATCTTAAATCAGGATTCTAAATTTTTATTTTTCTGCTTAAATGAACAACCAAAGTTCTCATATCCAACTAACCTATATTATTTTTCATTATTGTAATTGATCTATCTCCATAATAGTCATATCTCAATGGAGAATCTAAAGTTAAAACACAACCCTATTTATTTATAATCTCCTTTTCTTCATTATAATTCCATCTAGTTCCTGAGGGTCCCAGTGCTATTTTATCTCCTATTTACCAATCTTAGCATTCCTATACTTCAATGTTATTAGAACCAGCTAAAGAACTTATGACTAGTCTAGTCTAAAATGTTAATGGAATTTTGGAGTATAATTCAAATTTATTAAACACTTAAATATTAAGGGATTTGATAGTTATTCTGCCTTCAAATGGATGCTCTTTATTTCCAGCAATAATTTAACCTTAACTAATAATAATTGAACTGCTTTATAGAACTGACTCTTGTCTTTTCTCATCAAATATCAATTAGCCTTCAATCGTCAATTCATCCAACTCTGGTGGATCTATATCTAAAATTATCTAATAGCCTTTTTTAATCGTAACCTTGTCACCAAGCTTTGGAATTTGATTTGGTTTCCATGCTAAAGGAGAAGACCAATTATAAATAGTATTATCATTATTGTTATTATCTGTATTAGTATTATCGGTATTACCGGTATTATTATTATTACCAGTATTAGTATTATTATTATCTGTATTACTATTATTATTATTTGTATTATCAGTGTTGTTATTATTATTATTATTATTATTATCAGTATTAGAATTGTCAGTATTTGTATTACCATTATTGCCATTATCAGTATTTGTATTACCAGTATTTGTATTATCAGTATTTGTATTATCAGTATTGCCATTATCTGTATTGCCATTATCAGTATTTCCATTGTCAGTATTACCATTATCAGTATTTCCATTGTCAGTATTTCCATTGTCAGTATTTCCATTGTCAGTATTGCCATTGTCAGTATTGCCATTATCTGTATTTCCATTATTATTAGTATTATCATTATTATTATTGGTGTTATCAGTATTTCCAGTATCAGTATTGTTGTCTGTATTATTATCATTAGTACCACCAGTATTATTACTATCTTAACCTCCAGTAGATCCATTATTATCATTGTTTTAGAGTAATAGTATATTGGGACATTAGATATCATCATTTGCAAAATTACATTAATCTTTATTTATACATATCAATCCTTTGATTTTTATTGGGTATCTACCCTATTATTATTGGCCAGAAATGCAAACATATAAAGATTTAGTAATTTAATCATTATACCAATCACCAATTTAACAGTTTTATTAATTAGGAATTTCCAGCAAAGATTGAAATTCCTTATCTCTAAATCTGTAGACTTAGAAATTCTAATTACTTAATGAATACTAAATCTTGATTATCACAGGATTCTATAAATTAGTCAAAGTAGAAGAACTAATTATACTTAAATCAATAGCATCAGCATTAGGAAAGTTGAATTATGTCTCAAATACATCAGTTTCTGTTCTTATAATCAAATTTAAATCATTAAATGTATTTTACCAGACAGAAAATAGTTTAAGAATAGTTGCTTCAGTATATTAATCTTATTGTTATTGAGCATCTAATAAAATGTTGATTTGAATTCCATGACCCACAACAGAATGTACCACATTGTTTTGGATATTCTTTACATCCCACCCTAAAGATTGTGTCATCAAATAATTTTAATTATTGATTCTATTAACAAAGATATTAAATCCAATATAATCGCTTGAAATTGCTCTATTATTAATGATAGTATTTTGTGGATTTGATATGTAAAACGCTGAGGATTATCTGTCAATATCCTACAATTAGTTTGAATATGTCTAAAAATTGAAGAAAGAACAAGAGTTGTCAACATATTAGTTTGATTTTACACTAATAACTAGATTAGATTCAATTCTATTATGAATATCTGCCACACTAGCTAAATGAATAGCATTTCCAATGATGTTAAAGCAGACATTATTTATTACCCTTAGATATTTTACATTATTTAATACTATGCACCTGGAATAACTGTCATGAATGGAATTACCTTCAATAAGTGATTAATCCATCTGTTCATTATTATAAAAGTGAATTGGATATCTACCAACAAGATTAGTCTATCCTCCATTTACGATTTCAACATTTGATATTTTGACTATGGTTCCTTCATTTTATCTTCCATTTATATGAATATGAACACCATAATTGTTTATACCTTGTGATTCTGTCTGAATTAAAATGTTTCTTGTCAATAAACCAACTTCAGTTTACGATGATAATTCTGATGTATGTGTATAACTGAGTGGTTTATCTAATGTAATACTTTTTTTATCAGAACTAACAGCTTTGATAATTCTAATTTCATTCTCCTCAATATTATTACTATTAGTGGCAATTACAACAGATTCCCCCACATTCCAATCTACAGATTAGCTCAATTTAATAATGCTATCACCCTTTAAGACTTTTGAATCTAAGAGACTCCAAGTGAGAGTTCTTTATTTACCGAACATTTGAATTTAACACTTTACGCATCCTATAACTTTGTTACCAATTAAAGGGAATTAAAAATCGGTCTCTCGTCCACGTAACATAATGATAGCTTAATGCTAATAGGGTTAATCTTAAGACCCAATCATTAAAGAACCTTCTCTTATTATGATTGAATTGGCGATCAACTTGGTGTCTTGTTCATCAGCAAATATCAATGTTCCTTCAATAATAAGCCTTTCAAGTTGTTTTGAATTGACATCTAATAATACTTTTTAATAATTTTTAATTAGGACTGAATCTTCATCCTTTGGAACTGAATATTCCCATGTTGAATTATCTGACCACTTTTAAATATACAAAAATTGTTATATAAGAAGAGCTTAAGCTTTTGACACTTAGACAACAAATCCGCTGTTATCTGTCAACAAAGTTTTAATTCCAGTTTTACAAGTAATTTATGTAGCAGTAACACTCAATATAAGACATTGGACATTATCTATGGTTACAATAGTCTAATCTGGAATGAAGCCACTTCCCTTGATAGTTATTACAGTTTCAATATTTACAGGTCCATATTTAGGTACTACTGATTCTACTATTGGTTGATTTTTAAATGAGTATGTATTTGTATTTGACAAACTAGGCAATTTAATACCATTCACATTTATATCAAGTTGGCAAGTGGAAAGAATTTCCTCATTGTAGTATATCCATCCATATAATTCAATTTCAGAAAAGGAACATTAAGAGCCTTAAATGCCTTGTTCATCTATGAATTTAATTGAATTAATCTTATCGATTGCCATTTAAAGTACCAAAGTATTCCAACCTTGATTGATATATTTTAATTATTCTAATAATATCCAGTTCTAACCATCAATGGTATATTAAATTTTCATTGTTGTTAGTTTGTTTTAATCAAATCCTAATTTTGGTTAAAATCTTAATTTTTTAAGTTTCAGCTGGCCATATTATGATTTCAGATTAAATTATATATAGCAGGAGACTTATGAATCAGATGAATACTCTGTTGATATAATTTCATCATATACATTCTATACTAATTCCATTTTATCTCCTGATATAATCAAGTCTTTAATAGGAATCTTCGAATATGGTGTAGATTATATTAATTATGATGGTAATAACATGGGAGCTAATACATCTAAATTATTGAAACTAGATGACAGGACTTTGCAGGTCAAATCACAAAATTTGACTAGATGTGATAAAGAGTTAGAAGAAAACCCTCCACCGCTTATATTGATAATGATTCCCCCTATAGTAGAAGATAAAGGATTATTTAATATTGGTGCTTAAGGTTAATCCAAAATCAAATTTTCATAACCTCCGTCTGAAAAAGAGGCATAATAATTATTTACTTTTATTTCTATCTAATAAATTCCAATTGGAACATTAGAGAATTCCAACTCCAATAAAGTTGAAGTTGTGGTATTCTTTTATGTTGTGATTATTTCTGTTTCGCTTATTAGTCGTACTGATAAATCAGTTCCAGAGAGATTTACTCCTTAAATTTTCAATTGAAAAGTTCCAGAAATATGAATAATTGCATTTCGGTTAGTATCTAATTTATTTTCGCTATCAATTTAAATTGAAGTTACTTAAGGAGACAAAGGATAGTCTTTAACATTAATCGCCATGGTTCTAGTTAACACCGTATCTTAGTTTTCTTGATCAATCTGATTTAATGTAAGTGTGTATTAACCAGCTGTAAATCTAGCTTTAAAATAGCATTATATATCTGTAGAATTAATTACTTTTATTTCAGCACATCCCTTGTCTTATACTAAAATATTTTTAATGTAAATTTCATTGAATCCCCATCCTTTAATTAAGATCACACTTCCACCAGAAGATGTATCACTTACAGATGTGATTCCCAATCCAAATCTCGTATACCAATATAAATACGTGGTAGAAAAAGACAAAAGAGGTACGGTTAAATGCAACCCTTAAGTCAACTGTGGAACTGTAACAATAGTGATTTAACTAGCTGCTTAAGTAATCAGAGAGTATTTAATTTGGCCTTTTTAGCTGAAAGACAGTTTTATAGCCATAAATTTAGTATATAAATCCGAAGCAGTAGCAGATAATTCGAATAACATTTATACAGCTTACCCTGGAGTATACTCCATTATTATTTTATCCCAAATTATATCATATGATTATAGAGCGTCAATATATTGAGACTATTTGTAAAATAGCAAAGGATGGGAATTTTACTTCTTAGCCTCTTCAGACCATAGCATTAGGTACTTTGGTTTATATTTAATATAGTTAATTGTACTATCGAGAATTTTAACTCTAATAAAATCTGGGAATTATTGGTACTCATATTTGCAGGCTACACAAGTTGTAACATGCTTAAAGTTCTAGATGAGACGAAATACTCCAGATTTTACATCCAATATTTAGGGTGGACTTGTACAAGTTAGATTGGTGTCATTTCTATATGTTATATCGCAAATCTAAGGGTTTACAGAATTAAAAGAGATAATACTTGGTCCATTCAGAAAGTTTGATCCTGACACCTTTACTTGATTACTACCAAATGATTTAATTTTAATTGTGGATGAATTAGGAGTTAAGTGAGTTAATGAAATGTCAACTGTAATTTCTGATGATATTTATCCATATTATTTCCTATAAATCAATAATTGAGTTTTAGCTATTTCTAATGTCACGTTGACTTGTACCTTTAGTAACTTGTCTTGTACTTCAATTACTTAAATTTCCTTATTCTGAATGAATGCCTTAACATCCTGGAGGACTGTTCCAAAATTAGTTCCTGTAACTTGTAAAGTATCCTTGAAAAATGGTGATATTAAAATGGAACTCAACTTTGTTATGGATAGTTTATATGCCAAATTATAAGTAAATGATGAGTCGCTGTAAGAATTACCATTGAAATCAATTTTTATAGTTCCATCAGTTCCTGGTGGATGCACAAATACAATCTTCTTATTACTTACAATCAAAGGACTAATTTAAGTGCTTCCCATTTTCAATACAAATTTTCTTGAAAAATCTTTTGGAAATCCAAGCCCTTCCAAAGTGATTTAAGCCCCTCCATCAGGAGATGCAGAGGTAGGACTAATTGAGTTGAATTCTAACGATGTTAAAGCAGCAATCACACTTGGATCTCTTCTTATGAATCCGTAAAGTTTGTTCAAAATAATAGGATATTAGTTTGTACCAGCCTCTGCTACTACTTAAGCATTTTAGGTCTCAAGTGTACAAAGTAATTTAAATAAATCTACTTCATTTGATACAATTTTAATATCTTCGCAAATAGCTCCTCTAAACTCAATAGTAAAATCAGTAGCTACCAAAGTGAACTAAGCATCTGACTGAATAGAAAAGCTCAGACTCATAATTTCATTACTTACGCTATAAGATTACAAAACAAATAAATTTGTCTACTAAAAATTAAAATCACAAGCACCCTCAGATAGACAAGCTCCTTGTCCTTCAGATGTAGAAACTTAAACTTAGGGTTTCGTACCATAAGTGAATAATTTAAGTGTTGGTATTGGTTCATACAACTGAGAATTACAAGATTTTATGTTTTTGACTTCCAAATTAACTATCCCATTTCCAGATTATAAATTATTCTAAGATAATTGAAAATTTTAAATAGTATTTGCACAAGAACTGAAGAGTATATTCCAAATCTATCCATCCTTGGGTCTTCCCTCAGTCCAGACTATTGGTCTTTCACCTATTAGTCTATAGAAATTGTCAGCCAAAATACTTGGGTCAACATCATAGGGTAATCCTTAATTATTATTTTCATCTACAAATATTTAAGTTTTAGATTTAATTAACAATGATAATTTGAATGTTCCAGATATAGGATCTAAAGGTTCTTGAGTGGTTTGAGCATTGAAACTAAATTATTCCTGAGATGAGATTAATTCAGGGAGAGAGCGATCCCCTTTCTATCCTCTATGAGAGAGGAATGTTATTATGTATTAATTGCCTGCATAAGTTTCTGAAGCATCATCCAATACCAATCCCGAGTTATCTAACTTATTTATTTTTACTTATGTTAAATAATTACAACAATCTAATAGAGACTATTAAATTTAAACACTATTATAGTTTAGAGTTATATCTTCAGTAATTAAGGATAGCTGGTTAGAGTTTGTAAATTTTAATTTAAAAGAATCCAACAATAATACATTTTCTTAGGAATTATAGATGTCAATCTAAATGATTTCATTTTTAGGAGTATAAGATGTTTTCACTTAAAACAACTGACTTTATTTTGTATTTGGGGCTGAAACCTCATTAATTTTTGCATTCATAGAAAGAGTGACAAACCCTTTGCCAACTGTGTTAACATGAAAGATCTCTATATAATAATACTAGTTCTCAACTAAATTGACTGTTTATGATATTGAATCGACAGCTTTTGAGGTATCCCATAATTATTCTCCCCAATAGTTCCTATATTAAGTAGATTACTAAGATGAAGCAGCTGGAGACTCAGCACGTATTGGTTTGAGTGTTTCAGTTGTTTAGATGTAGAAAGTAGCACAGTCATCAGCAGCCAATAAAAATGAATATTCTCCAGATTATGTTGCTTTGAAAAATCCTCTAAAATACTATCCATATTGAGACTCAACTTCGTCAATATAATCAGGTTATGAATATACACCATTTTAAATTATTCTAGTCTTTAATTCTTAAGAATCTGAAATAATGTCATTTCTGAAAACATCACAATTAGCATATTTATTTGTTAATCCTCTCAAATCATATTTAGTATGAAGCAATCCAGTTCCAGAGATGAAAACTGAGCCACCACCATTCAATGAATCTAACAATATTTGATCTGTTATTTTTGGTATTTAGACCTAAAATTATTTACTTTATTTACTTTTAATTAATTTATGGATGCTTCTAACACTGTTATGGAAACATCTGTTCCTGAAACCTTAACAATATTATCAGTCAAGCCACTCTTGAATCCTTACCCATTTATGAGTAATATGAATGAGTCATTTATTTCGTTGGACCATTACACTGAAGATATTATAGGAAGCATTCTTATTATAAAACATAATTTTTACTTAAAACTTTTTTAAGATAATATGTTCCCTCTTTTAGTACTCACATTTACTTGATAGGTTGATGAAATCAAGTCTTCTGCCAATTTACAGGATATTACATCTTCACCCTTCTACATCTTGGTATTCAATATTCGATATTGATTTTTAACACAATATTTCTGTCCAATAAGAATGTTCTCAATCTCATTTTGCTCTTCGCCTAACACTATCCACTCTCCTTTGGAAGACAAGACAGAGTTTGCAAATCCTATGGATGGGATTAAGTAATGTAGATATGGAGATTTTTCTTATTTATATGAAAAAAGGCATTGATTTGCCTAGGAAGTACATACTGATTTCTTATTATCAGATGTCTCAACAGTCACAAGAAGATTTTGAAGGGAGATGTCATTTAACAAGGGTGCAGTAGTCTTACATGACACCTCTTACTCTTTAGCATAGGTTTCATCTATGATACAAGGGTATGTGCCTATAAACACTATGTGGTTGGTTACAATTGAATCTAAACCTATAGCCTAAGGATAAAGATGACCTTACTTTCATATATAAGCTCGTTCCTCCCTATGTAGAACCATATAGATTAGAAGTTTCTATAAATTAACTGGTAGACACCCAAAACAAGTTTATGGTCTCAGTCTTTTAATTTTCTTCAGGCAATAATACAAGGGCTACAGATATAGATGAATTATTAACCTCTCAATTGTTCAACACATAGACAAGCCAACAAGTATAACAAAAATGATGAAGATACCATCTATTTCAGAATTAATTAAAATAAGAGTCCTAAATACAATTCTGCTATATAGCACAGAATTGTAAGAAACTCTACCATATGGAGAATGATAAAAAATAGATTAAAGGTATACCCTAAAAAAATAGATCATTTATATTTATAATCATGCTTATTATATATGATTATTAAATAATTAGATTTTTCATATAAATTATCTTGTGAAAACAAACAGTTCTATTTTTTTGTTCTTTTTGATCTTTATTTTTAAATAAAAAAATACAAACTGATCTTAATTTTAACACGAATGCATGATCTATTTTCATCCTTTCATTTTTGTAACAAGACAAAATATATATTATATTAGTTCACATTTGAAGTTGTATCCTTTATTTATGTTGTATTCCAATTCTATATGAAAAAATAAGGAATTCTATGGCAATCTAATACAATTTTAAAATAGAAATTCAATTTAAATTTCTTCTAAAATTGTTATTCTTGCAAAACTTAGTGTAAATTTAACTTACAATTTTAATGCACAATTATTTTTATAGAATTAAATTGATCAAACTAATTCGAACTAACACAAAAGATATTCTATATTTCTGAATTCTAAATGACATTCTAAAATCAAAGATCATTAATTTTATATTTATGATTCGAACAATCTTAACAACAGCAGCAATTTCTCTTCTTTTGCTAACTAATTACTATCAAACACAATCCTAACCACTCACTGAGTTTGAAATTTGGTAATAGAAGCATCAGAAGATGTACATTGGTGAAGAAAGAATCTATAGAGAAGCTGTTTATTAGACTAATAAACAAAAGATTGAAAGTCACAATAAGTAATAGGAAAGAACTTATGATATGGGAGAAAATCAATTTATGACATTGACTTAAGATGAATTTATATCATTATATTTGACTCAAGTGGATGCTCCAGAATTAGAATTTGAAGAAGAAAGAGAACAAGTTTTTGATGGAGCTGAACCACTTAAATTTGTCGACTGGAGTTCCTATAGTACTATTAAGTCCTAAGGACAATGCGGATCAGGTTGGGCTTTCTCTGTCAGTAATTCCATTGAGGCTTGGTATGGCATTAGAGGAGGAAGAAATATCTCAGCCTCAACTCAATAATTGATCGACTGTGACACCTATTCAAAGGGTTGTTACTCAGGAACCAACTATAATGCTATGCACTATGCTTAATAAATAGGACTGATGAATTCTATGAGTTATCCATACGTTGCGTAATAATAAGGATGTAGATACAACAGAGGAGAATTCAGAATCAATACTTATAATTTTGTAGGAAATTAATAGCAAACTTTGTAAAATTATTTATAATATTATCCTGTCTCAGTCGGTGTTGATGCCCTCAATTGGCAATTCTATTCAAATGGTACTTTTGCTGACTGTGGTCAAAATATAAACCATTATGTTTTAGCTGTTGGATTTGATTTTGGATATAATTGGTTAATTTAGAATTCATGGGGTTACGGTTGGGGAGAAAATGGATCCATCAGATTATCACCAGGAAACACCTGCGGTATACTCAATTAAGCATATTAGATTGCTTGAGTATAAATATCATATTATAATAATCACATCATTCTAAACATAAATAGATAGTCCATAAAATCTTAACTTTCTTTGAGAACATTCTAAGCTAATCGAAGCTGAAGTTCTGTAAGATGTACAAATCTAACTTCCAGATATCATATTTCCAGCATATCAATCATCAAATGGCATATCAGTTGAAAAGATCCCTAAGATATTTAACTATTACAATTATTAGTTAATTATATTGCTAAATTATTAAAACAATTATCAAATAATTGTAAAAAATATTGATAATTATAACTAAAATTGACAATAATTGTAATAGGAGATTAGTTAATCCCTTACTTTATATTATGAATGATATACCATTATTATAATTGTATGTATGAAAAATAATGTTAAAATTAATATATTAAGTTCATTTAAAATGGCCAATACAAAAAAGAAATATTTATGAATCAACAAGAAAAATCTAAGTATTAGTTTAATTTATTGATAGTTTACTATATTATAAAATTTATATAATTATATATGTTCATAGTATCTATTTGCTTAACCACAACCTTAGAAAATTTCAATTCATTAATTATTATAATAAGTATATAAAAATTTGAAGATGATATATTATTAATAACTATTCAAATATCAAAAGTATTCAAATCCTTTACTTTATCTAATGGTACGGAATGATCTTTCATGAGTTATATTGTGTTTTTATTTTGGTAATTTAAATAAAGGAAGTGTTGTAAAACTTGGTTTTTTGATAAACTTTTAGAGTTGATAAGTGTCTGCATCTGTTAGATCATCTTCATCATTATTGACTTTCTCTTCTTCCTTTTTCTTCTTTTCTTAAGTGAAAGTTAATTTAACCCCTGGTTTCAAAGGGAAAGCTTCAAAATTATATGGTTCATCATATTGAGTTTTGACTTTGGTGGATACCTTTAATTTAAATAAAGCTTATTAATTAATAATGTTTTCTTCAGCAACAGCTTCTGATTGTTTTTTATCAACTCTTCCTTATAATTTACTTTTGACTGTATTGACTATAGGACTCAATTATTTAACTTATTCTCTCTTCCTCATTATACTGCCATCGGAATCATAAGCTTAATAATCTTTTAATGGTTTTTTAGATAACAACAATTTAACTTAGATTTGTCTTGCTGGATGAATGTATTCGTTATAAGGCAAATTTTAATCTCTGAGTTTAGCATTTTTCTTATCCTTCTTCTTTTTCATTGCTTCTAATCTATATTTATCATCAGATTTGTCTCTATCAACTACAAGGAGGGATGGTTTGGGTTCATAAGTTTCAAAAAGACCATAATTTTTCTTGACTTCCAATTCTTATTAGGATGTACTCTCATTTAATTTGATTGATTATCGTTTCCATAAAACTGATTAGACATGTTGAGTAGTGTGTCTATCAAAAACTGGAGTTTACTTTAGTTTAAATTCTTAAATACTGGTTCATCATCATGAACATAAATCTAATCAGGAACACTATATTCAAGGATGTATAGCTCCAATAGCTATTAACAATGCTCTAAGGCAATCATAAAATAATTAAAGATAATTATAATCAATAATCTAACTAATTATTATATTCTGGTCTAATTTTTAGATACTCTTCGTAATCCTGGGGTTACACTTGTTGAATGTATTCATGCATATCTTCTCTTTTGAGGTTGACATCATTAAGGAATTGTTAATACTCAATCCCATTTGCCATATAAGGATGATAGTAAAACTATTTATCAAACATCAAATAATAAGGATCCTGCTCAACTAGTTATTCTAATTTATTTAAACAATTTTACCATCTTTAGTAATCTCTACAAATTAACTTTTCTTTTTACGTCCTGCACGACTTCTCTCATTTCTTGGCAATCTTTTTCCATTTTCTCCTCTGTGAGCATAGGGGTTAAATTTTTGATGATGACTTCTACATTGACTTGGAGTGCGTGTACCAATTAGTTCACTCATTTATTTAAATATTTTTGATGTTTTCTTCATCATTGACGAATTCATTATGTTTTCATATTGTGATAAGAAATTCACATATGTAGTGTGTTCAATTGCTGACCAATGGCCAGTATTGATGTTCTCTTTTTTTGGCTTTTTTGGTTGATGATGTTTGTTGGACTTTAAAGTCTATTTTGAACCCACAGGAGAACTATTGGTTACAATATCCGATTGCAATTTAGGCAACAAGGTGCCCTATGTAAAATGTACAAGCGAATATTATGGTTAGACTGCTGGTTTCATACTAAAGTGCTAAAGGATATAAAATACAAATCCTCCTTTTGAGGTTCTTCTTGTTATGCTTTAGTTTTAGGAAGCAATTCCTTTTAATCATCCCTTTCATAATAATACTACAAATACTTGTGTTTTTTTGACTTCTTTGCCTTGTTTTATGATTTCTGATCAACAACAATATCATAGTTGATTACTTGTTAAGGGTACTAAAATTAGGGATAAATTGGAAATTCATTGAGATTCTAATTCATAGCATATTCTATCATTTGATTTTTAGGCATGATTTCATTCTCAAATTAATAAGCTGCTTGATAATCAACAGGAATTTAATAGAGAGGATGAATCATGATTGCCGACAATAATTTTTATAAATTATATTGACTTTTTCAGAAATTCTCCTCAGGTATACTAAACTACTGTTACCATAAAGAAATAATAAAAAATTTGATTTCTACTTATAGTAATATTATAAAATCAATATCTTTGAATGGGACTATTTCTTAGTTAGGATTTTAGTGTAGCATCATGGATAGACTTATTGGCTAGTAATTCAGCTGGAACTCCAATTCTACTATTGTATGCAGCTCTGGATACTAAAGTTTCAGGCAAAAGACTCTTGTCTAGTATTGTGTATTTCTCAATCATTTCAGTCAATTCTCTGTTCTTGATTGTCAATTAATTTTGGAGATCAGAGATTTGATCTGAAAGTAGTCCTACTTAAGTGTTGTAAGCACTCTTAAGGTTTTCAAATTAGTAAGCAGCACCTGAATCCATTTTATGTCTTAATTCATCAATTTCTAGATTCTTTTCTTATTCAAAATGATGTAATTTTTCAATCAATTTATCATTTTCATCTTGAATACGTTTTTGGATGAGTTCAGCATTATTTCTTTGGATTGTTAGATTCTCACATTCTTTAATTTTATTGTTATACATATCGAATGTCTTTTGGATTTCATATTTTTAATGATCAATTTATTATTCCAATTATTTCTATTTCTCTCTGTTTTATGTATCTATTTCTTTAATAAGAGTCTTTAAGTCTTAGATTTCTTGAAGTTTTGATTTTTCAGTTTCAAATGCTCTGAGTTTAACAAGTTCTAAATCATTTTATAAATTTCTTAATTTATCTTCAAACTCCAATTTGATTTAAGAATAGTTCTTAAGATTTTGTTAAATTTCTTGGTTTTTGTGATCTAACAAATTCTTTAAATTGATTATTTCTTGATTCAATAATTAAATCTATTTTTGGAGATCAATTTGCATATTTTCATATTAAATGGTTAATCTTTCAATTCTGGCATGTTAATCAGCAATTTCTCTGTTTTTCTCATTTTCTAATAAAATGGCTCTTCTTTTTTGATCTTCAATAGTATTGATCAATCTTTGGATTTCCCCATCATAATAATCCTTTTGTTATTATTTTTCAACAACTAATTTTTGGATATCTGAATTTTTATGATCAATAATTTCCTTAAGTTTTAGAATTTCTTTATGTAAAGCCTACAATTGATTTTCATGTGTTAATTTAAGATTAGTGGTATCATTATTATGAATGTTGTCTAAGTTTGTTTGTATATTATGATTTTCTTATTGATGTAATTATTCATTACTCAAGATCTGTCTTCTTAGCATTTCAATTTCAGTTCTCAAACCAGAAATCTCTAATTCTGATTGTATTTTTTACTTTTGATTCTAATTGATTAGAGTTTCAATTTCTTGAGTCTTGATTTCTAATAAATTCTTTAGTTTGGTAATTTCTGAGCCTTAAACATCTTATTGATTCTCATGTGCAGTTTATTGATTTCTTAAATTGGTTTCTTGATACAATTCCAATTTCTACTTTTGAGCCAATAATTCATTTTGATGATCAATTTGAATTGCAGTCAATCTAGATTTAGTGATATCTATTTCATTCATTAATCTTAATTAAGTATCTTAAGACTCTATTTTCTGTCTCTCAATTTGAGATTACAATTGAGCCACTTGTAATGTTCTATCTTCTAACATATCTCTAAGTTTCTTGAGTTGTGCCTCATACATATCAGCTTGAGTATTATTTGATCGTTTAAATGTTTCTTAGATTTAAGTTGTCTAGTTATCAGCCACATTTCTTTGATCTGAAATTATTCTATTTTTTTCTTGATCCAACGCACTGCTTCTTGCATTGGCTTTTTACACTTCCAAAGTAAGAGCCTTGATCTCAGATTCATAATTCTGTCTTATCTACATGAGAGATCCCATTTGGGCTTCATATTTTTATTTCCACATCTCAGATTCACTTTTTCTTTACAAAGCCACCTTTTGAGCTCTTTCCAATTGGCCTTGGAGAGCATTGTTGGATTCTAAGACTTCGACTACTTTATACTCTAGGTCGCCACTCTTTTGCTAAACTAGACGTTAAAGATCATTATCAGCCTTATATTTGGCCAACTCTCGTTCGAGTTCATGACATTTGATTCGATAATTTTCTGCATCTTCTGACACAATGCTAAAGTTCATCTTATTTTAGACAGGCGAATGGATGTAAGGTGATTGATTATTGAATGGATGTGCCTTTTTTACGGTGCCTGGTTGGGAGAAGTCCTGACTAGCTAGGACTTATGAATATTTAGTTGGTGAAATAGTTCTTGGTTACATACTGAGGTTCATTGACAATTTATTAATAAAAATTATTGACACCCGCATTAGCTTAACGAATACTTTTATAACACATATAAAAATTATGAATATAATTTATTTATCAATAATATTGTTGAACTCCATTTTGTAGTTATGTAGCATAATCACATCAAAAAATTTACAAAAACTAATTAAAATTTCTCCATTCTTCATACGAAGTTAATTGCAGAATAATAATATTTAATAGATGACAGGTATTTCTAAAGTAAATGTTGTTTTATTAATCAATTTGTATTAATATCATTATAATTACAAATATCCACTATCAGATTATGACTTTTTCCAATCCTGAGGATCTTGATACAACATATTTCCTACTCTTATTAACAAAATCGAAAAGAATAGGCAGGAATTCATCTATGTTTAATGTATAATAAAGGTGAGCATGAAATATTCATTAATAAAATTAAAACTTATTTTGATAAAATATATATGATTAATTTGGAAAATTTTGATCAAACAAAATTCAAAAATCCCATCCTTGATAGGTATGATATCTCCAATACAAAAGTCCTCGATCGATTTAGGCTTGTCGATTAATTGGAATCCTACCTCAAGAATTAATTTCGATAAGTTTATAAGAATTAAAACAAAGACGACCAGATTTGAAACTGGACAAGCAAGATTGGTAGAAATTCTGGGAACATCAAGATATAAAAAGACAATAAAAATTAGAAGCCTGTATTGTGACTAGATAATAAATTATTCAAGCAGGAGGCATGTAAGGATATGAGCATGATGATTAAAACTTTAAGAATTCGAGAATGTCAGATCAATAAAGTAATGCTATTGAGAGAGAGAAAAAGGAATTGGAGAAGATGAAATAGAGACAATAAAAAGAAATAGATTAAATGTTGGAGTATGAGCGGAGGATGTAAGAAATTAGAGAAAGAAATGAAGAGAAATAAAGAAAATAATTAGAGAAATAAATGAGAAGAGAACAAGAATTATAAGAAAAAAGGATGCAATAGGAATTAGAAAAATAAATGAGAGAGGAAGAGAAAAAAAAGAAATAATAAGATGAGGAAAGATATAATAAGTAATTAGCAAGTGAACATTTCAGAAGAGAATAAGAAAGAGCCAAAATGGAATAAGAAAAACAAAACTACTTAAAAATGGAAGCAAAAAAGAAGGAAGAAGAGAGAAGATTAAAATAAATGCAATTCTAATAATAAACACAATAAATTTAATAATAATATGAAGAGGAAATGTAGAGAAAAAGATTGATTATGTAATAAAAAGAAGTTGATAGATTACAAACTATTGAAATTTAGAGATAATAAAGAATATAAGAGTCACAACAAGCTTAACAGGAATTGGCTATAAAATTAGTGAATGCTAGAGTTAAATAGGAGGATCAATTAAATAATATGAAGAAGGTATTTCAAAGTATTATTATTAGTCTTTTGATTTAAAGTAATAAAAAATTGAGTAGAGAAGAAGAGAATTTGAGGAAATGAAAATGTAGAAGATGTATGAAAATCAAATACAAGCATTATAACATTAAGAGAAAATCAAGGAAGTTATGGAAAAGAATTAGATGCAAGAAGAATAAAAGAAATATGATTACTTTAGTAAATTATAAGAAGTTGAATAAAGAAAGGAAGAGTTGGAAAGGTTAAAGCAATAAGGAATCATTTCCAAGAAATAATAAATCTATGAAAAAGAATTATAAAGACAATAAGTATTACAAAATAATGAGAAATAACTGGAACAAAAGACTAATGACTTTCTCAGGAAATTTTAAGAAAAGGAATAATTAATTTATGAAGTAAACAATAATTCAATTATTTAAGAAATAATTCGAAAAATAATAATTCTAACATGAGTAAAAAGTAAAAGAGCTTTTAAAAGAATAGGATAAGAAAGAAGCATTAGAAAGAATCATGAGGTAGTAAGAATACGAAAAGGAATTACAAAGATAAAAATTATAAGATAAAATGAGAAGAGCTGAAATATTATAATTTGAGAAAAACTAAATGTTAGAATAAAGAATGATGATTAAAAAAGAAATAGGATTTTAAAAATAGGAATTGATGCAAAAATTAGAGCTAGTCAAATTAGGAAAACTTGATCCTTCCGCTTTAAATCCTGATGGTAATAATAGTATTAGAGCATCAAATAGTTTACAAAATAGTTATCATAACGTTAGACGTAGATTATAATAATAATATTAATAGCATCAACTGCAAAATATTAAAATACTCTTTCAAATAAGGATATGCGTCATAATATAAGACCCAAATCATAACAATAAAAAGTCTTAACAAATTCTTCAAATACTTAATTTGGTTCTTCAAATTAAGGAAAATTTACTATGACCAACAAACACGAAAATCAGATGGATTAACTAAAAGTTCGATAAAATTAAGAAATGATAGATGTACGAATTAGCTTATACAAATAGGTTTTAGAGGAAGAGTAGTAATTGGAATTTGAAAGAGAATAAGCTATGGCTAATACAAAAAATCCAGAAGAATAAAAGAGACTAGAAAAACTATTTTAGATTGAAAGAAATAAAACTAACTAAAGACTTGATTAACTTAAGCGGTAGTTATTAATCATAACTTATTAGAGAACATTAAAGATAATTGGAGGAATTCAGAAACTAAGGCTGAATTTTCAAATTTATTTTTGTATTTTTATATAATTTTAAATTGTAATTCTTCTATAAATTATTGTTTTTCTTAAGGTAAAATTGTCGAGATTAAAATTTGTTAATGAGATAAAATGTTCGAGTTCATAAGCTTTCTATTATCATCTAAAGACGATTAACTAACTGATTTATAATTATTTAAAGTTATTTATAATAATAAATCAATTTGATTTAGGTTTAATTATTTCAATTTTAAATGTTAAAAACTGATTTGAGTAAATGTTAAAGTGATCACTAAAAATTAACTTTGTTATTGCATAGTTTAATAATATAAAATTATTGTAAAAAAATAAAATTTATTCAGTTAGATAGTTTATCTATTTTAATAATAATAATTGCTATTAAAAGGTCTATGAAGATTTATTTCAATGCACGTCTATTAGTGCATTCAACACTAATTCAACCAATAGTTAAGAAGGAAATAAATCAAAAATTAAGTTTAAATTCAATATGTTTAGAATCACTTAATCTCTATTTCTTCAACTGAATTTTAAGGTCCAGCCTTTTTTAGATTAGACTCAGTTCTCCACTTTTATGCCCAGCTTTTAATTTTCATCAATGAAACTAAAGAATATGCATTATCGATGTCAACTTATGATACTTCCATAACTTTTTCTTCTTGATCCCTAATATAGGGATATTAAATGATTATACATTTCATCTAATAGTTAAGCTGAACTTTGATTAATCCAGGGATGCTTAGCAATTTCACTTATTGTTGGTCTCTTCTTTGGATCCTTATTCAAGATAAAATGAATAAATTCTTTAAGTCCATCGCTTATGGCGAAATTCTCTGGAAACTCAATTCTAAATATTTGAATAATAATGTACTCATTTTCTGATATGTTCTTAAGTATATCAGGAATGCTGTTTCCAGTGAAAGGAACAGTTAAGTATGTGAAGGCATAGAAGGTTACTCCAAGTGCCCAAATATCGGCAGCACGACCAGAATATCCGTCTTTGGCTGTTTCTTTATTGCATGCTTCTGGAGGCATAAAATAGTAAGTTCCTTATGTGTTTTCAAGTACATCATTTTTGGAACCGACAACTTAAGAAACTCCGAAATCCGCGATTTTAGCAATTTTACCTGACATCAATACATTTTGAGGTTTGAGATCTCTGTGTACAACTTTATTTTTATGGACTTAGAATATTGATATATATAATACGAAATGCTAAGCCTTTTATGCAATCTCGAAAAAGAGAAGAAAGTACATCTTCTGTTAATTCTTCATCTTCGTTCAATTTATAAAATTTGCCTTCATCATCATCCCATTCAATGAGTTGACCTCCTTCTGCAAATTCAAGGACTAGAGTGTAAAAATGAGGAAATTTACCCATAAACAATTTATCACTTGTAGGATTGTCAATCACTTCATAAAGTTGAATAAGGTTATTGTGTCTTAGTTTTTTCATGATAGCAATTTCCTTTTTGACATCTTGCAAAGCATCCTTAACAACTAGATCTAAAATGGAATAAAGAGGGTAGTTATACTTCCATTGGCATCTTTAACAAACTCTCTTTATCGTTTAAGTTTGCTTTTTTTAAGTATTTTAATGGCAAATTTTTGAGTGGGATCTCCTTTCTTATGTGCCAGTTTGACTTTACCAAAGGCACCTTGACCTAAAAATTCATCGAAAACATAATCATTTAACATCTTTTATCCCTAAGTAGATGTATTTTGATATATAATTACTTCTTCATTTTTTAGTGTGACAGCCTTGACAGTTTCTCTCACTTTTTTGTTTTTCTAAGAAAGAACTAACGAAAATAGATTACTTTAGGGATTTTAACTTTGATTAATGTCTAAGGTTAGGTCTTTTTATCTTAAAATAACAAAGAGGATTGCTGATCATGCATATAAGGTGAGGCAGAATGTTCCTGTATAACTTAATTAATCCTAGCTTCTTTTTTCTTTGCACAAACCGATCCCATTATTAAATTGAATATTATATAATTGAACTAATTAACTTATTCGGGAGTGAATATTAGATAACATTATTAAATTAAAGTACTTTGAAATATACACAATTCTTAAACATTTAATTAATGAGATGAATGTCATTATGGTAAATATCTTGATTCTTATATAAATATTATATTTTATAGCATCATCTGAGATATTATATAATAATATTAAAAAAATGGATGATCAATTGTAGAAACTGATAGAAGGAGACGAAATGAGAAAATTCACGGACTATTTCTCATACAAGGCAACGATTGGACAAGGCGCATTTGGTATTGTTGTTAGTGCAGTGAACTTGACAACACAATAGGAAGTGGCAATAAAAGTATGTTCTCCCAATCTATACTGATAGGTAATCAAGAAGAAATTAGTCAATCGATATGATTAATTAAAATAAGAATCTACAATCTTGGCTAGTTTGAGACACGAGAACATTGTGAAATTCATAGATGTTAAGGAAACTGATACTAGAATATTAATAATAATGGAACTTATATAAGGAGGTACACAAACTTATACGATTATAGGTTCTTTGGAGGATTTGATGCAACAATTGCAGAAGAGTAACAATTGGTTTACAGAGGATTAATGCAAAACAATTATTAGGAATATCTTATAAGCCTTGGCGTATATGCATAAGAATAATGTTGTGCATAGAGATCTGAAGCCAGAGAATATTCTAGTCAATGAAGATTTGAGTTGTGTCAAACTAAGCGATTTCGGGTTGAGTTCTGTTTAAAATTAGTTAATGACCAAACAATGTGGTACTCTAATCTTCATGGCACCAGAACTCCTTATGAACAAAACTTATAGCAAGGTATAGTCTTATCCTATCGTTAGAATGTAGATATATGGGGCGTTGGAGTGATCATGTTCATGTTACTTAATTATGGATAGCATCCTTATTATAAATAAGGAGACTCTCTTGAGCAGATCCTTCAGAACACCAAGATGATGCATGAGCAGGGCAGACTTACTTAGTAACAATCTAAAATGATATAAGAATTTTAGATTGTAATACAGTCTATTTAAAAAATTAACTGAATTGGACCAAACCAAAAGATACAGAGCTGATTAAGGATTGCTTCATCCTTGGTTGAATGAGCAAAACGATGTTGAGGTACCCTAAACTATGGAGGAGATCTTCCATACTTGGATTCAATAATAGAAATTACTAAATTTAATAAAATCAGTAATGTGTCTATCCAAAATGGGTTATATGAAGAAATTAGAAAACAGAGAGATATGTAATCGGTTTTCAGAGTAAAAGACTAAATTGAAGGAAGATAAGAACAAAAAGGAAGGGAAACTTACTATAAATAAAGAGTTTTATGATGAATTGTTTGAAGATTATTAGAAAACCTTAACTGAGCAATAGAAAAGATTAGTTTTATAAAGTAAATTAAAATAAAATATTGATAGCACAAAAAGTTGAGAGCGAAAAATAAATTAAATAGTAGGTCTAGAGTCAGGCTTTGTCTACTGTTTAAGCTAAATTACAATTCATTATTCGAGCCAGAAAACCTTCCAACAGTCAGAAGAATGTTGATGAACCAGTCCATGAAATTGATAATGAAGTTAAATTAGAGTAAAACGAATCTTAGCCTGATATGCTTTTACTAGATAATGAATTGTAAAATGATACAAGTGCATTCGAAAAATCATATCACGATATGTCTATGCAGATAAATCCAATTGCGAAATCTCCGAAAAAGAAAAGAAAATCCCCACTCAAAACTTAAACCAAATTGTACATCTAAAAAAATGAAAGCATTAATAATTCTCAATAAGGAATCAAAGAAAAGCCAAGTAATTCCCAGGTTCCTAGTCCTACCAAACTCATAAATACTAGTGTTATTAATAGTAATAATACCACTAAGCATCAAATTAGACTCAAACCTCTATAAACTCAAATTGAACCTCCAAAAGAAATTATTACTAATAATACAATCCTTAATCAGAATCCAATCAATTATGAACCTAACTTTCGCTCTGCTATTAGACCTATTAGATAATCACATGTCCCAAGATTATCCAGACTTAGTGTGGATAGAGATTAAGTTTAACCTGCCGTTTTAGATCTCTCTAGTATGGCTATGGGTGGATTTAGTCCTGTTCACAGTAATCAGTTTTTATTCCCTTAAAAAATTCCAAGTTATTGTCCTTAAAAAAGAGTATACTAAAATGAGTTTCATCCTTCTAAAGTACTCTAATCTTTGGCATCAAAAAAATCAAATGATCATTATAATTTTATTAATGGTGGGCCTAAATGAGATAAATTAAATATAATTTGTTCTTAAATTAAATTTATAATTAATGAATTAAAACAATACAATAAATATTAGAGCAATTAGAAATAAGAAATCAATTAAAAAGGACTTATCATTATAACCAAAGAACATTCATGATCAATACTATTAAGAATCTGATGATAGTGAAGATGAAAAAGTATTATTACTCAAATCATATATAGATATTATCTAAAATTGGCAGATTGTAAACAAAGAAATACAAAGATAAAGAATTTATTGGTTATGATGAGAATCTAAACAAAATTCAGAAAAAAAAATAGTTTCAAGATACTATTGATGAATTCATTAATAAGACTGAAAACAAAGATTGGTGGAGAGTAGTCAGAGATGAATTAAACAACCAAGATGTAGTATTAAATGATAAGCAATTGTAATTGTTAGACAGAATTAGGACAGGCAAAACTGCAATCAAATTAGCAGATGATGTAAATACTATATTATATATCATTGTAGTATTATTTTGAACATGAAGATTTCAATCAATTTGATCTCCTATCATCATACAATCCAAAACGTAGATTCTTGCCATCTAAATGGGAAAGAATCAAAATTAATAAATTAGTTTAAGGCATTAAATTAGGTAGAATTGTTTTGAATCCACCTTAAAAAGTGGAGAAGATGTGTGACATCTGGGAAAATGTAGCTGAAGATCAGGTGTTAAGCAAATATTTACCAGCAAGAATTCCAGCTTCTAAAGCTTAATTACCATCTAATGTTGCTAGTTATAATCCTCCAGAAGAATACCTATTTACTGAATAAGAAAAGTAATAATGGTTGTAAACTGATCCAGAAGACAGAGAAATACCATTTATTCCATAGAAGTTTAAGCATTTACGAAATGTTCCCTCATCAGAATAATTAACAAAAGATTTATTCAATCGTTGCTTGGATTTATATTTGGCACCTAGAATTAGAAGAAAGAAATTGATGATGAAATCTACAGATTTTCTACCAGAAATTCCGAAACCAGAAGAGTTGAAACCTTTTCCAACCAAATTAAATTTTGAATTCGGTTAAATAGATACAACAAAATCAGGCTAAGTGAAACAAATCTCTATATCACAAGATGGCTAACTCTTAGGAGTATGTTATGAATTTGCTATAGCATTCTTTGATACCAAAACATCTAAATGTTTATATACTAAATGGTAATCAGAAGATAAACAATTTTTGGGGTTAGATTTCAGTTCATCTGGATTAATTTGTATTCTATAATCAAATGGATTCATCATCTTAAATTCATATATTGATAAAAGATAACATTCAAATGTTGAAGATGGTGAATAGGCAAATAAATAGATTCCTAAAAATTCAAACAATGTCTTCGAGTGGAACTTTGAGTTGGATGATAATGTGTTTCAACAATTGCTTGAAGTGAAAATGCCTTATGATCCCTTGTATGTTCAATTTCATAGTAAATCTGATTATATTGTGAGTACATAGCCTCATACTCATGTGAAATCTCATTGCATTTTAGTTCATTCTATCAGTAAGTCATCAACATCTATTCCCTTTTAAAATATGAAAGCTTCCACTGAAGTACAATAAACTATCTTCCACCCTACAAAACCAGAATTATACATTATGACTAATAAAAACATTTTTATTTATTCATTAACCAAATAATAGTTAATGAAAAAACTACTAGCAGGTAATCAGTAAAATTCAACAATTGCAATTCATCCATATGGAGATAATTTAATCGTAGGATCCAATGATCAAAAAGTGTGTTGGTTTGATTTAGATATGGGAAAAACTCCGTTTAAGAAAATGAGTTATCATAAAAATGGAGTTAGGCGTGTTATCTTCCATAAGACTTATCCTTTGTTTGCATCTTGTTCTGATGATGGTATAATTGTATCTTATTAAAGGAACTATCAATATTTTCCATTGCCGTATTAGTACCGATTTGAATTAAGCTCCAGTAATTTTACCCTTAAAAGTCTTGAAATAAAAGAAAAAGGAATCTGTGATGGATGTTGCATTTCATCCAACTTAGCCATGGATCTATTCGGCAAGTAAAGAAGGAGTAGTAAGTCTATGGACTTGATGTATATAAGTAATTATAATAATTCTATTAATACGTGTTTATTCTGATTGGAATTAAATAATGCAAATGTGTCTAATATTCTACTTTTATAAATGTCTAATATTCATTATTACAGTAAATATTGTATCATTTCAATAATTCGTTTTAATTAATTTATAAAAATTTAACTTAGATACTGCGATAAATATGGATTTAAATACCATATAGTGATAATTATCTAAAATTCATTTAAAGTAGTTAATAGGGTTATAATCAGATCAAAGAGGATTCACAAAATTTATTTATTGTATCTTAATAGATTTTGTTAAATAGTTCGAAAATTAGTTATTAAGAATAAATATCAATTTGATCTGCTTGGTTTTGTTAAACAGCTCAATAAGTTTTAGGTATTAATTGAAGATTAATCTATCATAAATTAATTCCTATTCCTAATCTTCAAAGAAACCAACTATTCAGATTCCTCAAAACAATCAAAGTTGTTATGTTTAATATTTATTTAATATATATTAATTCCTACTTGTCTTAAGTTCGTGATTGATGATTTAAATTAAAATAAGTTAGTTAGCTAAGTATTGATTATTATGGAAAATAATTATAAATTAATATAAAATATGATAAAGAGAAATGAACAAAAAATAAAGAAATAAATAGCTCCTTCTAGAAATTAAAATAATAAAGCATGTCTCAAACCTTAAGTCTTTTAATTTCCACAGTTAATGAATAAAACTACTACCACGTTTACAGAGGCAATCAGATTCTAAGGATAAATTCAATAACCATTTACACCTGATGTCATGATTAGATAATCCATAAACAAACCAAGAATGATTGAATAGCCAAAATTCAAAAACAATTATGGAATTTAACGCTTTTCAGCAAAAATTGTTTCAAAGCAATAAAATGTTAAGGAACCAGTCATCATAAAAATTACTACAAATAAAAATCACCAGGTTATTCAACAACTAGAGGAATAGAGTGAATATTAATTAAGTGAATTGGGAACATTCGATGATTTGATTCAGCAAATTTAAGAACGAGTATTGGCTAAAAATTAAAACATTTTATAATTGGCATAAGACATTTGCTCAATAGAAACAATTGATTTGAGAGGTTTCTAATATATTCCCTAATTGATAAAACATCTTGTGATTGCATCAGTTTAATAGTAACTTCACATTTCATAAATCCTATCTATAATATTTACATTAAGTGAGGAAATAATGACAAGAGATGATCTTGATGAGTCTTTATTGGAAATTATAAAAGTCTATCTGCAAAAGGGTTACGAATCTAATCTTCAAATGATAGTCGTATTCATAAAACGTTGTGGTTAGATGATTTATTATATCAGAGGCAACAAATAGAAAGCGTTTAGTGAACTTATCATAACTTTGTTACTTAAATTCAATAGCGTTAGTTCATTTGAGGAATCTGAATTGCGATTGGCATTTAATATAATATTGAGACACAAATAATTGAGATGGTATATAAAGGATAATTAAGATATTTATAAATTGAAACAACTCTCATTAGTAGATTAGTTATAGAGATTTAAAATTGAAATTAATTGATAAAATGCACTTATTTTTATATGTATTATTATCTTTAATAAATGCGAAATGATCATAAATTATATTATATAAATCAAATAAAAATGCAAAACCATGACAGAAACATGTAAAATAGAAATATTGGATAAACAGAAATAACTTTCTTCTCTTCATTCATCATACTGCTCATAAAAGACAGCGAAGCTATTTATAGTTTTAATAAACATACAAAATGTTGACCATAGAAAGGCAGCACCAACAATTATTAATCTTAAGAAGAATCCCAAATATGATTAAAGGAAAGTTATCAAAACAGCAGCCACATTGATTGGAAATACACAATAACCAAGTACACAAACACTCTAGAAAAATGAAACCTATCCACCTAACAACTTTGCATTTACTCTAAATTCAAACTTAATTTTAAACATACGTTATCACAGCAGATCCTCCCCACATAATTATAAAGATTGTCCCAAAGATAGTATCAGCTAAATGTTAATCATCTCAACTAGTACATGATTGATTCGAATTTATTCCTAGTGTCCTAATTTTATAATCAACAATTTTACATTGCTAACAACAATGATAAGAGCAATGGTCCCCATAAATCCCCTAATTTAATTTATCTAATCATTTACAATTTCTCAATTTTCTTCCTTAGGTCTCTTTCATTCTTGGAATTATGACATATGACAATTTGTAAAGAATCATATTAATATCTCTTAACTTTACATAAAAATCAAATTTACTAAAGTATCCATAACTGGCTCATCTAAAGTGTTAACTTACACTTCTTATTAATTCATATGAGCATAATCCACAAACTTTGCTTGTCCTTAAAACATTCCACTCCCAAAAGGAACTTATTGATTATCTGTCATTTATATTAATTATATTTATATAATGTAATACAATTAGGTTAACCATTATGATATCTATTTAATTCCAAACTCATTAATTTATTTGCTCATATTCCAAATTATTCTAAAATGATGGATTCATTGAAGTTACTTAGATAATTGTTAACATTTAACATTTACATTTTATTCTATAAAATAAATTTTTGTTATGTAAATATAAACTCTTACTAATAACTACTAATACAATGTATTTAATAAAAAAACTAAGAAGCTTTTATAATTTTGAAAGAAACTATGTGAAATGATATTTATTCATAACACAAAAACAACTCAAACTTTAATAATTATTTAATATACCTTTTGTATGGATGATTAACTCTCTTAGGTTTTCGTAATAATTTAAAAAATTCTGAGGTTCTACTAAAAATTTTGTTAAGGTTTGCAACATATATTCCTTTAATGAAAAATTCATCTATTAAAACAATATCAGCTCTCTTTTGTTTAAATATATTAGAATATTTATATAAATTTATAATTAATTTTAAGTTCTAAGTACAAATTATATTACTAAACAATTTTTGTGCTTAAAGCTGAAGAATATTTTAATTAAAAAATACAAATAGAGGTTTTGATTATGACTCTATATATATATATATTAATGTTTGAAATTGTAAAATTAGATAAGAATAAATTTAGTATTTCTAACAAAAATATAATTAATGGAAAAAAATCAAAGTTTAATTAATAAAGTATCACCATTTACTTCAATTACTCTGGGATAAAAGTATATAATCACTAAAAATCTACCCAATTTAATTTAAATGGTTTTAAAGGATGGTGCTGAATTTCAATCAACTCAGATATAAAAATTAAAGGCATTGTAATAATTAAAGATGATTTGTTGTATAGCAGATATCGGAGAATATCTTACTTAAATATTTAAGTTATTGGCTAAGGTTTACACAAATGATGATAAGTATTATTTGAATGAGGTAAAAATGAATGTATATTTGAATAGTGTAAATAAATATGTTATGTGATTGGATTAAAGATACAAATAGATTATTATTTGCCTACATTGATAAACCAAGCAAGATTTGAATTGTAAGCATAATAATCAAAAACATTATGCAATCTCATTAATATGATAAGTGAAACGATAGTGCATGAAAATGATAATCTTGATCTTCAAAGTTTAGTCCATTTAATCAGTGATGTTGAGGGTGTCTATTCTGATTGTTGGGAAGTTATGGAATGTATCTATTATTTAGAAAATCGAATAATAAGTTAATCTCAATAAGAATTACCAATTTATGTTAGATAGTTATTCTAAGCACTATTAACAATTAGATCATTTAATAAGATGGATTGTGAACCATTGCTTCATTAATTGTCAACTAAATGTGGTTACACAAGTGTAACTGATTTACATGCAAATGAAATAAGTTTGATTCTAGAATAAATAGTAAATTAAGAACACTTTAAAACTTGGAAACACAACACTAGAGAATTCTTAAAATTTAAGGCTATTGTAACAGGATGCGGAGATGGAATATCTAAATACATGCAACAAATAATATAAATCATGAAATTTTCTTTGGGAGGTGACTAGGAAGTTGAATTGCGTTTAGAAGTCCTTTTGTTATTAGATAAAGTTGTTTAAATCTAATCAATCAAGGACACTATAAAAATGTATGCTGCAGTGATGATTTCATAATTATTAATACAATCTATGGTCTGGAAAGCAAATAAACCAACTGTTAAAGTAAGAAAAGCAGCTGTAATAATTACACTCTATCTATGTGAAATGCTTACCTAAGAAGAAATATTAGAATTATTTCCAGCTTTGGCTGCTCCATTGAAATCTTGTATGACAGATGATTGGGCACCAGATTTGAGATTCGCATCTAGCAAATTGGCAACGAATTTAATCAAAAAGTGTTAAATTTTAAATTATGAAATTATAAGGGATTTCTATCCTTCGCTTCTAGAAAGATTAGATGATTCTCAAAATTAAATCAGAATAGAAATTACTTATGCAATCGCTGCAATTATGTAATAGAAATATGATTCAACAACAATCTTGGAATATATTGTTAAGGCTACATTGATTCACTTAGATGATTCGAGTGAAGAAGTTCAAAGAGCAGTTTTCGAATGCTTATTGAAATGTCCTGAAAAAGTAGTTGTATTAAAAGAGGCAGAATAAGCAGTGAAGAATTTCAAATATCCACGATTGTGTTAGGAATTGATTAAACTAGTGAGTTGAATGTATTTGGATATTTTTATGAAATATAAATAGTTAATGTAAAATATTTTTAAAATTACATATCAACTATATATTAAGAACTAAAAGCAGAGTCCTATTCCAATGTATTTTAATTAATAAAATATACAAATAAATGATGATTCTTGTATTCATATCGATATCCTAATGAATATTACTGCCTCAATAAACTTGTCTAATCACATATATACGCACCTTTCATTTTTTAATCATATGAATCTATTAAAAACTTAAGGTATAATGAATATGGCATCCATCTTGTCTCAAAAAAAGTGATTTTCAAAATGAATCGTCTTATCATATACTCCAATTATATTGTTGAATTTCTTTTTCAAATAAATTAATATTGTTATTCCCAGAAGAATAAGGTATGACTTAACAACAAATTAATCATTAGAATGAAAAGAAGAGGAAATAATTAAGTTATATAATAAGATTCCGATCAAAAGTAGCAAAGTAGAAAGTATTGGAAAGAAGAGGAAGATAATAAATTACACGCTGCCGTGTTCAAACATGGTTCTAATTGGAAGTTGATTGCTGAGTTTGTTCCTGGCAGAAATGCATCTTAATGTGCACAAAGATGGAAAAGAATAAAGCCTAAGGAAGTAAGAAGATTTAAATTAGGATTAGAATGAAAGAAATCAAAAATGGACTGAGGAAGAGGATAAAGAAGTATTAAGACTCACAAAAATATATTAATTTAACTGGAAATAAATAGCCAATGAGATCCCAAATAGAACAGGTCGATAAATTAGAGAGAGATTTGTGAATCATCTGGATTCAAACATCATTAAGACCCCATGGACTAAGTAGGAGGATAAAAAGATATGGGAAATGTACTAGAAAATGGGTACAAGATGGTCAGATATGTCAAAAAAAATGCCAGGAAGACCTGTAAAATTATTATAAATTTTTTAGGAAAATATGATTAAAAACAGGTTTTATTCCTTTATTAGAAAATAATACGGAAAAATCTAAAATCCTTATTATATTGTACCTAGTAAAGTACGGGTTTTGGAGGAAGATGGATAGAAATAGAGTCAAGGAATGAAAAAAATTAGAAAATTTAAAAGAATTTAATAATCATTTAAAGTGGAAGAAGAAATAGAAGGGAAGGAAAATAAAATCAACGAAGAAAATAATTAATAATAATTATAATCAGATCTACAATGCTAGTAAGTACCATTTACTTAATTTTAAACTCAATAGTCATAATAGTAGCAATAATAAATATAATTTTCGTAATCATAATTTCCCTCTTTATAACATTCTCAAATACAACAATCATAATTTCCACAAATAATAGATCCCTTTTCATTTTTTCAAGATTCAATAAGATCAGACTCATACAGAGTAAATTAATATCCAGAAGCTTTAAAGCAATATTAAGATTTTCAAAATTGGTTGAAAGAATCCTTAAAGTCTTCATCGGATCCAGAATTAAATAGAATGTACAAATTTGAGACCCCGATGATGAGTTTTTTGTATATGAATCCTAGTTTAATTCATTCAATTCAATAGTAGCAGTAGCCAATTTTTATGAAAGAGGAAGAAAATGATAAATTGTTTACAGGCTTAGAGAACTCATTACCTGTTTAAATTAGACCTGATATTTTTGAGGAGATGAAAAAAACTAATGCCGATACGCAATCATAATAATAACATATAAATCATCAATAAAAATAATAGTGACGCAAAAAAGATTGATTGTTAATATATTATTTGAATGTGTCAATATAGATCAAATTCCAACTTTAGATTTGACATATTATTCAAAACTTGGTTAAGTTAATAAGCCAAGAGCCTGCTTGCTGATCTCGATTTCCTTGTTGTATTCTGTAACAGTTCGGTTATAGAGATCTGTTTCAGAAGCATAGTTATCGTTTTCAGCTTATAATTAGGCTTAAAGTGTGGCTCTGTCATCCTTTCTTTATCCTACATAGACAATGGTTTCACCAAGTTTTTCTGAAATATTAATATGAGTTCTTACATTCATTAGCAGCAATTTCAGAGTTCTTGATGAGGACAGCCCTTTAGAATTCAGCGAATTCTTTTTCTAATTAGGCTACTCTTTCAGCAAATTTGGTTTCAGCTGCACTCTCATCAGCTGTTTCTTAGTTTAAGGTATCAACAAATTGGACTCTCAATTCATTGAAGATCTTAACCAATTATTACACAGATCCTTAATCAGCGAAGTTTTATTCTGTTGCTAATTCAAGTAAGGCTTTAATAATTGGTGCAAATGAAGAATGGTTTTAGAATGAAGTTTGAATTCTACCTAAATTAGTCTGAACTCTTTTGAATTAGACTAGAGATGGGTTAGTAATTTAAGAAAGTAATCCTAAGGATTCATCAACAGCCCCAATAGCTTCATTGATTTCAGCTATGTTGGATAAAAATTACTCGTGTTATTTCTTTCTGTTGACTGTTTCTGAATCAAGAATTCTTCTGTTTTCCTCAATGTTGGTTTTCAATTGAGCAAGAGCGTCTTAGAATCTTTACTTTTATGGAATGAGAACATTGTCAATGAAATCTTCTCCGTTGAAAATGTCTAACAATATAATTTAAACTTTAACCTCTATCAGCATCTTAAATTTCTTATTCATATCTTGTGACATCTCTGTTATGTTCATCTGTTCTTTTAGAGTAAGCTTGATGAATGTCATCTAATTCCTCTTCTAATTAATCGATCAATTAATTAATGGCTTCAACCAATTCTGTCAAGGCTCCTCCACTACCCAATTCCACTTCTGCAAAGTCAACTATGAAAGAAGCCCATTTAGATTCTTTTAATTTGGCCAAAACTTCTTCTGAATGTCTCTCCATATTAAGTTCAACACTCAATACTCCTAATATCAGGCAGATTAATAACCCTGTTCTCATTTATTTTAAATAATAAAAACGACTATTGTAATTTATCAATTAATTATATTAGCTTTCTTGATTATTTAATATCAAGCATTCATTTTTACATTTATAAAATATTATTTCATTACTTATACACGCTCGTCCAATTTAATCCCATTTTCTAGAGTCATTTACTAAAATTATTTCATTTTGCCAGCAAGTTCAAACTTTATTATTACAATACATAGAGATTCAAACTATTTTAATTTATAATTTCTGCATACACATCTCACACCGATCTCCTATTAGAATTTCTAATTATTCCTTTAAAATCTCATTAATATTTTAAATATATTTCTATTACAGAACATACATGTAAATGAATTATAGGGAAGCACTTTTGCAGCAATTTGGAAATAATTTGGTGAACCCTGAATAAAAAGGTTAAGGGGCCTTTTCAAAAGTCTATAAATGTCAAAATGCTTTTGGAGAGTATGTGGCCATTAAAGTTTTAGAATTGTTAAATTTAGGTTGTTAATTTAGCTGAAGCAAAGCCATTTGTTATTCCTTATTTAAAGAATGAGGTTGAATTATTAAAAATGAGTGACAATGAAAATGTTATCAAATTGTTCGAAGCTTAAGAGACATAATTTATGTTATTTTTAGTTTTGGAAGTTAATTTTAATATTTATACACTAGTATTGCGAATGTGATGTCAAGAGCATGATGAAAAGATATTTTAATAATAAGTTACCAGAGGATCTTGTAATTGTTATTCTTAAACAATTAGTGAATGGATTACATTATTTACACAAAAATAATATTATTCACAGAGATTTAAAATTAGATAACATAGGAGTCGTTATTACACCAGAGGATTTATGTAAATTGACTACATCAAAATAAAATTTGAATGTTGAAATTTTAAAAAATGCATCATACAAATTACTTGATTTAGGGTTAGCAAAACAGTTTATCAATTAAACAAAGACGGTAACTTTTGCAGGAACCGAGATTAACATGGGTATATATCTCATTTAATTCGTCTTTAGCTCCTGAAGTCTTGGAAAGGAAACCTTATTCATTTGAAGCCGATATTTATAGTTTGGGAGTTTGTTTATATTAGATGGTTACTGGAGAGTATCCTTATTATGATAACCTATATTAGAAAAAATAATTTGAATTAATTAAAGAAGAAAATGCAAACTTTGAAATTATCCAAAACAAAGAACTTAGAAATCTCATTTAATAAATGCTAAAATACAATGTTTCTGAAAGATTAACATTTTCTCAGTTATATTAATCTTCATATATTTTCAATTCTTAAGAAGTGATTCCATCACTTCTAGAAAGATCACTTATTAAAAATTAAAAATTTTATGATTTGAATTATTAAAACGATAGTAGTTAACTTATGTAAAAATATTCTCAAGTCAAAATATAATAGAACGAATAATTTGATAAATTTCAAATACTAGAAGTAAAAGACAATTCCTCGCAGAATATAATTATTGAAAAACTGAAAAAACTTCAAATATCCGATTCTACAATGAATAATTAAGGAAATATTTTGAATTAGTAATTTGAGGTGAAAAGTTCTTAATTGAGATCTTAAATTAGAAAACCAAAATCATAAATTTCAATAAATTTTCAAAAATGGAATCAACATAAGAATATATGTAAGTTGCTTCAAAATATTTGTGAAGATTTGCTAACTTTGATTAAAACAATTCCAAAAGTTTTAAAATATTTGTCATTTGAAGGTGAATTTGAAACCTATTTATAATATTTCTCCCAGTTTGGTGAAAATATGATAACTTAATTAAAGAGGGAGATTAATTCTTTAGAGGATCATTCTAGCCAACTTGAATAATAAAATCTCAATAAATCGTTAGAATAAATTGAATTCTCCAATATTTATCAACAATAAAGTTTAACATTCAGTAAAAGTTTATACAGAATGAGAAAATATTTGAAATAAATTGACTCAATTTAGGATATGAAAGAATTAATTAGCTTTGATATAACTAATGAAGCTTTTTAAAGAAATAATTCAATAATCTATAACCAAATCATCGGATTATTACAAAGTATTTATTACGAAGAAAAGAGAATGGATAAAGATGAATACAAATTGTTAAACAATTTTAATTGCACACTATATGTACTATTGATTAAATTGGCATTATTGCAAGCGGCTTTAAATAATAAATGTTAACTCTAAGAAGATCATATCATTAATTGTATCCCTTAGAATTTTGAAGAGAATCCTGATCACTTATTAGATTACCTCGATTAAATCAGGGATCAATATCAAATTTAATATTATAATAATAAATGATATTATTTAGATTAATTTTAAATTTATTAATAATTTATTTTTCAACAAATCATGATAAAATTATATGATGAGATTTCTCTATTAATAATTTCACCAAAATATAATGTGGGTTAAAATTAAATGTATCCATCCAGTTCTACACAAATTTCAAAAAATCGGTCTACATTTTGAGAATAGTATTGCAAAACCTAGAATATGCAGTTTATTCCTGTTTAGTTTCCTCTTCTAAACATAATTGAGTAGCACTCCCATGCATGCTATAATTTTTTTATGAAAAACTATTTCTGCATATTGGTTAATGAAAATTTAATTTTAATAATAGTTGGCTTATCTTTATAGACAAAATTTAATAATTATCACCTGCTATTTAATATGATAATATTCACAAACAAAAATTATAGCATTAGATTAGATAAGGAAATTCGAATTATTTTTTTTTTTTTTTCAATATTTAAGATATATTTCAATATATTGTCTTACCAAAAATCACCATTTTTTTTAACGTTTATAAAAATAATTATTCTCATTCTTTTGGAATATTTCAATTTTTATTTTATTTAGATGGAACTTCTTGGATATTTGTTTATTAGAGGCTTTAATTGCGAATTTACTTTTCTATTACTCAAATTATTATTCTTCTTCAATTGTTTATTAAATATTGATTTAATTCATAAGAACAAACTATTAAGAAGCCTAATCAGAATATAACTTTATATTTTGAATCAAAAATTCAATAATTATTTTAATCCCTCTGTAAATCACACCTTAAATTATTTTTCAATTAGTATTTTTGAAATAAAACGCCTTCATTTGCACAAGATTTGTTTTTATACTAATAGTTGTTAAATTCGATACTTAATATTTTTTCAGTTTTGCTGATCATTCTCAGTTTGCGTCAAAAAAAAAGATATGTTCTTTTGAAGATGGAAATTTCTCTTAATCATGTCCTATTCAATTTTCTCAGATTCCATCTTCTTTTTTGTTAATCTTTCGTAAAATTAATTAGTTTTGATTTGCCAAAAACACCCTTCTTTCAGCATTTTAGGAATTTTTCTTATTTTGAAATCAAATTTTACTTCTATACTCACTCTCGTTAAATCTTTAAAATCAGGTTGAATTATAACATGTATACATAAATGGCTAACGTCCAAAATGATTAGTTCTATTTTAAACTTAGAAAACGGAGATATTTGAATAATTCCAGATGGTGTCCACACTTTTTAAAGATAAATAGGAAAAGCCAATATTAAGAGTATAACTGGCCATATATTTACTTTCATCCCTGCACAATCTAAATTTTTTTTAATTTATTAAATATTCTAATCATTATTTTAACTCGCATCTAGGAAATAATTTTACTTCTACAAATGTAACAAAAGGAATGCTTATAATTGAATAATTTAGCACCTTCAAAATGTTTGATTTTATATAT